CCTTAATTCGCAGCAGACGCGCCATGTAAGCAGAAGGACGGCCGGCAGTTCATTCTCGCAGATCGTATTGGGGTAGCCTGCCTGCCTGCTTGCCCAATTACCAAGCAAAGTCTTGATATCGTTTTGACACTTGGCCGGTCACTTTCCGCAGTGACAACATGTTCCCCTCTGCCTTGAATTTGCTAGTTGAGAATCTGTATGTGCTCCTTGTGTGTGGGTATACCGTACCTTTTCGTTGCACCGAGCATGCGTGTCTGCTCCGGTTATTGCGATGAAAGGGCTTGGCCAAGGTTGCGAATTGTGGGCTCTGAAGAAAGCCTGAAAAGAGGAAGGATAGAAGCCATTTGCAGAGACTGATCTGTATACCTTGCCCTGTGTAATCGAGAAACTACGTCGTTGCAGCACCCTGCCGACTGGAGACTTCATTCAAGAATATGGGACCTTGACATAGAAATAGGGGTACTAAGGGCAATGTGACATGCTCCGACTCGACTGTCTATTAAAATCACTCCGCGTAGTCTTGTTCCCATGTTGGCAGATGAGATACTCGGTCACACTCATGTTCGGTTCTCGTTATGGGATGCTAAACCTGTTTTCTCAACCTAGAAATAGTGACATGCACTCATAGCCTATTGCCAACACACCCACAAAGCCAATAATGATACACTTCCTCCCTATTCCAACAGTCCAACCCATAGGCAATCCCACAATGTGTGGTGTAATTCATGCAATCTTTCCACGACCGTCATCCAATAACACCATCCTGATACTTGATCTCCGCCCTGATCTTTCCAGCCAATCCATTGAACAGCTTCAGACATCCTGTAGAAGCAAGTTTGAGGCTGCAATACATCATGGAGACCCATGAGAGACACATCTTTCGTGAATCACAACTTTGGAAGAAAGCTTGCTCGCTTGCTCGCGGCTGTGGCGCCCGAAAGGGCTGGAGAATCGTCGTCGTGATGCTCTTTCTTCATCTTCCTCTGTGTGCCCAATTTGGCCAATCCTTTCATTCGCTGCTTCTTCATAGGTCCCATTTCTCGGTGGAGAATCTTGACGTGGTCCTCAACGCTTTCGGCATATGCCTCAGGGGTTTGCTCCTCATCTGCAACTCGCGTTTTTGCGTCGCTAGTGCTAGCCACAGACGTGTCGTCTGATCTGTTCGCGATGGTGATGATATGTTCAAGCATTGCCGACCGAGGCCGAATGTTGTTTCGGTGAGACGACATTCCTCGGTCAGAACCCTGAGTCACTTCATGCTTATTCAGTTCAGTGCGAGGCGGCGCCTTTCGGTCTCGTCTCCGCTTCTTCTCTGGCTCCTGATCCTGAATTGACTTCGGGCTGAGAACAGACGAGGCGCTTCTCTTGGAGACAGGCGTATGCCAACCACCGGGAGATCGAAGTCCCTCGACAAGCTGTCTTTCGGATGTGTAGGGGTTGTTTCCAGGGTGCACTTGTGCTCGTCCGATACGACTATGCGTGTAGGAGCCACATGTCTGCCGGTCCTTCTGGCGATGGCGATCCAATCCTTCACCCTCTGACATGGGACAATTGCGATCAGTTATCGAGTGGTCGTTTCTACTACGTTCAGCGGGAGGTTGGACTGAGGCAGGACCACGAGCACCAGAGTCATTTCCTGTGATAAAGTCAGCTTGTGTAGACCCATAGTGGAGGAATTATGAGAAGTATGCAGTACTCACTTCTAGAACGGAGCAAGTCTGACATCGGTGATCTACCATAGTTGGGTGTACCTCCTGTCTTGGAGTTGGGGAGTGTATGGCTTCTAGGCCTACCCGTTGTTAAGCCAGTTGGAGCATTCTTCCTAAGAGAAGCAAAAGAGTCGTCACTGTCATATTCGCCTTCGTACTTGCTATTGGCAAACCCAGGGAGGGGTTGTTCTGGTTCGTACAGAGGGCCTGGCAAAGTCTTGATGGCCACCAAGCCCATCCTGTCGGGGTCCATTCTACGCTGATTCAACACTTTCGGCTTCTGGCTTGGTGTTGTGCGGATAGACCGACCCCGTGTAGCAAGAGACGCCTTTGCGGTTGATGAAGTCTTCGCAGGGGCTTCCACTCTCTGCTTCTTGGTGGCTGGAGCCGGCAACGGCCGGTCGGGTGTAAGATCATCCCGGCTTCGCTTCGATCTCTTCGTTGTCGTCGACTGATCGTTCCCTTTCAAATCGTTCTAGGTCTTTGAAGAGGTATCATCCTGACGTTGGGCTCGGCGGATAGGCTTGACTCCATTCTTCGGAACGGTAACAACTCTGATGGAAGGCTTGGGCGCCTTGGCCATCATGTTGGACAGCAGACTGAAGCTTTTTGGTACAGTCGGTTTCTTTGCGGTAGCCACATCTTTCTTGGTGTCGGTCTTGTGGGTGGTGCCCGAAGCCAGACGTATTACATCAGTCTCCTTCAATTGCTTCTTGGGAAGGCCTAGAAATTCGATATCATGACCGACTAGAGTTGAGGATGACGATGATGTGCGAGGACGGGAAGTCGTCTTGGGCTTGGAAGTTGCTATCTGCGTGTGTTTCTGTCTATCCGTGCTAGAAGAAGCGTGGTATTCTTCGTCTTCATCTTCAAGAATGAAGCCAGACACTTTGATCACTGTAATTCCCTCCTGTAGACCGTCGGCTGAGGCAGCTGTAGTTGTAGTCTTTTTGGTGGTACTTCCATGGCTCTCGCGTTCTTCGGTGTCAGGAAAGAAGCCACTTTTGACAGCCCGACTCTGCAGCTTATCTAGAAATCTGAGGCGCTCAATGTGGTCGCCGTTGGCAGGCGACGGAATTCTCAGAGGTGAAGAAGGTGCGTGAAGGTGTGCAGTCGGTTTATCAAGCAGTGGGTTGCCGCGATGCAAACTACCTTGATCGACGAACAGGCTGTCGGCTGCCTGGGATGTTGCCCTGGTTTTGGCTGTAGCGTGTAGATTTGACACGGTAGAAGCCTTCTGGAAACGATACTCCGAAGGATTCTCTCGATAGCTTCTAGAGAACTCGGTTGATGGCAGAGAAGATGCGTTTCGGCCAGATGTGCATTGAGCATTGGGAGGAGGGCGTGGTCCCAGAATGCTATGCCTATCGTGATCGATAGCTGACGGAAAGTGCGATTGCGACTGAATCGGACCAAGTGAAGAGGCCATGGCTGGAGGTTCAGGGAATGGAGTTCTTGGAATTTGTTGATAAGCTGCCGAAGAGCTATTGAGCCCTCTAGAGGCTGGCTGAGAAGTTGGCGATGGCTGGATGTAGTTGGTGCTATGTAGAGAATACTCGGCCTCTGCACCGCGCTCACGCGTTGAACTACCCTTTGAGATGGTTTGGTGACGCGGCGTGGAATTGCTAGGTCGAAGGGGTGGAAGAGACGTGTATCTTGGCTCGGCAGGATGTCGAAGAGGCTTCTGCTGTTGGCTTGATGGCCGACGAGACGCCGCAGGAACGGGATGAGTGAAGTTGTCTTCCATACTGAACAACCACTCAGCGAGCAGATTTCCGACGCTGAATTCCCTCGCGTGCTCTGGAGGTAAGCTCGTGATCAGAGGATTTGGCACGGAAAGGTGGTGCTCAAGAAGACGCGATCGCGCAGGCGCGACAATGTGCCAAACTTGGGGTAAGGAAGAATGGCAAGAAAAGACCAAAAAGGCACTCCAAAACACCAAAAATACAAGATCAGACTCGAGGAATGATTCTCTGAGCACTGCGCAAGTAAGAATGGTAAGAGAATGTGATGTGTGGAAGTGGGAGGTTGGTGATGTTTGCGCGGGTCTCTCAGCAACGCGATGTGGTGATGGAAGGATGAAAAGGTAAACAATTCCCGCGATGAGGAAGGTGTAGAGATGAAGAGCGGACGTAGTGAGAAGGATCGGTCCGCCCTGAGGTAATAAACACCCTTCCAACCTCCTTCTGACCGCCCTCCTGAGCCGTTTCTGAGGTAACCGCCGCCTCATCAACGACCTCGCGTCTGCGTGAGGCGGTCACGCGTACGCGTTTCTCGTCAAAAGTTCAGATGGAAGGAGCGAAGTGCCTCAGGTACCCAAAGGTGAGATGGATCAAGAAGGAGCAAATGGGTAAAGGGGCATGAGGTGGCTCTCAGAAGGAACGTGAATAGTGTCAAGGGGAGAAGAGCAGGTGGATTCCTTGGATCAGAGGGGCCTGTGGGGTTATTCTCGGCTTATCTTGTTGATGACGCCGAGAAGAAGAAGGAGGCCGTCCACGAAGGTCTCTCAGGTATCATTGATTGAGTACATAGGTGAACCTGGAGATAGGACTTATTCTTTCCCGAAATGGCCCTTGATATCGTTTTTTCCCGAGTTGGGCATTCCTGGAATGGTCTCTACTGTTTCAAACCTCAATTCCTGATGTCTAAGGCCATATACAGAAGTGGAAGCTCTCATCTACTTGGCAAAATAGGAGCGTAGTCAGTCAATTTATGAGGAGAAAGAAACAGCGGAGGAAGCATTGAGCGAGTGCTTCACTCTAGTGCTCGAGAACAGTATTATAATAATTACGACAATACATCCCTAAGACTCGTGACATATCAACACCAATAATGACTAATCGTTCATGAGTTCAAAAACAAAAAGAGTTCACCCCCCCGGTGCTGAACTGGGGGCTACATCTCTGGCGCTCATGCTGGGACTCGAACTCGCTAAGCCTGTCGTCGAGTAGGCTGGTTGGCGTAAATTTGATTGTTGACCATAAACCGTTCCACCACCACACCGCAGTTTGACCTGACCCCCGGCCTAAGGGGCGCCTGCTGCGCTGGTGACAGGAATTGGGTTGAGGGGGTATATGAAGGCTTGTTGTTGTGTATTTAGGGCGGTGTAGGCAGAAGAGGTATCGGATGAGAAGGTTTGTGATGTGGCTGGTTGGGAAGGAAGGCGCGGGTCAGGGTGGCTGACCTGGTAACCAGCGAGGTATGATCTTCGAATAATCTGACTCTGTCGAGTCTTTCTCATATTCTCTGTGGAAAGTCTGATGTTGGATATCTTTGACATGAGTCTAACCACTAGGCCGTCTTGCTGGCCCTTTGCAAAGCCTTGCCAAAGTGCTCAACAAAATCAACACAGTCCACAAACGTATTATACAACGGCGCCGGCGCAACTCTGATGACGTTCGGCTTCCTCTCGTCAATGACCACCCCAACCTCCTCAAAGTACTCCATCACACCATCCAACAGCCCATCCGCGAGCTTCAAACTCAACTGCGCTCCGCGCTCCTCGCTCACCGACGGCGTAATGATGCTGAACATGTCAGAACTGAGCCAGTTCTGGAGCAGCACCTCCAGGAACGCCGTCAACCGCTTCGACTTTTCCCGCAGCGGCGCCATCCCGCCCGCGAGCTCAAACACCTCGAGCGAGGCGCACAGCGACGTGATGTCGAGCACGCTCGGGTTGCTCAGCTGGAACCCGGCCGCCCCGGCCGCCGGGTGAAACTTTGTCGCCATCACGAAGCGCGAGCTCTTGTCGTTGCCCCACCAGCCGCCGAAACGGTTCACGTAGCCCTTCTCGGAGTCGGCGTCCTCGACCGAGGTCGTGACGGCCGTGTGCCGCGCGTTGATGAAGGCGCCGCCGATGCAGCCCGGCCCGCCGTTGAGGTACTTGTACGTGCACCAGGCCGCGGCGTCGACGTCCCAGTCGTGGAGGCGCAGCGGGACGTTGCCGACGGCGTGGGCGAGGTCCCAGATGATGGGGATGGCGTGCTTGTGCGCGAAGGCGGTGATGGTGGGGATGTCGAGGAGCTGGCCGGTGTAGTACTGGATGCCGGGCAAGAGGATGAGGGCCGTGTCCGCGGCATGGGCCTCGATGACGGAGAGGATGTGTTGGGTTGCGAGGGTTGGTTCTACGGCGGTTGAGGGGGGCTCAATGCAGATCATTGACGTTGACGGAGAGAGATCATGGTGTCTGATTTGGGTCTCCACGACGAACTGTAGGAATTGTTAGTGTCATTCCCTCGTCTCAAGTTTGCGGAAGAGAGAGCTGATTTACATGGTCACTTGGAAAGGCCTTGCTCTCCAGGATTATCTTATGTCTGCCATCCTTCTGGGGCTTGTACAAGGCAGACATGAGGAGATGAAGGTTAGCTGTCAGAGTCTGCATCACGGCAACCTCGGATTCCTCAGCGCCAACAATGGGGGCCATCATCTTGGCCGCTCGGGCGTCGACGTCGAGCCATGTCGGCAACGGGGAGTCTTCCAAAGGCTTGAAATGCCCCTGGACACCCTGCGTCGCCCAGGTGGACAGATACTGCTGTATCCTCTCGGCGGTGCGCTTAGGTTGCAGGCCGAGAGAGTTGCCGCAGAGGTAGGTGCATTTCTGCTGACCAGCCTCTGATGTGGCAGAGCCGTCATCTTTTCCTTGGTGAAGGATGTTAGCTCCAAAGATCTAAGAGGTCATTGGGACTAGAGGCATTGAGTGCAAGGAGTGGCATGTGAATGAGTTGGGGGAGAGAGAGAGAATGAAGGGGGCTAGGTGTCTTCTGATGAAGTAGAATGATGCTCTCAATTGCTGACCTTTCTTGGCAAGGGTCTTGCTGGTGATCTCTTGTTTCGTGGGGATGACGAACTCGTCCCGCGTGTGCCTCAGCGCATCTTCCTGGTCCAGGGTTTCGGCACGTTGCCTGATGGAAGCATCGAGGAGAGGATCCATATCGGGTGAGATAGTGTGGATGACCTTTGACCAAGATGAGGTAGGATAACCTCTTGCTCCGACCTTGGCTCGAGGTTGGAGAGAGGGATTGAAGCGGGGGTGGGGAAATCGAGATGGTCGTCAATATGTCTTGGGATCTGCTCTCTCTCGGGCTCACCTTGAATAGCAGTGTCGCAGTAACCCTTGATCGTGTGTGTCAAGATCCTTGAAGTCAATGAGCTGGCCTCAATATCCTGCGTTTACGGCTTACAAGATAATGCACGTTGGGTCAGAGGTAGTGAGGTCAGCAGTGTTTTCCAACCAAAAACACGAGTGAAGTCATGATGCTCCATTGAATAATTCCCGCGCGTGTGCCCCTCCTCCAATGAGGGGTTCGGATGGAGCTCCGGCTGGCGGGGCCACGCCGTGCAGCTGGCACCGTTCACTCACCACCTTTCATCTTTTGTGACCACCAAGTGACCATCACCACGACCACAACCACTTGAAGTTGGATGACTGTGTGCATAGGCAGGAACCTGAGCTTGGGATGGAGCTGCCCACTCAGAGACCAAGGAAGCATCAGCTGTTCCCACCATGTAAAACAGTTGGAGAGAGGGAGGAAGAGGTGAGACGATGGAGAAATCACCATTCCAGCATCAGAGGGGGAGAGGATCCTCTTTTTCTCCAAAAGTTTGTGGTCTAGTGGACCTTGAAAAATTGGTGATGTATCGTGATGTCGAAATCAAAGAAGTCAAGTTCGATTAAATCAAGGTACCTGCTTCTATCCCGGACTTGTACCTTGTTGAAGTACCGTATACTTGGTCTGACTGTGTCAATGTACACTTACTTGTACCGGCATATATCTCACAAGTTTCAAAAACATCAAAAAACCTGCATCGTGACAATCAAAGAAAAAAAAAAACTTTTGTTCCATTCCATCATCATCATCAAAAACAACAATAACGTGCTCGAGCTAAACGCCTCGGATTACGAAATATGGGAGTTTTCATTACCCCCTCAAAACCCCAGTATTACCCCCTCATTACCCCATAGACTGGCCACATGCGGGGTTTTGCTGACTCGTCCCTTGGCAACGACCCTCCGCAATCCGCAAGTCTGGGCACACGAGATCGTTTTGGGTCCAGACAGGGCCTGGTCGGTACCTTGAGCCTCGAGGCGCAAGGTAAATCAGGTACGGACGGCGGCGGCGGCAGCGGCGACGACGGCATGGCGGGGGTGGGCTTGCGTCTTTGTCTCGCCCCTCCAAGTTATTTTCTGTTTCTCGTGGATGGCGGTACCTGATGGATTAATCTTACACTCCATCCAGATGGAGTCTTTCATGGGGAAAGGAGGACCACATGTATGGATCCGACAGAATACATACGAGTCTATACTATGTACGACTAGATGGAGAGGGTGGGACGTGGAAGATCAGGTAGGTAGCACGGGGTCGGACGGTGCCAGAAGACGAGTCCGTCACCCCCTCCTCCCCGTGAGCGTCCGGGGATCCACGGCGGGTGATGCGGAGGACAAGGTGACTCTGTAAAGGAAAATGTGTGGTGGGAAGGTTGCTGCCACACTCACCATCCTCCGACGGAGTTCAATGTTCCACGGAAGGAATCACGGCACGGGGTTCTTCGGCAGCGGCGGGCGCTTGGCGGGATATCAATGTATGAAGTATTCAGACACAGCAGCAGACTGACCGGGCTTACTTTCCTTGCAGATCCTGAAGCAAGTCCGGCAAGCCTAGGCCCGAGGAGGCCCGTTTCGATGCCAAGCCAAGCTTTTCTTTCTTTCTCTCTCTTCATTATCATCTGTTGTGACACGGAACTATTTTCTGTGGTTTCCCAGAATTAAGCAAGTCTTCCCAGAGCCATGGAAAGATAAGCACCGGGTGCTCAACCCGAACATCTTGGAAAGTTTCCCCTTGCTCGCCCGGGCGGTCGGATGATCTTCGCACTTTCGGGTTCTCCCCTTAGCCTCATGCAAGTTTTTCCCTGCGGGGTGGTTGAAAGGGGGGGGCAAGGACGACGGGCCGGTATGGGCTGGATATGGAGGACTGAAGCCATACGTAGAGCTATGGAAGTAGACGCTGTTTCGGTAGCTTATCTCGCAATTGGTCGGTTACCTGCTTCGAAGAAATAAAGCTTTGCAAAGGTAAGAAGATAGAGGGGGACAGCGAAGGGGAACAAGATGACTGCTTCCCGGTGGATTTCCTGCAATGTCCCTCTTTCCAAGGATACTCTGTAACCAATTACTAAAGATGGAATTTGGGAACGGAATGTTGCAGATTCGAGGACACGACATGACTAGGGTTGGTTGGCACTCTCCCGCGAGGACAGGAAAAGCCGCTGCACCTAACAATACACTCAGCGGGTTCTCTTGGCCGGAGTTTGACTTGACGTTGGGACAGTTTCGAGTGGAGACCCCGACCCTCCCGACGTGATCACCCAAAGTCGTGTGTATGGAGTAGGGGGAGGCTCTGCTTGGCTTCCAATCTGTTCTATTTCTTGTTCTCTCTCTGTGACGGGCTACCAGTGCTACGATGGCTGGTCTTCCCTAGCCAATGCTATTCCGAGTTGTAGATAACAGTCCAAGAGGCCTCCCCTCACGGCGGGCGTAAACGGCGTGAAAAGTCCCGCCCAATAATGCCTCTGGGTTACTCAATTGGGAAGAGCCATTTTCTCTCTCCAGCGGCTCAACTCAAACTTTTTTTTTGGCTAGAGTAACATACTCGAAAACTCGTAAACAGGGCTATCTGATCGTGGTACCTTGCCGGATCGGAATGAATATACGCGGCTCGATGCGCCCGTCCATATGCACAATAGAGGAGGCCTCTCGTTTTTCTTCCCGTTGTGTATATCCAATCAACTACCAAGCGAACGAAGAAAAAAAGAGGATGAGAAGGGGGGATTGGACGCATAGGTCAGGAACCCGGTCGGAAATATTTCTTACGTACTCGTACATGTTTGTGGCGGCCGGCAGTGAGTTTTTGCACGATGCCGCAATTATTGCAACAGCTTCTGTAAACATTGCGACAAGAAGCAAGGGGTAGATAGTAAAAAAGTCAAGCAGCAAACACAACAACAACCCCCAGTATCGAATCAGGCTTTTGTTTAATTGTGATTTTTGTGGTTTAATTGTCTGGAAATAAACCAGAACCACTAGTTAATCCTCGTTTCGATGTGTCATTAACTGCCTTTCTACACACCCCCCAGACCCAAAACAGAGGTGAGAGAGCTTTCTCTCTCCATCGTGACCTGGGGCTGGAATGGTGCCATTGACCTGGAACCCCCGAACCGGGCTTGACGGGCCACCTGGCGCAGCGAAGGAAATTAAACAACGAAAGTCGCATCGTGACCTTTCTCGTTTTTTTTTTCTTTCTCACTTTCTTTCCTTGGTCCGTGGTCGAGCTAGAGACCCGTGACGGCTGACTTGCCCCAAGCTTTCCCCAGGGAATGGGGAATGCAAAAAAAGGAGAACGGGACCTGGCAAAAAATCCGGGGAAAGGCACCCTTGGCAAGTGACGATCCGAGTTTTCCATCCCCCTTGTGGCTGTGCTATTGGAGTCACGATCTCTTCACTCCTGTCAATAGCAACTAGAGGCGTTGTTGGGGTAAAGCGGTCTCCGGGAACTCAACGCCCCCCTATTTTTGGCAGCGGGAAATGTGGACGTGTGCTGTGCGTGCGTGTATGTGTTCCACACACCTTGAGGTGTGAAGTCTAGAAGTCGGTGGACTGAAAAGGTGAATCGGGGTAAAGGGACGGTGAGAGAAAGATCGTGACACATCGTGTCTCTTGACCCTTCCCGTGGGGACATGGTTCACATCTCAACCTTTACAACTACGTGACTGAGCATCGAACCCACAGAGTCAGTCCTGAAAATTCAGACTTGGACAGTGCGTCCATTCATGATTCCAGGCTTCCTGTCAAGTTTCCCCAAACTCTTACCCCATAACATCCACATGGTATATTGGTATGCAGGAAGGGGGAACAGCGCAGTGCTTGTTACTTCCCCAGAAGGAGGAGAGAAGAATCGAATTTGGACGAAACAAAAGGCCTTGTCAGACCGCGTGACGAGAGGAGTCTTGGGTCCAGGACCTTTGGAGACCGGCAGTGTTTTACAACGGCTTTTCCATTTGGTAATGGCGATGCGGGATCGCGGGGCATCAATTTGGATCGTCGGGGCCCCGGCCTGGGGTGGCTAGATTCAGTGGAATAGACTGTCTTGTTACGCAAGTCGAGACTTTGAAAAGGGAGTGAGAGTATCGTGAGTTGTGAACGCCATCCAAGGTACGGTACCGAAAAGCTGGGGTAAAGCAGAAGCAGAAGGAAGCGCAAGCTGCAAGAGTCAGAGGGAACGGGGCATTGTCCAAACGAACTAGGTTTCCCATCATCCAGAGTCCTTCCCAACTTCCCCAATGGGGCCAAGTCGGACTGTCCCGTGGCCATCTCGGGGTCGTAACTGGCGCTGGCGCGGGCTGCACGATCAAGTAATCTGGGGGTAATGGAAACTCGACGATTCGGGGGCCCGGTCCCGTCGGTTGGCAGATGGAACAAACAACAGCCATGCTAGAGCGGCTGTGGGGAAAGGGAGACATCAGCCGCCGCGCTCCCGGGCCACTCGGGGCTGGAAGGGTCAAGGGCCATCCCCAACATTGTTGCCGTCCCGTGATCTTTTTACAGGCTTGACTGATTCTCCCCTCGGATCTTGGACCCAGGGGTTTTGCTTCTTGTCCTGGTCTAGACTGTTGTTGGGGGGCCCTTCCTGGGTGTGCGTGTGTAAAAGGAGGGCTGAGCTGGTTGATCTGTGTAGTTGTGCAGAAGATCTGGGGTAAGAGAAATGTGGAAAACAGAGAGACTTGGTTCCTGACGAAGTCGCCGGAAGGGAAGAGCGGAAGACTGGTGTTTTTTGTTCTGGGGGAATTAGATAACCCGGTTCCTGTGTCCGTATCCATTTGCGATTGATAGTCTTTGGACGAACATGGCCGTTGCTATTAGTGTCCATATCTTTGTTATGAGGTCTGGGCTGTTGCTGGCCGGGGGACTTGCTGTTATCATGCCGTGATTCACGAGGGGAGGTACGACTACGTACACATCAAAGAGGTAAACGTCGTATGTGTACTTGAAAAGATACATGATGCCTCTTTGAATTAGATACATTAGTATTGCGAAAGTAGGTATCGTGGGTATCTAGCATGGTACATGATCGGAAACCACTTACAATGGAGCAAGGTACGACGAAGTTGATTCTTTTTCTGGGGCTTTAGAGGGGCAATGGCTGGGAAGTCGTCTCGAAGCAAGGCCGGCGCCTGACAAGCGGGCGTTTTGAGCTGCAACGCGAATAAGCGGTAAAAAAAGGGGGAGGTATAGAGTACTCACGATTTGTTCAAATTTTCAAACGGGTTTCTTTACCCGCAGCGTGATAGACAGTATTCTTCAGAGTAATCTGCTTTCTTGTCCAAAGTACAGAGGTACCTTCGCTTACCGTCACCGGTCTTTTCGTAACGAGTCCTGTGCTTTGTTGGGAAAGAAACGCAAAAAAGACATCATCTCGAGGGTACATGTCGTTTCGTCTGTACATAGAACGGCGGCTACCAGTGCCGAACTCTCGGGGCGTCTGATAATGGGAAGGTGACTGACGACGGGATTAGAGTGTGCAATGCAACAACAGAAGCAAGTTGGCAACACAGCAAGCAGCAGGTCGGCGGGTAAACCGGGTACGCACAGGACGGCCCATGGAATGCTCTTTTGCGAGAGCTCACGGGATCCAAGGCCGCGCACTGAGAGACCGGCCGCCCGGGCGTGTGGCTCTGGTGGACAGTACCGATTTTGACACATTTGCCTGCGGTGAGTAAGACCTTATGCCTTGTTGAAGGCTATTGCCATCGGGTTTGGCTGCTTTGACTTGGCCTTTTGAACCTGGCATCCGACATGGCTCATCTTGGATGGACTCTGTAATGCGCTGCTTTCTGCTTCATCCTTTCGTGCCCTCTCCCAAGTCCCAATCCAACCGGGCCGGTCATGTTGGGTAACACAGAAAAGTATGATATGAGGTTTGGAGAGACGTCGGGTGCCCGCTCCGACACTTGGACCTCGAACGAAAAGAGGTACCTCGCAAGGTATCCTTACGAATAGAGGATGCGAGAGAATAAAAAAAAAATTGCAAGAAAAATTGGAAAGTGTACCGCTGCTGTGTGGATTGAAGAGCCTCGAATAGCCGTGACATGTAAAGAGAGGTGCAGATACGTACACTGGTAAGTCTCTTGTACCTGCTTTCGGTCTTTCCCACGATGCCTTTTTGCAGAGAGAATAACCGAGAAAGGACGGCACAGAGAAGTACGGATACATCCAATGGGAAGAAGTAAGGTACCTACGTACTGTTGGATACGTACCGTTGGAGGGCATCGTGGCCTCCCCAGTGGATGTTTGAGGTCTTGGTGGTTCCTTGGTGCCCCAAGTGCCCCTCCATTGGCGCATGTGATGTGCCCCATGTGGCAGCTCCCAGGCCTCACTTGCCTCAGCTTCTGCCCCAGCTACCCAGCCGAAAATGTCGCCTTACGCCGTCAGGTACGATGGGGCATACGGCTGCGATGAGGGTGAAGCAAGTACCTTTTTCACCTGTACCTCTATCCCAGACGGACAGGCGGACCCAGGCCCGGGACGGTCGCACTCGCCAACACCACCACCGCCGCGCCGCCTTCGCCGCCAGGTACCGCAATACTTACGCAGTAGTACCTACCTCCATCCGTACCTACATACCTTACTTGGAGAAACTTGAGAAGGAATACCTAGGTAGGTACCTTCCCGCCTCTCTCTTCCCTCGAGCTGTAAGCCTGTGATCCAATCAGCAAGGCTAATTGGAGTCTGCTGCCTACCCGGAACGGCTTAGCCCAGTTTCTGTTTGGTAATAGTTCGCCATTTGTGCTGCGGGTGAAGTCATCATCGTGATCCAACTCGTAGTAGACACTGGACGAGAAGCCACGGGAGCTTCATTCGAAAGGGCGAGAGCTGCAAGGATGCATGTCGACGTGCTTCCCCTGGAGGCCCTGTAGGGTGGAAAATATGCAAAATTTCCTTCACAACGTCTCCCGCCTTTTGCGAGTCACCTGCCCGGCCAAGGGGGGTGTGTGTGTACATGGAAGAAGGGACTTGGAGAGACGTACTCTTGTAGAAGGGAATTAGAAGAGAGGAAGAAAGGTCAACTGGGAAAAGAATGGCCGGCATTGATTTCTTGTAGTCAGAGAAGCATTCGTCGTCGTCGTCGTCGTCGTGGTCAAGTCATCAAGTACCTGTGAGTATAAAGCTTAGAGCCGGGCCTCTTGGATCGTGAGTTTCTCAGTTCCTGATCGACTTTGCTTTTTCCTCATCCTCACCTTCATCCTCGTCTCCTCCTCCCCCTTGCAAGAGCCTCAACTAAAGCTCGAGATTAAACAGCTTCACCCAACAAGCACCGTTTACCCGCTTGCTGTTACTCTTTACCTACATCCCTCCCTCACGCTCTGTCTTCAATCCTACTGGCCAAAGAAGACCTACCTTATCTCTCAATCTCTGAGCCACCACAAAGGTAAACAACATACACACGCAGCTCTCCGTCATTCTCTTCACCAATCCCTAATTGCTTCCCTCACCGTGCCCGCCTATGGGCTCCCTATCTCGCGTCAGCCACACACCTGTAGTACACAGCCCAGCCAACAGCCGTCAGCCAGCTCTCTCAGCAACCGGCCCGGCGGCGTGGTGTTCTGTTGTGTCTCCCCCAATTGCTGCCCTCTTGCTTGTGCCTTTCAAGTTTCCACCACCCCAGGCCCGTTCACAGCCCTGTGGCCACGGCTGCTACGACCTTGTCCGCCCGCCTTGCTGCTATTTTCAGCTGAAGGCAGCAAAAACCGAGTCGATACGGGAGCGCTAACTCTCACTCAGTTCAGGGTCCCTTATCTCTCAGAAGCCCGCCCCTCGGTGTTGCCACATCCACATCTCACGAAGTCACAGACTGAATTCCTGGTATCTTTTGCTGAACCAGGATCTGGATCTGACGAAACAACTTCTCTCACTCTTGATTGCGATCACTTCCTTCTCGAATCCAGCGAGAAAGATTCCAGGCCCCTCTTGGCCGCAGGTCGCAACCCCACCGGCATTCCATCCAAGGCCAGAACACCTCTGACCCAGACGTAACCGATCGACCCAAACCCGGTCCTCGATTTCAGTTCTTCACCCCCCTGGTGCCTGAGCAATACTCACCGAAAAGGTACCAGCTACCAGCGAATTGACCCCAAGCCGGTCGGATGGCTGTGTTGCCCGGGATTCCCATCATCCACCTTTACGTCAATTGACGCATTTTTGATCACCCTCTTCTTGTTCTCTCTGACTCTCGGGGTTGTAACAAACACAAGAGAAGAAAAAAGGTACATTGGCTCCCCCGTACCTGAAAAGCTGAATAAGATTTGTGCCCTGCCTTTCCATATTACAACAAGTCACGGGCAACAGCTTCCACAATTCCAATACGGGACGTCCTGCTGACCACTAGTCGCGCTTACAAGGAAACTCCCTCTCGCTCTGCCCGCGGTTGCTTTCCTCTTTACACAGGAAAACACGTATATATCGGCCTCTTTCTAGGTTTTGAGATACCTCGTCCTCGAACCTTTCCTGCCACGCCCACGCCCCCCTTCTTATCATCCGCTGCCTCTTTTCATCCCGTCTTCATCTGTCAAAAAACAGCCTGTTCTTGCCATTGGCTTGTGAGACAACCCACGGCTCCTTTATCATTCACCACCACCACAACCGTCAACAACAAAGCTCAGGCCAAGCACCTTACCGTCAAAGTGCCCCGCCGGATCACCTCTCCGAGACTTTGACATCAGTCACTCACCTCGGCTTCACCTACACCAGATTCCACGTCCTACATAACAAACACCACGCCCCGCGATATCTGCACTCCTCCCCGGAAACAGACAGCGTGTCTCTCATCCTCTATCTTTTCCTTATCCCCCTATACCGACCAACCAACCAACAGTCGGCAAGAAGCAGCTATCCGAGCCCATTGTTAGCTCTGCATCTGCTTTCCTACCTGATCCCGTATATCTGAATCGGATCAGCATCGCGCTAGTCTACCGAAGACGCAAGGTACGCCCGTCCGAGTTCACCTTCCCCAACTCCAAATTCCCATGCCCTTTCACCTCTCGTTGGCCCCCCCCTGCCCATCCCTTATCAGTCCGCCCATTGCACGAGCCTACGGCGGTGAAGCTTCAATGCTCCCGTTGCTCTCTCGATTCCTACCTTTGCGCGCGATTCCATTTCCACAACACAGCACCTCTGCTCTACCTTGCGGGCCCTGTACAATTCCCAGACCGCATTGTCCAGAGCAAGAAAGCCTGCTCTAGATCCCCACGACCCATTACCGGTCCCGGTTCTCGCAGTCAAACGTAACGGGCGCTCGACAAAGCTGTCCTGCCAGCAGTCTGACACTGACTCACAAACATCATGTAACTTTTCCTGGTTGCTGCGATGCTTCGTTGTCCCCGTCAACATACTTAGACCCTGGGGTCGCCCATCCTGACACTCGTCTTCCTCTCCCTCTTCACCACAAAAACGTTTCCCGCCATAATCACGCTGCTTCATCCTGCCATCTTGTTGATTCGCTCCTTGCCACAATGTTGGCCTTGTGAATCAATACTGACCTTCCTCCCATGGATAGGTATTCTTCAGAGCCAGACCCCCTCGAAGAAATCACCGACATCATGGCGACCGCCGCTCCTCCTCGTAACAAGATGCTGGGCCAGGTTCAGGCCGACTCAGCAGAGAGCAGCCGTGGCCCCTCTCCCCAGCCAACACATTTCAGCTTGCCCATGGCTTCTCGCTCAAATGGCAACGGCCACAGAGTTTTGAGGTCAGCAACTGTTGGCTACATTGCGCCGACATTTGTTGGCAAGCAAGAGCAGATGGAGCAGGGTGAGTTTGTTGTTGTCCAGGAACCAAGTCTAGGACGCCACTAACACGCGCGAAACTAGTCAAGGAGCTCATCAAGAACAACGGATGGATCCCAGAAGCTCTGATTGAGGAGCAAGTCACATGGTTCTACGACGAGCTCGGCATCGACGATGTCTACTTCAAGATTGAAGTTCCCGAGGTCATTGCCAGCCAAATCACATCTCTGTACGCCGCCAAGGTGGCCGCCTTCGCCCGCGAGGATAAGCGCGAGGAGATTAGACTCGACATGGAGGCGCATGACCACGCAATCTACATCGACACAAGCGAGCCCGGCAGAACGTCCATTGCTGGACCCCGCTACGAACAGCGCCTCGAGGCCAAGTATCTTGACCACGTTGGCAAGACCAAGTTCCGTGTAGAGACCTTCCGCTCCCCTGGAGTTCTGGGCGCATCACCAACCTCCAAGGCCACCCTGCGATGCTACTTTGTCTACCAATGTCTCTTCAAGCAGAGCCCCGAGACAACGGACCCGCACGAGACCCGTTTGGAGGTTATCGCCGACAACGGTTTCTTGCAGAAGGCCACCAACAACACCAAGCAGATCTACCAGGAGATCATCGATCTCGCGGTCAATAGAACTGGCCCCGTCATTGAGGTCTTCGACATTGAGGGCTCTCCTGAGAAGCGCTTGGTCATTGCCTTCCGCTCTCGTACTGCCCGTGGCCTTTTCTCGGCTCTCAGTGACCTGTACCACTACTACGGCGTCACCAGCTCCAGAAAGTACGTGGAGCAATTTGCCAACGGTATCACGGTCATGAGTATCTACCTTCGTCCCGCTATGAACATTGAGGGCAACTTCCCATCATTGGACCAGTCGATCCACCAGATCACCAAGGAGATCTCCCTGCTGTACTGCATTCCCCAGAACAAGCTGCACTCTCTCTTCACTGCCGGTGAGCTGAGTTTGCAGGAGACCGTCTACGGCCACTGCGTCTGGGTTTTCATTCAACACTTCCTGAATCGTTTGGGTTCTGAGTACATCTCCCTGTCAGAGATTCTGGACCCCAAGAACCAGGCTCACACAGCACTTCTGTCCAAGCTGAAGCGCCGTTTGAGGACGGAGACTTTCACTCCCGACTACATTCTGGAAATCATCCAATCGTACCCCGGGCTTGTCCGCGCCCTCTACGCTTCTTTTGCCTCGGTGCATCTTGCCGTCGGACCCGACTTTGACCGTCACTTCATCGCCCCCACCCCGGCCATTGAGGTCTTGTCCGATGCCAAGCTCAAGGAGCGCATCACTCGCGATGTTTCCAACGAGCACGAGGAGATGGTCATGACCGCCTTCCGCGTCTTCAACAACGCCATTCTCAAGACCAACTACTTCACCCCCACCAAGGTTGCCCTGAGTTTCCGCCTGGATCCCTCTTTCTTGCCTGAGATCGAGTATCCCAAGCGTCTCTACGGCATGTTCCTCGTTATCGGCGCCGAGTCGCGCGGTTTCCACCTGCGCTTCAAGGATATTGCCCGCGGTGGTATTCGCATCGTCAAGTCCCGCAGCAAGGAGGCTTACGGCATCAACGCCCGCAACCTGTTTGACGAGAACTACGGCCTGGCCAGCACCCAGCAGCGCAAGAACAAGGATATTCCCGAAGGCGGTTCCAAGGGTGTCATTCTTCTTGACCCCAAGATGCAAGACCGCGCCGAGGAGGCCTTTGAGAAGTACATTGACAGTATTCTCGACCTTCTGCTCCCTGCCCAGACTCCCGGCATCAAGAACCCGCTTGTGGACCTGTACGGCAAGGAGGAGATCATCTTCATGGGACCCGATGAGAACACGGCAGAGCTCGTCGACTGGGCTACTGAGCATGCTCGCGCCCGCGGCGCACCCTGGTGGAAGTCATTCTTCACTGGCAAGTCGCCTAAGTTGGGTGGTATTCCTCACGACACTTACGGCATGACAACACTGTCTGTCCGTGAATACGTCAACGGTATCTACCGCAAGCTCAACCTTGATCCCTCGACCGTGAAGAAGATGCAGACCGGCGGTCCCGATGGTGACTTGGGCAGCAACGAGATCCTTCTCAGTACTGAGAAGTACACTTCCATTGTTGACGGATCTGGCGTTCTCGTCGACCCCAACGGACTTGACAAGCAAGAGCTTCTCCGTCTTGCCAAGTCACGTTCCATGATTGTCAACTTCGACATGTCCAAGTTGTCCAAGGATGGGTACCGCGTGCTGGTTGATGACAACAACATCAACCTGCCCACTGGAGAGTTTATCTCCAACGGCACATCTTTCCGCAACACCTACCACTTGCGCGATACTGGTCTCACCGACTCCTTCGTTCCCTGCGGTGGTCGCCCCGAGTCCATTGACTTGATTTCGGTTAACAAGATCATCAAGGACGGCAAGTCGACCATCCCCTACCTGGTTGAGGGCGCCAACCTCTTCATCACTCAAGATGCCAAGCTCCGTTTGGAGGAGGCTGGCTGTATCCTGTACAAGGACGCCAGTGCCAACAAGGGTGGTGTTACGTCTTCGTCCTTGGAGGTTCTTGCTTCGCTCTCATTCGACGACGAGAACTTTGTCAAGCACATGTGCCACGACGCCAAGGGCCAGGCTCCTCAATTCTACAAGGACTACGTCAAGTCTGTCCAGGCAAAGATCCAGGAGAACGCCCGTCTCGAGTTCGAGGCCATCTGGCGCGAACACGAGCAGACCGGTGTTGCCCGCAGCACCCTCTCCGACAACCTGTCCAACGCCATCACCACCTTGGACGAGGAGCTCCAGCACTCCGATCTCTGGAAGAACGAAGCCATCCGTCGCTCGGTTCTCCAGGACGCTCTCCCCAACCTTCTTTTGGAGAAGATTGGTCTCGACACTATTATCGAGCGCGTCCCCGACTCTTACTTGCGCGCCATCTTCGGCAGCTACCTCGCCTCGAGGTTCGTCTACCAGTTTGGCAGCCAGCCTAGCCAGTTTGCTTTCTACGACTTGTAAGTTTCCCGCCGTCCTTCAATTCACTGAACATGATTCTAACCTTCTACTTAGCATGGCCAAGCGTATGGCGAGCGTCAAGCAGTAATCTCTTTTTCGATTGCTTTTTGAATCAGGCGTGTTTCTGTTTTCCCTGCATGATAATGGGTATTGGAGAATTGGATAAGTGATTTCGTGCTTCCTGGCATATACAAGCATGGGTGGTGCGAAAGAAAAGACAGAGAAAAAGGGGCATCATGATACGGCAAGAAAAAATTGAGCAAAGGATCACAGTCCACCGCTTAGATGGTGTGGATGAATTGCATACTAATAGGAGTTATCGGGCATGGTTATCACAAGGTTACCTGATGGTCAAGAAGATCACAGCAGTTATTCAATGAGAATTTTTAACCTCAGTTTGGTGCTTTTCCTGTCTTGATACTCACGAGGTCGTTACTTATGCTCAGCTTGAATGTGTTTCAGCAGTTCTTCCCACGTTCCTGGCACTCCTTGTAGGGCGCGAGTTGGTATAATTCACGCCGCCTGCTGATAGACGCGATGCAGGCTTATCCGGCCGCACAAGTGTGCGAATGGCTCATTGCGTAGTTACCGCTACAGGGTAGTAGTTTATGGCACATCTTGAACCATTGTAAACTATGTAGACGGCCAGGTGTAGTCTCCATCCAACTGTATGAATCAAAAATATCTCGTCCCAAAGGACGCGCGCGGTACGAAGACAGCAGAGAACGAATAAAACCTCAAGTTTAAGCCAAAGAGATGATTGTAGAAACACCAAGAAGACCAGGTCATGTCGTTGAAATGAAGATTACATGAACATGCAGATCTACGTCCACGCCCTCTCTCTCTCACGCCTACCTTTGTACAATACCCTCCCCCTTCCTCCTCCCCAGTCAGTTTTCCATACACTACCGGACTCAGTGTAGTGTATCCAAACTGTCGGGACGGCCCCTGTGACCACTCGGTCCGTTCCGAAGAAGGGGGTGGGCTGATTGGAAGATAGGTATGGCGAGGACCGGCGGGCGTGGGGGTTCGTTCCCATATAAGTACACACCCATTTCCATTCCCCCCCACGGCCCTGCGCGGGTCCCCGGAGATCTTTGAATGTGGGAGAGGGAAGTTTTCGGCGTTTTGCTCCGATGCGGGCGGAGCCGATCCGGCTTGAGATCCGAGGGCTCGGCAACATGTTCTTTCTTTCTCTTTTCTTTCTTCTTTTCTCTCCAAGTGTATATCTGGTCATGATCGTGGTTGATCTGGGTGACGATGGTACAGGTATAGAGGGAGCACTGGTTATTCCAAAGTGTGTCTGTCCATTTCAATGCCACTGATGTAAGTTTTCTAGCTTAGCTTCAGGTCCCTGAATCGAGGCATATGCCAAAACATTGCAATCTTCTTTTTCCCCCGTGAAGTCTAAATCCATCCCATGACGACCTTGTACCTGATTAATATAGTTCCCACTTCTAAACACCTCCAAACAAGATATACCGCCGGGGGAACGGGTAGCACGCGAGAAATTGAGCGGATGAGTCAAACACATGGACGCAAGACTCTAGTGCGTCTCGGCCCACGCGCGGAACCACTCCAAAGCCTCGGGATTGGCGACGCTGGCGTTGGTCTTGACGTCCATACCAGAAAGGATCTGCTTGACGGCCACCTCAATCTTCTTTCCGTTCCCCGTCTTGGGGATCCCGCCGCCAGCCTCCTCAATGACACCGGGAACATGCCTGGGACTCAGCTCCCGCCGGATAACGCTCTTAATCTTGCCCCTCAGCTCGTCATCGAACGCGCGGCCCGCGACGGGGACGACGAAAAGGCACACCGTCTCGTCGGCGTCCGTGGCGCGCCGGCGCCCGACGCAGACGGCATCCTCCACCTCGGCGGCGAAGAAGCGCGTGAGGATGTTGTAGATCTCCGCCGACCCGAATCGCACGCCCGCGGGCTTGAGGACGCCGTCGGAGCGGCCGAGCATGACGAGCGAGCCCGTGGCCGGGTTGGGGATCTTGATGAAGTCGCCGTGGTGCCATACCGCGCCCTGCGCGCCGCAGACGTCGGCGAAGCGCTCGAAGTAAGCGGCCTTGTATTTGCTGTCGCCGCCGGTGCCGAAGAAGGTGAGGGGCTGGCAGGGGAAGGGGCGGATGCAGATGAGGTCGCCTGGGTGGGTTGGGTCCGGGAGGGGGTCGCCCGAGAGGGAGTCGACGGCGCGGATGGCCATGCCGAGGCCCGCGCACTGGATCTCGCCGACGCGGACGGGGAGGAGGGGGCAGGGGGCGCCGAAGAGGGAGATGATGTCTGTGCCGCCCGTGATGGAGGCGAGGTTGACCTTGGCGGGGAAGGCCTTGTAGACGAAGGAGAAGGTGGAGGGCGGAAGGGGGCTGGCGGTGGAGTAGATTGCCTCGAGGGCGGAGAGGTCGATGCCGGGCTCGTTTACGGGGTAGACTGCGTTGGCCTCGAGAGCGGTGAGATAGGCGGCCGAGGTGCCGAAGTGGGTGACGCGGAGGTCGGAGAGGAGGCGGGGGAGGGAGAGGTGGCCGTGGGGTTTGAAGGGGGAGCCCGAGTAGAGGACGAGAGTGGCGCCGACGGCGAGGGCGGAGACGGACCAGTGCCACATCATCCACGAGGTTGTGGTGTAGTAGAGCATGCGGGACTTTGCGGTGAGGGAGCCGTGGAGGGCGTGTTCCTTCTTGTGCTGGATGAGGGTGCCGAGGGCGGTGTGGACGATGGCCTTTGGCAGGCCGGTGGTGCCGCTGGAGTAGAGGATGTAGAGAGGATGTGAAGGGGGGAGCTGCTCAAACTTGAGAGGCTCATCGGGAGAGCTTGGGTGAAGATGTTAGCAGGATGCAGTAAAGAGGCTTCTGGTGAGCTTTTCTAGGCATTGATGATGACTTACCTTTGGAGGAACGACTCGTACTCATCAACTGCAACGCCCGTTGCTCTCAGGCCGTCAATGGCAAGGTCGCATGCCACATTGTTGATGACAATCACGAGCTCGAGGCCCTCAGGCATCAGGGCCTTGACAATCTCCTCCGTCTTGTCGGTACTGCTCCACTCCTTGCCGTTGTACACGGTGCCGTTGTCGGCGAAGAGGACCTTGGGCCCGATCTGCGCAAGACGGTCCAACACTGCGCTGACACCGTTGTCGGGGCTAATGCCTGTCCAGATGGCGCCAACAGAGGCAGCAGCGAGAGCGGCAATGATGGCCTGGACGTGGTTGGATACGAAGCCGGCAACAATATCATTGGGCTTAACGCCGTGAGCCCGGAGGCCGGCGGCGCATCGGCGGACGGCGTCTCGGAGCTCGGCCCATGTTGTGGAGACGGAGGGGCCGAGTTCGGTGGTGGTGATGGCTGCGACGGATGTGGGGTCGACAGCGACGTTGGCGGGGAAGAGCAGGTTCTCGGCAAAGTTGAGACGGGCTCCTGAGAAGAAGTCTGGACGCGGGTACATGGGCGCATTGAGCGGCAGGACCTAAGGGGGTTGGCCCATCGGGCCGGATCAGCTAATGGTCTGGGAAAAGTGAAATTGAGGTGATCTTTGGAGGGGCAGCACGGGCGCCGGTATAGGAGGGGGAAGGCGTTGAGATGGGCAAATCGGCATTCCCATGGGCTAGACAATGGCTCATGGCATGACTCAATTGCTCGGGGATGATGGTCATGCAAAAGCTGTATGCCATGACCACATAGCTGTCCGCCTCACTCGAGGCAGTATCAAGGTTCTTGATGGGCGTCCTGACGAGGGTTCAAGACACTGGTGAGGACTATGGATGGCATTGGCGACTTTGTTGGTGTCTCCCTCTGGCTGTTGCTCGCTGTCTCTGGCACTCGCGTAGAGTTTGAGCCCTTCCTCTCAGACTGATGTCACACAACCTCCTTCCCTTTTACCTTCTGCCTGCTATCTTTCAAGATTGGCAGTCAAGGCGCGCCAAGCATGAGTAGGGCAAAAAGAGGATGAGGTTGAGTTGAGGTTGGGGTGAGTTGACGAATAGCATTGGCCCAGCGTACCTTGTCGAACGGCTTAGAGGCGGTGATGCCCACAGAATGCCAGACCTCCTCCCAGAACTCTGCCACGTTTTCGACGGACCACTTGTAGAGACCGGGGTAGTCTGCCAGTTCGAGTCCATACTTTTGATTCACCCGGAGAAGAAACGCCCACATGGGAGTCGAGGTGGGGTCCGGGTGCCGCCAGAGCTCGTTGCGCGTGACACTGGTGATGGTCATGCTGGGCGGATTGGATGAATTGGAGGGAATTGAGATGATGAGAGACGGAAGAGGCAATCGGTGCTCTCAAAATAGGACCTAGACGTTGGGTATCACGGCGACGATGGTGGTCACGTTAAAAAGGGGGAAGAAAATGTTTTCGAAAATTGTGTGCAGCAGCGCGCCAAAGTGAGAGTCGAGAGATTCCGGCCGGAGTGGAGGGAGAAGAGTTGGGCCGTCGCAATCCGAGGATGCAGTTCCGCAGGAAGATTCCGAAAAAGGGTTGAGGACGCAGCACCAGAACAATCTGCTGGACCGGAGTCCGGGGGTGGGGGTGGAATCTGCTGCACCGCACATCGGCGAGCGAGGGCAAGCAGCTCATCGTCAGCTTAGTCTGCTTGGTCCAATCTCCACATCAACTCTTCTTTTCTCAGATACTGTGTGTGGCCAGCTGACTGTGCTTCCGTTTCGCATTGGAGCTCGGTCATGGCTCGTTGCTCGCCTGTTCTTGTCTTCGGAGAACCTTTGACGAACCTCGACATCTCAAACATCGCAGTTCATGGACGCTCTGCTGAGAACGAGGACCGTGGTGAACTGTGCTCTGCCTTAGCTAAGGTACCCGTGGACCATGGACAGTAGTCGTGCCGTTTGACGCTGTACCTGCATCTGGGTAAAAAAAGACTGGTACGACGGGCGGGCGAGCCTGTAGTGTACGGAGTAAGCTCTAGAACTAACAACACAGCACTTGCAGACGCTCCCCACAGTCCAGCTCATCGAGGCACATGAGGCTATGCAGGGCACACCTTGGCAAGGACCTTCACGGCTTCAGGCACTTGAGCGAGGCGTTCATGGCATTGGGAACCCAGAGACTCGCCCATTCCGCTCTTTGGCTGGTGCACCAATGCGCCCCCCTCCTCTACCCTCCCCTTCGATGCGTCTCGTTGGACTCGATCAGTGTTGCGCTATCGCTGTCGCTTCATATCGATAACGTTGTCCAAGCGGACTGGGAAGACGTCTCAGATCGGGACCCAATGCTGGGGAGAAGCCTGCAAGCCGACGGGCCTCAATCAAAGTTGGTGCAGTGACAGCTCACACAATCCCACAATCCCACAGTCGAGGACCTTGTTACACGGGTAAACAAGCACTACAGACGGGAGATTGTGTGAAATGTCATTGGCCGCGCCCAAGATTCCTAGTATCATAATATGGCGAAACCGCAACACGCGATTCGGTCATCGAAGAGATCGAGATGGCTAACTAATGTCACCAAAGCCTCGGGAGACTAGCCGATATGCCGTACGCTGCAGGTGGGTCGATGACTGCTATTGAAGATTGAAGGGTCGCGGAGAATACAAACGTGGAACAGAGAAGCAACGGCATATCGTCAAGCCGTTGATGGAAATTCAAGTCTCGAATTAAATGACCATTCGTGCTGTCGTATCTCGAGCTCGTGTTACCTAACGTTGTGTCCCAAGTCAATCGGAAAAAAGCGAGACATGTGCTGCGCCTCTGGTTCGTTCGACCCATTGCCAACTGGTCATCCGAGCGCCTTGGTTGCTTTTCTCTCTCTTTGCCTTTTGCAACGTCCTGCTTCCATCGCCAAAGTCGAGGGCGCCCTGTGCACGCAGAATATAGTTATGCGATGGGGTCTCACGTAGAAACTGTTCAGCCAAGTGAGTGCCTTGACTTGCTGGGGTCAAGTTAGTTGTTGAACCGTCGGTGAAGCCGACTGGCAGGGCAAACGATGCTCCATTGTGTCCAAGGCACTAGTGGACGAGGGTATTGACAACAGCATTGAGTTGGGCAGAGATGGGCCAGATAGCTGTATGCATTGTGTCGAATGCATTGCCGGAAAGACACGTCCAACGCAACTATTTTGGTGATAACGTCACTTTGACCCTTCCACGGAAGTCATCAGACGGCGTTAGGTGAGGAGGAGGGCTGTCGACAAGCATGGGAACAAGGGGGTTCCATGGTGAAGTGCTTCGCTGGCTCAGCAAGGCTGGCAGGCGACTCAACTTGGAACCATGGATAGGGCGGCGGGAGGTGAAGGTGAATTTTGACTGTTTGACCAAAGGCGGGCCGTTGGACGATGAATTGTGCGACGACAGGGTCCGGTAGTGGTAGCAATAGCCGGGGGAGAACAGGTTAACGGCACTGGCGGGAACTTGGAAGCTCTTTAGCTCAGCTCTTCCCGTCATGCACAGCAGAGCTTGGGACGTGGAGCAGTGAAAGCCTCGCGGGATCTGCGTAGGCTGGGCTAGTGCAACATACCGAGGGTCGCATTTTGATGACATGGTCGGGTAGACGAAGAAGCGGATGACTATGCTTCGAAGCAATGCCAATGCTCAATGGCGGCATGGCTTGATGCTAGAGCGGTTGCGAACTCCAGAGCATCCGAGAGCGAAGGCGGGTGAGGGAATCTTGGTCCTTGGAAGAGGGACGGCGACTGCAGAGAAAGAATTGTCCGATCATCAGTCATCGAGAGTCCGGTGCGTCCGTCTCGGCCGTGTCGTCCGGGCAGCCTGTCAGGCTTCGATTCGCCCCTCCCCCTTTTCCCGCGCGTGATCTGATGGTTGCTTCCTGCTTGCTGCTTGGTGCCAATGGTTGACTGGATGGATGCCGAGTTGAGTAACGCGCCGGGGCCAGACGGGATTTGCCCAACAGCCGAGATCACATTGGATGGGTGGATATGGTAGTGGATCAAAGATGCAGCGAACGTGGTTCGGCCAGAGCAAGGCAAGCCGCAAGCCGCAAACCGTAAAATGAGGTGAGTTGTTAGTCGCGAAGACTGGCCGGAGCATAGCAGACAAGGTTGTGGATATCAGGTAGGGTACGGAGTATTCGTAGTGTCGCTGCTTGTAGAAGGGCCCGCAGAGGGGGTCTGACACTTGGACATTGGGTGAAAATCCAAGAATAAGGATGATTAGGAGCCAACAGTTGTAAGCCTCGCTTGACTGTCAGAGGCAAACAGCATAGTAGGCATTAGCGGTTGGACCAGGGACCAAGTGCTGGTGTGTGTGATATGTGCGTGTGTGATATGTGCGTGTTCGAGAGAGCGATCATCGTGAGTCTAACAGTAGGAGTTCTAGGCGAGGTACGGATAGAAAGACAGGCCAATTGAAGGCAAGACAAGAACGAAAGAAAGGACCGTGCAATAGAAAGACGAACAGCGGGCAACCCGGACATGTCGGGAGACCAGGGGTCAGAAGCGGGAAGAAAGACAAGAAAAAAAAGACTCGTCGAGGTGTGCGAGAATGAGACCTGGGAGTCGATCCTCGAAATTGAAATGATACGCGCTAACGGGGAAGAGAGGAAGAAAAGTCACTCGCATCGCGGCTTCCACAAGAGTTGCGCGGTGGGCAGAGAGCCCCATTAATCATCACATCTGGATGGGAAGGGGGGGGAAGATACTTTGAGGCTGCACCTTATTATGTGCATTCCAAAAGTACCTTTTTGATAACATGCTGTCGTACTAAGGTCATACAACCTGGAAGGTACGGATGCTACACAGTAAGGTACAGCCCGTCCACGCGGTAATTTTCCTCACCGTCGTGGATCTCCTCTGCATTATCCGTATTGTGTGTTTTTTTTTTTCTTCTTTCCTCGTCGGGTCCATTACCTTTATTTCCCGACTTGTGCCCTCTTTCCTTTTCAGAGTTCTTCTCCTCCTTCTTCCTCTTCCCCTTCCTTCCTACCCAAGCTCACATCATCCGGTGGTTCCTTCCTTTCATTCCCCGTCCTAACCTTCCCTTGGACTCTGGAGCTGCCTTCCCGAACAGCCCGACAGCAGACCAATCGCAGGCCTGCATCGATCGAGAAGAGAGGTCCAGACACCACTTTGACGCCACAGGTACCTCGTCACCTGCTTTTCGCCGTGGGGATACTTGAGCTACCAAGTAACACACTCGAAAAAAAGTCACCTCACTTTTCAAGGTCCTTACCTCATCACTGCGTCTACGTACTCCGTACCAACGCGCCTCACCTCAGTGCAACAGCTGCAGCACCCACCCGCACCAATTTTACCTAAAATCACGGTCCAATCCCATCGCGCGACAAGCCGAAATCGACAATTTGCCTTTTCCTCTTTCGCTCCCGCCATCTCCAACAAATCTCCCTCTCCATCCTCCCGAGTTTCCATCCTCCTCAGCACTCACACTCACTCCTTGCAGTTGCGGCCCCTTGCAGCTGTTACAAATTCTGCGAGACTTGCTCGGTTCACCACCTTTTGCCGTCTGCATCTTCTGCTTCTCAACGGGAAACCCCATTCTTCAGATTTGCACCAGACCTGGAACTCTCGCCCTGAGCCACTGCAGAGCCACGACCTCTTAATTGCATCCTCGTTGCTCTCCTGCGCCCCCCTAACCCCCTTTTCGCTTTCGCCTCCTCAACTTCTTGCTTTCTCACAACTTGCTCAATCGCAAAAGCAAAAGAAGTCGCCAAAGAGAAAAAGATTTCCTCGGACCTACACGACTGTATCTCCAACCTCCAACTTTCGGTCACTTAAGCCCCAGTTGCTTACAGCCTTTCTTGGTGAGTGCTTGACCGTTAATTCATCATCATCATCATCATCATCACCTTTCCTCCAAAAACAACCCAATCCGAGGACTCCGGCGCCTCGATAGCCTCTGTGGCTCCCCCAAGCGTCTTGTTAGCGCTTCCTCTGTGTCTTGTTTCGTGCTTCCATCAAACCGCCGCAAGAGGTCGGAGGTGAGCCCTTGGCTATTCGCACTTCTAGCGCGCCCATTTTAGTGGTCGCCTATTCTGTCTCTGCGACCGCGGGTGCGCCACTGACACTCTGACCGACAATTTCCCTAATTCTCAAACCACCAACCATTTTTGTTATCTCTTCCACAACATCCGGGCCTCCCGTCAGACTTGCATTTCGTGCTGACCGATCGTCTTTCTTCTTCACAGCGCATCAATCCTCGGTTTCGTCAAGGAAAACAGCTTCGTCCTCGTTCTCTCCCTCAATTCGGTCTTTTCCTGCTCCATTGCAGACTTCGAATACCCCTATTCCAATCGCCATTGAGTCGACCATAGACAGCCACGCGCTTCTCAGCAATGCCCCGTAGAATTGCGAATCCCTTCTCCAACGCTCATTCACCCGCCATGCCGCTCTCCGAGAAGGAAAGGAGACCTTCTCGTTCCGGCAATCGCATCACCAACTTCTTCACCTCCCCCAAGGGCGCCAAGGACAAGGACCACCAGACCGCCCAGCAAGCTCTCCTCGCCATGCAGCAGCAAAACATCTCGTCCACCCAAATCACCCCTTCCACCATCTCCCTGCCTACAATTTCGCTCTCAACTGCCACCGCTGGCGAGCCCGACACCACTGACCCCCCTACGACCCTCTTTTCGCCTCCCTCAGCCGTCGAGACGGAGAAGAAGAGGCGCTTCGACGCTCAATTCGGCCCCCTCCTTCACCCTACCCACCGATACGTGAGCAAGTCCAACGATGGCAAGCCTTTGGACCCGCCCATCATCGATGAGCCGCCCTACTACTACATCCTCACCACCTACATCAGCTACCTGCTTCTCATTCTCTTCGGCCACGCCCGCGACTTTTTTGGCAAGCGCTTCGGCGACAAGAAGCATTACCAGGCTCTCAAGCCCCAAAATGGATACGCTCCCTTGAACGAGGACTTTGACAACTTTTACGTTCGTCGTCTGAAGATGCGCATTGACGACTGCTTCGCACGACCCATCACCGGCGTTCCCGGCCGCTACATTACCCTCATGGATCGCGAGTCTAGAGACTACAACAGAACCTACAACTACACTGGCACACACACCGAGACATTGAACATGAGCTCCTACAACTACCTTGGTTTCGCGCAGTCGGAGGGCCCTTGTGCCGATGCTGTTGAGGAATGCGTCAAGAGATACTCTCTCAGCACTTGCAGCCCCCGCGCTGATGTCGGTACTTCGGACTTGGCTCTCGAGGTCGAGAAGGAAATCGCCAGCTTCGTCGGCAAGCCCGCTTCCATGGTCTTCTCTATGGGTTTCGTCACCAACGCTAGCTCGTTCCCCGCCCTCGTCTCCAAGGGTTGCCTCATTCTCTCTGACGAGCTCAACCACGCTTCCATCAGAGTCGGTGCTCGCCTCTCCGGTGCGGTCATCTCATCCTTCAAGCACAACGATGTCGTCGATCTCGAGCGCAAGCTTCGTGAGGCCATCTCCCAGGGTCAGCCCCGCACCCACCGCCCTTGGAAGAAGATCCTGGTTGCCGTCGAAGGTCTGTACTCTATGGAGGGCACCATGTGCGATCTCCCCGGTGTCATGGCATTGAAGGACAAGTACAAGTTCTACCTCTTCATCGATGAGGCCCACAGCATTGGCGCCGTCGGACCCCGTGGCCGTGGTGTCTGCGACTATTACGGTATCGACCCCGCCCGCGTCGATATTCTCATGGGCACTCTTACCAAGTCTTTCGGTGCCAACGGTGGCTACGTCGCCGCTGACAAGAGCATCATCGACAAGCTCCGTAGCTCCAACGCCGCGACCACTCTTGGCGAGTCGCCTGCTCCTTCCGTCCTCATGCAAATTCTGGCCTCTCTCCGTTTGATCACCGGCGAGCTTTGCCCCGGCCAAGGTGCTGAGCGCCTGGAACGTATTGCCTTCAACTCTCGCTACCTCCGTCTTGGTCTCAAGCGCCTCGGTCTCATCGTTTACGGTCACGATGATTCCCCCATTATCCCCGTCATGCTCTACAACCCCGGAAAGATGCCTGCCTTCAGTCACGCCATGCTCAAGCGCAAGATTTCCGTCGTTATTGTCGGCTACCCCGCAACGCCTCTTATTAGCTCGCGTGTCCGATTCTGCGTCTCCTCAGCCCACAACAAGGAGGATCTTGACAGACTTCTGGCTGCCGTTGACGAGGTTGCCGATCAACTCCAGATCAGATTCTCTACTGGTATTGCTGGCGGCCAGGAGCCTCTTCCCGAAGGCATTACTCCCGAGACGGAAGCTGAGTGGCGCAAGGCGAACGGCACGGAGGGCATGTACAAGGCTCCCCGCTGGAAGCTCGAGGATGTCATCGCTCGTGGAGTCCAGGATGCCAAGATGCGCCTTCGGTAAAGCAAGAGTCGTTCCAAGTTGGAGTTAGCAAAGAAAAGATTCACGACTGTTCGGACCATTGGGTCTGGCCTTTGACGAGACGCGGACTGGACGGAACGATGAGACGACGTCTGGGGTGGAAGAGGGAGTTTGGTGCCCTGTGTTCAATTCTGCCGGCTTCGACTTGTTTGCATGATACCTGTGATATCAACTGTCGAGTGTCTATTATACCTTGATTGGGGAGCCTGCATGGCCTTGGCGTTTTTGGGAGTAATGATCGGAACAGCGAACGAATTCATGTGCCACGGCACCGTACCAACATAACTAGTAGTATTAGGCTCACAAGAGCTGAACAATATAGACGACAACTAAGGTACCTTAGAGTAATGCACATATCCTTCATTGGACATTATATATACCCTTTGCAGTGAGCATGTCTATTCTTAAGATGTTGAGGGATGCCCTTCAGTCCCGCGTTGTATCCCTGTGCTGAATGTCCGAGTGCTAGGTGCCCATATGATAAAAGGACTTGGGTTAAAATTGAAGTCATGACAGCTGAATACTCTCAAACCCGCAGCCGTCGGCAGATCACACGATGGCCCGCTTGGAGAACAGTACGTATAATATTGATGGGTGCGTTACCAAATCGCCAGCGTCTCATTTAGTAAAGGGGCCGGACACGTGCCGCCTCAACTATGCCGCAGTAGCGTCGTGGGCGAGAGTTGTTGCCAGCACCCCTCTTAAGCCAATTCTAATGATCAAACGACAACGTTTGACTAGACCTTAGGTTCGATCCCTTTGCACAGCTGAGACGGGAAGAAGGGGATGTGTATATATATATGGGGACAAGGCGGCGTATATTCCGGAGGAAAGGCTTCCCTATTGGAAGGTAGGTAGGTAGGTATATGAGAAAAGTATTCTCGTCGTCCTGGCACCGTCGGAGGGGACTTCTGGCGCAGTAGTTGCGACTGATTACTTTCAATCACACACAAAGGGACTCGACCTCCGATGGCTTATTTATTTTTGACGGGTCCTAGGTTGGAGTCATCCTACAGTTATTGCGTTTCTTCAGCGTCCAGTGTATAGAGAACTACGGGCTATGTTTGATCTGAGGCTTTGAGGTAAAGAGCCGCAATAAGATATCTCAAAGCAATCGAAGGTCAGGATCCGTCTGTGTTGATACTGGTGTTACTAGCTAGATCCAGAAGAATAACAAGGGGCAAGATGTACTCGAACAGAGCTAGAAAGCCCCCCCTCCTGGGACTGTATTGGGGAGATGATATATTCCATCTCTGCCGTGGGCAAGTAGCTCGGCGGGAATACAACCTCGATCTCTGCATGGCCAAGACCCAAGTGAGAGGATCTATCTTTACGTATAGGACCAGAAGATTTCCCAGCGGATCAAAAAGTTTCGTTGGAGCGAGGAAAGCAAAACACACCTGGGCCTACGCAATCGCAGTCCAACTCTCATTGAACAACAACATCAATTGACTCGTGGACACGAATTCGACACTCAGTTCTGCTATCAACCTACTCGGCATAACCCGCCTTTGACTTGTGCTCGTATTTTACAGGTCGGCAACCGTTTGCCGTGCGTATACCTGGCAAACTGATCTACTTATACACCTCCCCTGGAAGATCCGGATGAAGCGTATTCCTCCCCTAAGTCACTCAGCAGCCAACCACCCTCCCAACTTTACCCTTCTCTCACCCAATACAGAAAGAGAAGGCTCCCTATATCGGTTTCAATTACCCTTGAGAGCTAAATATCCATGGCCTTGAAAACAACGCCGTAGCTCTCTACTCACGAAGCCGAGAAACCACCGCCGTCTTCAGCCATGAACACCCAGCTTCAGTAATTTATTTGCCGCACCTACAAGTCTCATATTAGTCTCTTTCGCCCCCCTTCAAATACCAAATCTAGCGGGGAGACGGGTTCTCAAAACGTACTCGGTACGGGAGTTGCCGGTGGTCTGGCTGATGCACTCCGCGGGCCACTTGGAGCCGCCGTCGCACTTGGAAGGGCACGCGCCGGGGCCGAGGCCGCTGTCAATCACCTAATCGTCGAACGCCAAGTCAGTACTGGAGCCGAAGGTCACTACTCAAGACCGTCGAGAGTAGGGGGGTTGGGTAGTTGGGTGGGTTGTGAACGTACACAGCAGTGGCGCCCGTCCTTGTACTTGCACTGGTACCAACCGGCGCAGGCCTCGGTAGTGGCGAAGAAGGCCAGGAAGGCGACGGCGGCGGAGGTGATGCGGACCATTTTGAGGAAGATTGGGTTGGTGGTTTGGGGATGGTGGTGAAGATGGATATGGAAATGAAGCTGGTGTTGTCTCTGTGCTGATGGTTGTCTGAGGAAAGGGGAAGAGGCGGCTGTATTTATATTCGATCGAGACTCATAGAAGATGGACATATCCCGCAACGATGTCTCCTACTCTTCTTCAAAGTCGCCGGTTTGTTCGTCCACCGAGATCCTCGAATGGAAACATTCGCCCGCCCATTTCTGCGGTGGGATACCCCTCAAACTCTGGGGTATGCGTGTTAGAGTGACCGGTAATGAAGGGATGCGGAACTCAATCCTCCTGACTTGTGACAGTGATGGAGTCAATTCCGGTGTCTTTTCGAGTCCATACTCCACATGACCCTTTTCCTAGCAAAAGCTCTACGCGCGTCGAAGGGTCCTAGTAGCATCGAGTCAAAAAGATATGTATATGCTAGTATACATTACTAAAGGGGTAAGCACGTAGGGAAATATTTGCAAAAGGTGAGCTTCTTTACGCACATATTGCCTAAAATGAAGAACAAATGCTCCGCATGACTCCTTAGGCAGTTATCGTGAAGAGTTCCCAGCCCCTAGAACGTCAGCTTGTCGGAGTCTCCGCGACCTGTGAGGTTTAAGTCCGCGTCCGGCTCGGTGTAAGAAAAACCTAGCACATTACCCGGAAGCCTGTCACATTACTTGGAAAGACGGTGAGTATTGATGCTGAGTCAATGTAAATAGGCCTCCGTAGTGACTCCATCGTGAAGTCTTGGCGGAATACCAGGAGACGGGGCGGGTCGGTAGTAGGCGGCGAGGCTCCGGTGAATCTATGAGCAGTTGGGTCTGAAAGCGGTCCGCGAGGGCCCCGATAGCACGGGGTAACATAGTACAGCAGAGATCTACAATTTAGAGAGTGGAGTTTCCCTTGATTCTGGAAGAAGTCTAAATTAGGTTGACTCAAGTGGGTTCACGATACTATCAAAGTACCCGGGGGCCTTGGTATTGCTTAACTCTCCGGTCAAGCTTTTGTACTACAACGCCAATTTACAGCCAATATAATTAATCACTTCCTGATTGACGATCGTGGGTACCATTGGCCACTTTTGGATTGGCATGTTGTTCGGGGCAGGCAACAGGATTGATCAATCACCCCTCACAAACCTTCCTGGACAAGTCGAACAGAAATGGCCACCCCATCAACACCATCTCCCCCTTCAACCTCAACCCAAACCTTTTCCCCCTCAAACCTCGCCCCAACCCCGTCACGCCCACGATACACAACCCTCCCGTCAACATCAACAACCACATCCCTCGCCCTCACAGGAACACCAACAACGCCCCTGGTGCCCCTCGCAGCCCAAACCACAATCCTGAACTGCACCCCCTCACCCTTCCCCAAATCCTCCCACTCAACCCGGATCCCCTCCCCCTCGGGCGTCGGCACGACACCCCTCGCCCACTTCAACCCGCTCACCTCGGGAACAACACTCCACGTCCGGAACCCAGGCCCCGTAGGCTTCACCCCGAGAACATGTCCGCTCATCAGCGGCACAACCCCCGTAGACCACCCGTGCGCCATACTCGTGAACCCGTCCTCGTAAGGCTGTCCGTCCGGCCCCCCGATCCCCTCCCAAAACGTCACGCCCGGATCCTGCCCCGCCATCCACCCGTACAACCTCCGCATCTCCTCCACGGCCGTCTCCCCGACCCCGGACGCGAACCGCGCCGCCATCTCAAAGTAGGAGATGAAGGCGTACACCCGCTGACTGAACCCCTGGCCCACAGCATCCGAGTCGTAAAACGCGTTGCCGTAGGTCCGCGACGCGGCGCCGGCGTAGTACGCCAGTATACCCCTCGCCGTACTCGTGTCCACCACGCCGCCAGCGAGAATGGCGAGACTGTTCCCGTCCTGCGCGTGCGCCGCCACAAACTCCCCGGCCCCGTCCGTCCCGTCCCAGAACGCGCCCCTCGCCGCGTCAAAGTTGCGTCTGGCCAGCGTGGAGGCGACATCGTCCGCCCTCGCTCCCCACCGCTCCGCGTCCGCTTCCTTTTCTATCTCTGCCGCCATCTCCGCGGCCCGGCGCAGCGCGAGGACGTAGAGCGCGTTGTAGTACGTCACTGGCCCCTGTCTCGGCAGGAAAGCGTAGTCGCCGTAGCCTGAGGTGCCGTTCAGGCCCTTGGTCACGAGCCCGGTCTCCTGGTCCGTGACGGAGACGTACCATCCGTCTAGAACGGCGACGAGGTTGGCGTAGTAGGTTGAGATGTACTCCACGTCGCCCGTGTACCAGACGTAGTCGTGGCTGCAGACGACCCACCAGAGGGGGTAGTCGAACAAGGGAAGCGTGTAGTTCATACTTTACATCCCGTCCCAAGCATTAGTTCCCCAGGTGAAATGGCTTAAGCAGCGTCTAGTGCAAAGAAGAAAGATGAGAGGAGAGAAGATGGAAAAAAAGACTCACATGCTCGCCGGCGGAATCCACCCATCACCCCTCTGATGAACCGCCAAATCCACCAGCACATTCCTGCTCGCCTCGCTCAACGTCCCCTTCCCGTGCGAAACATACCCCGTCAGCGCCGCGACCGCCAGGTCCCCGACGTACGGATCGCGATCCCGCTTCGGCGCGTCGTGCAGCACAATCTTCCCCTCGAGCGTCTCGCTCGCCGCGCCCCGGGGCTCCGCGTCCTCGGCGCCGCGGAACTCGTCGACGCAGAGGTCGTTGGTGTACACCCCGTCGAACCACCACCGCGTCAGCTCCTCGTCGCTGCACTCGAACCAGCCCCTGAAGGTGTCGGGCGTGCCGTGGTAGGCCGAGAGCGCCAGCGACACGGACGAGATGTTGACCTGGCCCTGCGGGGTTGTGTGCGGCGCGTCGGAGGGGAGGGCGTCGAGGTAGATGCGGAGGTAGCGGAAGCCGTGGAGGCCGTCTGCGCAGACTTGGCCTTTGCCTTGTTCGCCGGGATACTGGCATCCGTGTCTCGCGGTCCAGGTGTAGGCGTCCTTGGCGACTGCGATTTGGTCGCTGCCAGGCGTGATTGTGTCGCCGTTGTAGGAGCGGGAGAAGTCGCTGACGTTGCTCAGGAACTGTAGCGTCTCGGAGAAGGCTAGTCTGATGCCGGGCCTGCTGCTGCTGTTCTCTTGGTCTTTTCTCTCATCGTTTTCGTGACCCACGGTTCCAGAAGTAGATGTAGACGAAGACCCGGCAAAGGAAATCGAAACAATACCCACAGTATTCTGTCCAAAGTCGACCGTCACAGAGGGTGCTTCATCTCCAGTCGAGGCACGAGTGAAGACCGTGGGCCCGCCTTCGCCGTTGATTAATCCCGACGGGTTAGCGACATCGCCGCGCGTGAGGTCGGGAATCACCCGCGCCGGGTAGATCGTCCTGAACTCGCTTGCCCGGACATATTGGTGCCAGCTGGGCACCTCCTCGCGGCGGATAGACTCATCACGAGACGTGCTGCTGCCTCTCCAGTGTGGGTTTATGACATCCCATTGGCTGGTTACGAATGCAAAGAGGCTTGTCCATAGATTCGGCATTACGGCTTCGTCATGAGTGGAGGAGCGAGTGTCAATGACGTAGGCTGCTTGATAATGTGTCTAATCGGCTAGTGAATGAGCTTTCGAAACAGGAAAGAGAAATGAGAAAATGAATGAGCAACGTGCTTTGATGAATTTGATGGATGAGGAGTAAGTTGAGTGAACATACGAGTCGAGGAGGACTGAGGTCGGCGCGGGTGGGAATGCGGGATGCGGGGTCCCGCCCGGCGCTTCCCCAGATCGGATGATCTACGAACGGCAGTTGGCTGTAGGTAGGCTGAATCAACAACCCCGGCCCATTGCGGATCGCGGCCGACGACAGGGACTTTATATTGAGCCAGTTTCAATTCCACCGAGTCCATACAGCACGGAATTGTGTGTCTAAGAAGTGCTTCCGCAGCGTTAGTTGGGAGTATCTCGATCACATTAATCTATACACGTGTCACATTGTCATTTTCTTCACAGTTGCAGCAAGAATCCCTCGTAACTTCAAGACAGACAACCAAATGGCATTAGACAGCACTGCGTCTCATCTGTCTTTATCGCCTCAATGCCACACCAGCGGCGCGATGAATGACCCCAATGCAAAGTGTCCATCTCCATGCCACGACGCTCCGAGTGGGCATCGTGTCTCTAAACAAAAGAGAAGAAAAAAACAAGGGTTTCGAGGTAGCTAAAGACACCCCTCTGTGAAGACCTTGGTATGTCCACGCATCTCAAAAAAGAAGTAATAACTGCGAAATGCATACGCGCGCGCAAAGTATCCATGGCGCTAAGGTTCATATCAGCGACCATGTTTCAATGTGTCGTCCATCAATCCGTAAACCTTCTCAATCCCACCACCTGTACCAGGACGCCGTCAAAAAGCCAAGAAAGGTATTTTACACTTTCGCTGTCTGTTAAACATGATGATCGTAAAGAGGCCTTATACAGTGCCTCGAAGTCTTTGCTTGCGTGCCAGCCAGTCGCCAAGCATGTTGTCAAGTTGCTATACAAATGTCAGTCCGAAAGCTCATGGAACTCCTTGTGTATCTCGACTTACTGTTGTAATTTCCGCCAACTTGGCATTCTGTTCGCGGAACAAAGAGCCTGCGACGGGGTGTTCCGGTCCAGCAGGCGCCACATCGCTCTTGTCGTAAACAACGACCAGCATATCTCGGATATCCGAGCTCGAATCGAAAAATGCCCGAAGCTTCGCATCATTCCAGCTGCTACCGGTAGTGCTGCCACCCGTGGATGTGGAGCTGGCAGTCATCGAATCTTGAGCGCGATGTCTGCCTGCCTCCTCAGCGTCAATGAGCTCTGGCGATGGTGACGTCGAGTGGCCCTCTTGACTAGAAGTATCCACCATGAGCGCAGGAGGGTTATGCGAAGTGACCGGCGACACTTGCACAGGAGATTCAGAAAGTCTATCCTTTTCGCGTTCCACAGCGGTGGGCTGAGGCTGAGGCTGAGGCTGCTGAGATTGCGTAGGAGTAATTGTCTTATCCGTCTGAGCGCTGGCAGCACTCAAATTGCTCATGTAGCTGTCAGGGAACGCGCCAGGCAAAGGCCGTTCCAATTTCTCTTCCTTGACGATCTGATGTGCCTGCTGCTGCACAGGTGGCTCGGCAGACTCAACCTCCTCCCCAGAAGAGTCAAAGTCATCAAGTTCAACTCGAGACTTTGCCTTGGTGACCTTTTGCGGCTTGGGTTCACTGTTGCCACTCCTCGACGGGATGATCTTGGACAGGGTCGACTTTTCTTGGGGCGGTGACCGAGTTGTCTCAGGAGACTTGATCCGCTGCTGTTGAACGGAGAGTTCTGGATCCGAAGAATCATCCTCCACAATGCGCATAGAAGCGGGGGGCACGTTCGAGACGTTGTTAGGGCGGCCCTCGGAGGAAATGAATTCGGAAAGCTCCCTGGTAGCAGACTTTTGCGGCGTCGCCGCCCCGTTGAGTCTCGCAGGAGATGGCTCGACTCTCGGCTGTTGCTTCTGGAGCTTGCTTGTGCTCCTTTGGGGGCCATCGCCTCTCGGGGACAACGGTTCCTTCGGCTCCTCTTCCCGGCTCTCACGGCTTTCGCGACTCTCCCGGTCCTGAGATTCTGTAACGATATCCATCGATCTCTTGCCAAAAGACTCATCGTCGTCGTCCGTGGTCTTCTTCTTGTCCTTACGCGAGAAGAAACTCCGAATGGTGCTCGTCTTCTTCTCCTTCTCCTTCTTGTCCTTCTTCTTCTTGTCCTCCTTCTTATCCGGCTGCAGCTCCTTGTCCATCTTGTCCAAACTTGGCCGTTGCTTGACCTGGACGCTTTCCGTTGTCGAGGGTCGCGAGCCGCTGTCGTCACGAAGCAAATTAGGCGTAAGCGTGATCTTCTTGGTCTCGACCGTTTCGTCCTTAAAGAAAGAGTCGGTGTTCCTGACGGTGCCGTTCCTCGACCTGCTGGGACCTTCTGGTTTTTCAAAAATTTCGCCGCTGTCACGTTTCGAGTCATCCTCGGGTGCCTCCTCTTTCTTCGTCGGTTCCGCAACGTTGACCTCCTTCGTTGTCGCTCTTGGCTTGAGGGGCTCCACCTTGGCCGTATCGTCATCCATCGTTTCCTCTGTTGCCTGTTGCGACGTTTGTTGTTGTTGCTGCTGCTGCTGCTGTTGAGCACCCTGTTGTTGAGAGAACAGCTCGTCGACTTCGTCCTCGTCCGAGGAGTAATCATAGTCAGAGTAATCGACGAAAGTCGGGGCGGCGAACGCGACCGTCTTCTTCTTCTTCCTAAGAGCAGTCTTGAAGGTGCTCTTGGACTTTTCCCCAGACTGATCTCCGAGCATTGTAGCGGAAAGCTGATCTAAGTCAGAAAGGTTCATCTCTTCCATGGAGGGAGCGACTACGTCTATATTCCTGTGCTTGTTCAAGCGCGCCAATCTCTCGGTCGGCGTTTCAATGTGCTCTGCCGGCAGATAACCTATTGTTCATGTAAGGAGCTGCTCTTTGAACAACGCTCAAAGGGTCCTTACCAATGCTGCTGTCCTTCACCACACGGACCAGCCACCAGTAGCTGTTGCTGTCATCCAGCAACACCATGGTGTCGCCCTTGGTGGCATTTGCTTGGCCCTCGACGGTTGCGACAAAGGTGTGTAACGCGTAGACGAATTCGAAATCAATGTCCTCTGGTTCGTGTAAGCACTCGTTGCCCCAGCCACAGGCAATAAATCTAGAATCATCAACAAGAGAAACATCGCCGTCATCATCATCTTCTTCATCAACAGAGGGTTCGTATGGGATCGTAAGCGGGATGCCGTCATCGTCGAGTCCACCAACTGCCTCGTCTCTTTCTGCTCTCTCCATCTCGGCACGCCGCTGCGCGAAGTCGTCGTACAATGTTTCTCCAACTTTACGCACGCGAAGCGGACGAACCACAATGGGTCCATGCTGTGCAACACTCTCCAAGTCAAACTTCGCTGCATGATTGCTGCTGTTTTCCTCCTGCCAGTCAAGCCCGTCGTAGCATTCATCGCCGTGTTGTTCGTCGTCATAATATTCGTCGGTGTACTGTTCCCCGTCGAATCGGTCGTCGTCGTCGGTCGTATTGCGATCCTATTCGGTATACTCACCGCGAAGATGATGATGATGGGTTGATGTCTTGGCAGATGCCTTGCTATGCTGCCAAGAGAGGTGTGCTGGGAGGTGTTCAAGGGATTCCGTATAAGGAGAAGAGGACCTTGCCTCGCTGAACAAAGGGGAAACGGGGGAGGCGCGATCTCGCATGGCGGGTAGAGAGTCGACTCTACGCGGCCATGATTGCGGAGGCATAATCGAAGTGTACCCACCATCTTCAATCGAGGGCGAACTCGAAATCTTGTCCATCATGTCGTCGTCGTCCATGCTCTCGTCGGTATCGTCCATGTTTCCGTCGTCCGAGACACCTCCATTTTGTGCGACAGCCAGCGCATCTTGCTGTTGTTTTTTGCTCGCGTCGTCCATTGTGCTCCCAGAGAGCTTCCTCGAGACCTCTCCCGCGAGATCGTCTTCGTCGGAGATGTCGTCGTCGTCGGCGTTGGTCCAAGATAGCCTCGGGCTGCGCGCTTGATCTTCGGCAGATTCCTGGGCGACTTCTCGAAGAGTCTCGGCCTGGTGCGGACCGAACGAGCCGTTGGGCGCCCTGCTGTGGTCTTTCGCTGAGGGTGCTTCCGGATTTTGCAGATCGATGGTGTCTGTGAATGGGACAGAGGAGGCCAATGGTCAGCGTGACATGTCAAGCAAAGAAAACAAGCTGCCGAGTTTTTTTTTTCTCTCCTTCTTCCTCTTGCTCTGGCCAAAGGGGGGTGGGAGGAATTCTGTGAAATTGATCGTCCGCGGTTCCAGCCGTTAGACCAAGACGGGTTCAGGCTAGAGCTCAGACACAGAAAACCCAGAGCCAAGTAGGAAAGGGGGAGTTTTGTGTTTGGGGGGAGAAATTATGTGGTGCGACAGGAGGAATGGGCAGCAGGCGCAGGCGCGGTTGTTTGGGGGTCGCATAAACTTACCAGCGCGAATAATGTGAGGTCTCGTCATGTTGGATCAGGTCGTGGGCCAGCACAGCCAGCCGAGACGGTTGTGGGAATTGTGATTTTGTGACGGGATTGCTCGAGTCGTGAGGTGGTATGTTGTGGTACGGCGTATGGATACACAGTTGAGTGTGCAGTGCAGACAAGAGTCGTTCCGTTCACAGTCCCGTCTGGATTATTTTTCCTTTGCGCTTGACGAGCCAACCCCCTTTGGACCCGTCAGTTGGTACGTTGGAGAGACCCTGGTCGGCAGACGACGTATGGAGGACGGTTCGGAAGTGTATCATGGAGCGAGGGTGCCAAAAAAGCTGGGGCGGTTGGCAATTGCCAAGAGAATGGGATGGGCGAAGCGTACGGAGTATGCGTAGCGTGGTCTGGTCTGGTGTGGTCTGGTCTGGAGAAGGGAGGTGGGAATGGCTGTGTGTGACAGTAGTAGCAGAGGTAGAGTAAGGCGTCGGCGCTGGGCGTTGAACGGGGGTCGAAATTGCGACTCCGCTGTTTCGTCGGCTGAACAGGGACGCCAGGCTGGGTTCTAGCGGCGCGCGAGATTGCCGTCGGGGCTGCCAGGGTGCGGCGTCACTGCGGGAAGAGGGACGATGATGAAATGGTTGGACGAGGTTATGCGAGGGATTTCGGAAGTCTGTTGGAATTCGGAGCGGATGAGAAGCTCGGCGGTCGTCGCCAGTACCACACGATTATGGGAAGGTAACCAAGCGATGTAGTGAATTCGGATAAACAGCTGGTGAAAGGTCGTGTGCTCAGTCAGGCAGAGTGCTGTCGGGGGCCAAGTTGTGAGCAAGCGATCAAGGAGTGCGCTGCTTGGTGAATGGTGGTGGTGGTCGACCAAGGAGGGGCGGTTGGTTTGGATGGCTTGCTGGGCTGGGCTGGCAAGGAGCCGGCTATGAATAGAACAGGGAACGGCGCAGTTGGTGAAGGAGGCGCTGACGAGTTGAGGCGAGTGCCAGGTAACCGAAGTTCCGTGCTGTGGTTGTTGTATCCTGTATCATGTATGTGTACCTAATAAGGCGAGTCGTAAGGCGAGGGGATGCTCGAGAAAAAATAATTAAAAGGAGCGACAAGGGCTGAAGACGATGTCAATGGGATGGGTGGCAAGGTTAGGTAGCAAAACGGTGCGGACTGCGAAATCGATTTTAGGCCCCCCAAAAAGTGCCCAAGATGCTGGATTCGGTAAACGTCAAGCCGGCAAGAAAAAGAGAGAAGACGGGAAGACAAGGAAGTGGGAAAGATGTGTTCAAAAGTGTGTTTAGTTTATTGTGTGCCGTGTGTGTCGTGTGTGTGTTCTGTGTGTGCGTGCGAACCCAGCGAATATGACGGAGCAACAGCCCGGGCGGGACAGCTCTAAGATGGGAGGATGTATCCGCAGGTACGGAAGGAACTTCAAGGAACCTGACGGGAACTAAGGGTTGCACATCCAGCACGGGAAACACGGGGGACGGGAGAACTTGACGAGACTCAGAGAGACAGAGAGAGAGAGAAAAACGAAGCTTGCCAGGTCCGGAACCCCTTTGCTGTGCTGCCGCCGCTAAAACAGCCCAAAATTCAATTTCATGCGAGAGACGCTGCTGCAGGAGGGAAGGCCAGAGATTGGGTAGATGAGAATCGACTTGTTCCTCCCGCGCGCTGCCGTGATGGGTGATGGGTGCAGATGCAACCTCGACATGTTGTGCACACCCATACACACCAAGTAGTCAGGCACAATGTACTTGGTACTAATCTTGCTGTACGGAATTCTGTGTATCCGTACGTTCAGGGGAAATAGCATGTCTGCCCAATACTATTCTGTCTTGCTCTCTCACAAGCCTCTCACACCTCTTTCCCGCCTCGGCCTGTCGACAACACATCTTTAAAAGTTCAGATTGTTCAGAATCAAATAACAACAAAAAAATGCGGCAGTGAAATGAACTTTGGAGACTCGACACCCTGCGAAATGTTTGGCTGGGGTTTGTGGACTTGAAACAACTGGGAGTCGACCAGGGCCATGCCGCTTTCCACCTCAGGAACAAAGTATTCAAGTACATCTTGGTCGCTGGTGTATGTACTCCAAAAGGTACTTACCTGTCTACCTAAGATAGTTCACTCTGAGGTGTAGCCAGTCATTATCGAGAATTCCAGACCTCCTTGCCAGCTACGAGTTCCATCTTCTTTCACCCGCTGTCAGAAATCTGTGAAGCTACCTCCGTCTTGCCGACTTTCGTCACAGATTTTCTTCTTCTTCTATTCCCTCTCCTGCTCCTGAAGCTGTTGTTCTGGTAGCCCCTCTCTCTCCTCGATATTGCATCACGGTCCGTTCGCCGTTTACATCTGGGCCAACCGTCTAACAATGTACCGTTATCGGAGACGAGGTCACTTAGTCATATCCCCTGCACCGGAAGTATACCCGCCAGTGTTAGTCGACTTTTGAAAAAGGAGGTCTGGCCCTGGCCCCTGGGAGGGAGGGTATTAAGCTCTCGGGCCTGGTCTCTGGGTCTTGGGTCTTGGGCTCCTCAGTCCTGAACTCCTGGGACCATTGGGAAAACGTCGATTCGCATTGGGCCAACTTTCAGACTTGTCACCTAGTCCACATCCAGCGCAGCTAGAGGAATACCTCCAACTCCATCCAAAACTGCCACCTCTCGCGCACATCGTTTGTATCTTCCTATTCCGGCTCTACGAGTTTACCCACCTTGAACGCAACTTCCGACCTCCCACTTCCACTTACGCATAGTTCCACCTCATCACCATCCGGATTCAGGTAAACAGCTTCCTCTTGCCTGGGCCAAGACGTCGTACGAAGATACGCCTTCGTCATGCTTCTCATGACCAGCTCGTCACGGGAATTAAAGCCCGACCCGCTGAAACTCTCAATACTGGAGACGGGAGACCTCTGCCAGCGTTCTAGACAAGCCGCAAAGCCGCTGTCATCATGTAGGTACGCGCTTCAAGCTCACTTTCACGCATCGAGAAGTGTTCCCGGCGTCGATCTTTCCAATTCGTCAACAACTTTCTGCCCGTCTCCGGCGATCGACATCAATGTGATTTCTCTCAATCCTCGCTTCCTGAAGCATCATCTTCACTCCGTTAACCATGATGAACCATCCTAGGCAACCGCCGCCGCCACCATCACCGCTCACCCGTGCGTCACAGCTGCTGGCCCGTTTCGATGTGGCTCGTCCCAAACACTAGGTAAACTTCACATCAACTCAGTTGCAAACGGCGCCAGTCGAAAAAGTCAGCCTCCAGATCCAGACCCATGGCGTCGACGGCGCTGACTGTGGCTTTTCTCAGCTTCTGTTCGGACCCGAGCCTTACACGTCCCCCGCCAAGATATTCCTCTGTAAGTCCGTCAGAGGCGAGGAATGTGAAGTAATCACCACAGCATGCCAGTTGCTTCGCGCAAACACCGTCCCAGTCTCATCGCGTTCTCCTCAAGCTGAAGAGACTGGTCTGCTTTCAATCTCACCACCACACTTTCTCACCAACCAGTATCCGCCGTCGTTCACCTGGCACACGCCCGCAGCAGGATCCTATTTCCATCAACCGTGGTACGTGTATCCGTACAGACTCGCTCACGTCCTCACCGGCAACCCGTGCGGGAGTCTGCACCCCCCGGAAGCTTGCTGAGCACGAGCAACAACAAGACTACGCTCGCGTTTACGGCTGCAGGCGAAAGTCAATTACTTTCGTCCAAAGTTTTGTAAGCAGCGTAAAGGTTGCAGGCAACACCGGGAAGGGGAAAAAAAAATATTAGGAACAAGTGTGAAGAGTGAAAAGAAGAAAAATAACAAGAAAAAAGAGCCTCATCTGAAACCCAAGCTTCCTCGGGACCGAACATCTGGGGCCCGACGCAAACGCACATGCCCGCTCGTCCCATCAAACTCTAGTGGCTTCGGCTAGTCGTCCCTTATTCGCTCCTGCACGTATCTCTCAAACTGTGATTCCTTCAAGAGCTCAGCCAGCATCGTGATGCATAGCGAAAGACGCGCGCGCCAGTCATCCGAAGCTCGGTCGACGAAACTTTTGGATGGGAGAGAAAGTGAATGGAACTTTGCACGATACGGGTTGTTGAATGATTCATCGAATATGCACTCCGCGGCGGCGGCATACGGTCCCAAGCTCGGTGATACCTCATCTGTTACATCAGATCCAACATAGCTGTCACATTAGAACCGGCATGAGAGAACAGATCGTCCCAAAGAGATGCAGGCTCGCCGTCCTTGGGGGCGGCGGTATTTTGACTGGCCTGCCTATGAAAATGCCGACTCAACCTCTGCATGCCCAAGGTGCGAGATGTCTCACCGATACCAAAATATGCTATCTTCAGGGGTAAACATATCAACGACCTACCTCTCCCTGCGCCATGTCTCTCGGTCCCGAGACATGCCTTTTCAAAAGGTAAGTACCTAGTAGTTTGAAAGCGAAGCATTTTGGCAAACAGAGGATTCAAAAGTGATGCGTGAAATACTTGATCACGGTATCAGGACACGAAGAAAAGGCATCGTTTTCGACGGAAGATCTCTTTCCCGTCCGAAATACGTGGCTCGGGTCGGTGCCTGGCTTTAATCCTATAGCCTGTCATGATTTTTGTGACGATGTGTACGGAATCCCATGATGTTCGTCTAAGCATACATTTGGGTGCAATCTGTCTGACGAGCCGATGGACCATGCTCTTGATGAGGTGCGCTTGCGTCTGTTACTGGTGTGAGCCATGTCGGAGAGTCAGTCCCTGCATATCATCCATTATATTCTACGGTGGGAGAGAATCAGAGCGCGGGACTTGGCATCGCAAGATTCTTCCGTTGAGAGATGCCAGAGGTCGATGGTCGAGAGCCTGGTATCTTGCAACCAATGTCGCCGCGTCCAGCCTGGTCACGGTGTGACTTCGTGTGTTTCCCGACGGCCTGGCATACTGCCCATGATACTTGAGTACTGGCTATGAAATGGGTATGACGAAAGTCTGGTCCCCTGAGGGCTGTGAACTGCTGCCTATGCTATTGGTGCCGTCATATTCAAGTTGTCGTCAGTTCTCATATTGCCGTATGAAGCTTATCGAAGCAGGGAAATAGTGGGCAGCCTGAGTCTGATAATTGACGGCCATTAGGCCACAATATGTAAAGTTTATCGAGTGTCTAGTAGCCTGGTAACCCTACTACTCTTGATCTCAGCCGGCAGGCAGTGTCGTAGATTTGTGAAAAAAAAAAAAAAAATGAAAAAAAAAAACTACCAGCAAAAGAGAAGACTGACGTGCCAATGATCCCGAGCTCCGGCGATGTTTACCTTATGTGATCGAATCCAACTAAACAGGACTTGTCAACTGACTAATGATATAGTTGTACCATATCGCTATAGCGTATGTATCTGCGCAAGTAACACGATCTGACCGGAAGTCCAGATCTGCTCAAACCAAGCAGATGGTCCGTTGACTGATCGGTGCTCATTCTATACACGGGATATCGGGGACAAATTAGGTGAATTATTAGATATTATTATCAAAGAGTGTATAGCCTATTAATCCTTGCGCCAGTATTACCTAGTCCCTTACATTGTAGTCCCTTGATACGCTGATCCCAAGTGTCATCACATTTTCATGCGAACTAGTTCGCCTCATTCTTGTGTTGTTGAGTCTTGCTCAACCAAATGACGGGCCAGCTTCAAGCTACCCTCGGTCCAATCATCCCCGGCTCAGCCAAGATGCCCTGCAAGATCGGACATCCTTAAAAGGTAACATCGGGGCTGGCGCCAATGATGAGAACGGGGTTCAGCTTGGCCTGAATGTTGCGGATGCGATCAGCAAGACCGTTGGCACTGCCGGCAGCGTTCGCCACGGCCGTGAGCGCAGTCGAGGCCGCGGCGCCGACGGTGCTGAGCGCGATCTGGAGCGCGAGGTTGGCCTGGGTGTAGGCGAGCGTGTAGGCCGCCTTGGCGACGGGGTCGGCGACGGCGTTGGCCTGGGCCTGGAGGTTCTGCAGCTGAGTGGTGGCCTGGCGGGCGAGCAGCTGGGCCTGGACGACGACGTCCTGCGCGATCTGGACTACCTCGGCCGTGGGAATGGAGGGCGGCGCCGCGGAGGTCGCGGACGGGGCGGGGATGCCCGAGGGGACGACGCCCAGGAGGTTGCCGACGACGGTGCCGACCCTTGTGCGGATGCTGTTTGTGTTGCTTGTTATTTGGCGGATGACGGCGTTGACCTGGTCGGTTCTCTGAAAGGGGAAGGGGTAGTAAGTATGTTTCTTAATTTCTGGGAAGAGTTCAACATGGGGAATGGACCTACATCCTTCACTGTTGTTCCGACGGTCCTGGTGAGGTCGCCGGTCAAGGTTGTTGTCTTGCCGAGGTCGGTGCTAACGATCTTCAACGCAGTGTAGAGCGGGTCCGTCAGCTCCCCTGGGTTGAAGACGACTTCGGGAAGAACGACGGTGCCCGGTGTGATAGTTGCGCGAGGGAGGATGGCTGCCTCGACTGAGGCGAAGGAGAGGACGGCAACCGCCGCGGTGAGAGCCTTGGTGTACATGTTGGCCTTTGAGCAAACTCTTGAGAAAGCAGACACTGCTAAGAATCAGAGTGAGAGGAATGTGAGAAATGTGAATGAGATTGTAGTTGCGAGATGTTGATGATGATCGGAGAAGTTGTGAGCTCTGGGTAGACGCTATCGAGGCCTCTTATAGGAAGTTACAAATGCTTCGGGACAGGCGATTTCTACCAGACCGGCTCACTATGTTCGATATCTGAAGTCTCGTAATCCGCAAGTGATGACTCCGATGCCACGATGACGAGATGTTTGATCCTGAGGTTGCGAGTTGAAGCCCTCATCCGGAGCGACTTCTCCTGGTCAGAGGGAACTCTCGATGCAAAAGCTCCGATATCTTCTCTCATCAAAAACGTGTTGTCCATGCCGATATCCGTTTTCAGGATTGGACTGGTCGAAAGAAGCCTTGGAGATCATCTCAGAGTAGTTTTTGATCCCGTCAACGATTGTCCCCCGGATTGACGTCGGGTGCCAAGATTGATCAGCGCTCAGTGCCGTGGTAGACAGGTCGACTTCTCTTCCCGGCATGGATGATGTTCCTGCCAAGATGCTAAGGGGTATACGGATGCTGGAAGCGTCAGATACCAAGCTTTCTTGGCGATAGGATCGCAGCAAGACATGGAATGTCTGTCTCGACAATGACCAATAGCTTTTCACTCGTGGCAAGCACGAACAGACACCTTGATACAAAAAATACTACTTGTGGTTTTGAACTTAAGATCTTCATGGTGTGTTTAAGCTCATGGACACTATTCTAGTTCGCGCCACAAGATGAAGTAAGTGGAGTGCTAGAAGACCCTGACCTAAGTGTCAGCAAAGATGAATCTTCCACTAAGAATAAACTTGATCTATGAGCTAGGCGCAGTAGCATAGTTGATACGGAACTACAAGACGTAGCAAGAACCACTTCATACCGCGTGAGCACTGTATGATCCAGGGAATCGGCCATAAACGCCACCCTATCGGCGCCATGGTTGAGCCTCACTCATGTAGACCATTTCCTAGCTTTAAGACTTACTTGAGGAACGCAGGGAATGGCGTCATCCCCGAGTCCGACAGTGCGTGTCTTCATTGAAGAGGTTTTCCCATCTACAAAAGCCGGACGGAGGTGATGTCTCCAGGACCGGAAGGAGATTCATAAGTGTCTCACATAGGAACCAAACGGTTGAAGGCAAGATCAACGAACCCCGCAAGCGCAGCTATATCCGGCTCCGACGAGAATAAGCAATGCCTTGTGGTAGTCCGAAAGACAGTGTCTCACACGTAGGATATTGATGTTTTCGGCCCACAAACAACGGCCGCCTCGAGCACCTTCTATTCGGCGGGCTTCTTGCTCATCATGTCGCAATCTGTGCCGCGGTCCGAAGGGTTGATCGGCCCGGTTCTGCCAGGCGTTATGCTTAATTCTTCTTGCCCCGCCCAAGGCTAGTCCTACGCATGGCTAATTCGTGGGGGGAAACTTTGCTTGCGGCAAGAGAATAGTACCGAATTCTTTGAGCCTCATTTGAGGCCCCATGTCCAGATTATGTCACCGAACTACAATCTCGTTTCCGTTTCCGACATACCCCCTGATTACGTGCATGAAGCTTGTGCGTGGAAAGATAAGCTTAAGGATGACGGTTGAATGACCCTCGCCTCCTCGGAATCACGGATGGAGGGTGGAGAGAGGCGGACAGAATCGATTCGAGCTGGTGAGTTGGCTAGTTTAGAAGTGTATCTGATGATCAAGATGAATCGATGTGTCTAAGATCGACGCATAGAGGTACCTTAGCTACCGAGACTGCAAGCACAACGTGGATTTTAGGAAATCATCAGCGCGAAGGCCTATGTCCTGGATCTCTGTGGCAAGCTCGATTGAGGAAAGAGTATTCTAATGCTCTCCATATGTACATCAGAGCATTCCGACTCCTGAGAGATGAGGCAGCAGCTGTGATACATTCCCGGAGAATTACTCCGGACCGCGAGGAGCATGGCGGGCTGGCTCCAGCGAGCGCGCTGAATTATAAGAAAGGCCACTCCTGCTCTTTCGGAATGTCTAGCCTCTCAATAAAAAAATTCATTCGTCTACACAGCATCTGGTGTACCCTGAAGACTTCGAATGGCCTCTCATCATCTCGCGAGCCACGTTGGGAATGTGGGTTGAAGGGACCATTTGTTTCCGAGAAATTGCACACTCGCCTCTTGCAATCACTGCCTTTACTACACAGCGTCGCGTATCAGCTTTCTACAAGAGATACTGGCAAGTTGTATCCGTGTAAGTGAATACCGAGGTTATGCGAACTGACCGCGATAGGACTCCAAAGGCTAGTAACATTCGCGTGCATACCCCGCGGGAACAAGACGTACAGCCCAACTGATGTTGATCGTCAAGATCTCTGTTCGCGCGGAAGTCATCTATAACGCTTATTGTTGAGGAAGATCTCGGGTTGACAAGGAATCAAATCCTTAGGCTATCCCGATCGATCTTAGTCAACGTGAGAACACAGCAAGCTTTCTAGATCATTTACGACAAGAGACCACGTGCAGCCCCATCAATCCTACACTGCCCTGCCTCCCTAGCAATTGGGCGCTGACCCAGCAGGCCTCAGTCTTAAGGGATTCACTTAAAGTACCAAGCAACAAGATGTCCATTATCAAGATGTGATAATCATGTCGAGGGAAACATTAGAAACACGAGCAGTGGACGTGGTAGACCGCAATCAAGCCCTCTGAGCTGCCACCCGCGATTGCAAGTACCATCTTCACGGTTGATATGAATACTCCTGGAGAGATCGGTGGAGTGCTTCGGAGTGAGGCTAGTGCAATAAACCCACTTGTAACGCAATACATGGTATGCCATGCGTACTGGTCAAAGACAGACGAAGTTGAGGGTAGCTGAAAGTGCTCAACCAAGTCTCTGTGGCCATCTGAATATCCTATGTAAAAGAATCCAAGAGGCCGTTGAGGGGAGCGATGGCGAAGCGAGAGACAAAGTCAGTCAGCCGGCAGGTTGGAATAACCTTACTTCCCAATCGACCGATCCCTCGCATCTAACTCGCTACTCCTCAGAACGAATTCACCACTCACAATCCTTCTTCCCCTGTTTTGTCACTCCAGCGGACCCTGCCGCACACACCTCAGCCACACCCCATATTAGTTTTAGCGCCTTCCACCAATCGATGCTCACACCCATCACGCTTGACGAAACTTTGTGTCCCACCCAAGCCACACTCACAACTTCACGCTGCTCAGCCACGCCTACGTCACCGCCCTCTCAACGAGCTCTTGGCATACAACACCACACAGCACAAGCGACCCTTCTAGCCAAGTTTCCAAGGGTGATACCGTTGTGTCACTGGTGCAATTCAAGAAAAGGTTGGGGAAGAAAAGCAAGCCAAAGGGGGGAGGGAGATGAAGGCTGGCGTAGGTAGTCTGCTGCCACCCTTCGTCACTGGTTCGTGCGAGGAGGGAACCGACGTCTAACTAGGTATTTAATACAAGCCCGTTCCTTCTTGGCCGTTCATCCATAGTTCGTGATCCAAATCAACCACCCAAAACACAAGCTTTCCATTGCGAATAACGTCAATAAGAAGCACTAGGTATGCTGATACTCTCAAAGCAGCCAACGAGCGTGCTGTCCACTCTCGGACTGTGAGCTAATGCGATATACAGCGATTTCACATCTATACAAATCCCTACAAACCACCAAACACTCATCATGCCCTTCTTCTACTCCAAGCCCATCGGCGGCCGCAACTTCGGCACCTCCGTCCACGCAGACCGCCACGGTGTCCACCGCGGTCCCTGGCGCATGCGCATCGGCCGCTTCAACTGCTTCCGATAGAGTCGACGCCACTCTCACGGCGTAAAGGTGTCGGTGCGATGAGCCTTCGGACAGCAATGTCGAGCATTTCGTCCTCGCTCTAGTCCTCTCCGCGTACGACCTGAGTTGTCATCGGAAAGAGACGACCAACCAAACAAAACCACATTCAACGCCTTTTTTCTATTCTTGTTCCTCCTTTTCAACTGTCACGAGATCATGGATACCAGGAGTCTGTATTTGCGTTTATAACGGTTTTGACGATGGGAAAGCGAGCGTTTCCTGTCATTCTGTCCTTATTGAGTTTCTCTGGCGCAGCGATCAGGAATGGAGGTTGATCGTTATGCGGATGGGTGGAATGATGCAATGCATACCTAGATAATACATTACTTCCCAACAACCTATTGTGAATCAGTGAATTGTTGTGATATGCATCTGGTGTGATAGTCAGCCCGTTTCCTTGGTGTTTGTTAGTCCAAAGTGTGCTAGTTAATCTGGTGCTGTCTATGGCAGGCAAGGTTGAGGGCAAGGCTTATATCGTCATGACGCAGGAGACACCGCCGTCTCTATTCGTTATCCTGTGAGTTTGAGTGGAAATGGCTGAATTGTTCCCAACCACGTTTGACTCCCCGGCCTACCTAGTTCGTCGTCTATTCGTCTTATTGTTTTCCCGTGGCAGGTCTGACCATCGGCTATTCCGCCGTTCCCGCCATCCAAGTGAAAGCCATGCAGATGACCAAGCAGATAGAAAGACTCAGCCGGTAAAAACAGCTGGACAGCATAATAAGTACATGGAATGTCACTGGTGCAGGATGCAATGCAGGGGCCAAAGGGGTTGGTGATATTCTCGAATTACCGAGCATATGAAGGATCCTGTTTTCCATCCCACCCAACGCCTTATTCTTGTCAATCGACGGTAGTAGTAAGAAACACACGCCTGAGTGAACGTCAAGTCGTTGAATTTTTGCTGCGGTTGTTTTTTTGTATTTCCTAGCACAACGGTACGAGCCATGCCAAGCCGCCAGCCCTGAATCATCGCAGAAACCGTTTCCGATGCATTCCCGTTCCCTGGATATGAGAGCACAACGCAAGTAACCAGGCGATGAAAACCGAACCCCCTCGCCCCGAACAGCTGATTTTACCTCCACGCAACCCACTGTGAGAAAACTTTTTACATCTTCTTCTTCGCTTAGACCTCGGTGGTGACCTTGGCCTTGGGGTTCGTGACCTTGACACCGAGCTGCTTGGCGCGGCCGATGATGTCGATGCGCTTTCTCGAGGAGACGTTGTGGGCGATCCTGTAGTGAGTCTGTTAGCTGGCTGTGTTTTCCATCGGAAAGATGCCCTTTGCTCGGCTTTTCGGTCGGAGCTGATAGGCGGGTGTGGGGTGGTACGCACTCGGCAGCGTAGGTGCGGTTGTGCATCAGCAGGAGGTTGACGTCGTTGACGTTGCTGACGAGGAAGGCCTTGTGGCCGGAGGGCATCATGTACTTGGTCTTCTTGTTGGAGCCGAAGCCGATCTAGAGAGCAGGAATGCCAGGTTAGCGACCGTAATCCTGGGTCTCTTGGATCATTTCCATCCCGAAATTTGCTCCTCCTCTTATTGATGCCCATTCCCAAATCCAAGTCCAATTCCAGCAGGGAGGTGTCTCGACGTACCGAGGGCATGGCAGTGTTACCCCTGAAGCGACGGCGGACGCGGTTGTCGATACCCTTGGGCTTGCGCCATGATCGATCAACGCGCATAAAGCGGTCGCTCTGGTGGCGGTTGAAGAGCTTCGTGCCTGTTCAAAATAACACCCGTCAATCCTCTCGTTTCCAATCCAAAGTTCTCGTTCGGTTGTAATCATCGTCGTAGTTGTCGGGTACGCAGGGTCGTAGAGGGGTGCTGTGTCCTTGGGGAAGGAAAAAACATACGCTTCTTCACGATAGGAACGTGCTTCTTTGCGGCGACCATCTTTATGAAACCAAATGTCAGTAACTAAATCACAATATCGACAGCATGTCGATCGAGGATGCCGTAGCAATTGAATCTCACCTTGACGGCTGTTCCTGGCTATTGGGTTAGTCGGGGCGGGTGTACGTCGTCAAATTCGGGCTTCAAGGCGATCGTGAAATTTGGGCGACCACCATTTCGAATCGCACTGGACGTGGGCTCTTTCCGAAGCCCTAAGATTTTGTCGGTCACGTGTGGGCCGTCTAGCGGGGGAAGAAAAAAAAAGTGCAGGAGCGGAGACATGCTACTGGCCCAGCAGGTCGCGCTAGCGGAAGGGACTCTTTTCGGTCTGCAGCCAATGCAATCGGCCTACCTACGCAACGGGACTCCAAAAAAAAAAAAAAATAGGTCGAGGAGAGCACGGACCAACCATGGTGCAGTTGAAGAGGCAGCATGTCCTGCATCAATCTCCCACGTCTCTGAAAACACCATTGTTCAAGAGACAAAACAATTGCCAAATCCAACAAAAGAAATTTCCCACACCGAGGTTCGAACTCGGGACTCTCCGGATGTCATTGGAAACATGAAAGCGGAGTATACTAACCACTATACTATATGGGACGTGGTTGTTGTTTGATGACAGGGGAGAGCACTAAGCTGTACATAGACGCCTAGCGGGGCCAACAAAGCCCATCACAACAGAACTAGAAGCGGTTTGAGCTTTCCATGAGTCACCACTGTTCGCTATCCGACTGCACCAAGGTTGAGAAGCGATGTAGCAACCGTGTATCACGGGTCGCCTTTCATTCATGAGGGGGATGATGCCCAAACTACCAAGCAAAACTCCTCTCCGGTTCCCACGTCTATTCTCACCCCCCTACACCGTCCGGGTCGTCATGTCTGTCATGAGCTTCAGGGCGTCAAGCCCAAGACTCTGTCCTCTAAAATCTTTATCCACATCAACACCTCTTACTGAGGCTGGCACTGAGGCTGGCCATCTTCTTCATCTTCGTCTTCCCATTCGCCACCGAAACGCGGGTCTCCCGAGTTGGCGCCCATCTGTAGACATTTGTGTTAGCACCAGGTATCTGATGATGAAAGGACCTGTGAAGACTTACCGAATCCAGGCTATCCACCTCTTCGTACTCAACCTCATCAACCTCCTCGGCTGTGATGGGGGGAGGAGGGGGAGGAAGGAGCTTGTTCAGAGCATCGTACTCCTTATCGTCCTTCAGCCAGCCATCCTCAGGGAACTCAACATTGACAATCAGGTACAAGTCACCCTTCTCTTCGCCGCGCTTCTGAGGCATACCCTCGCCAGCGACCTTGAGGATGTCACCGGGGCGGAGGATTTCGCCGCGCTGTCTCTCCATATGAATACCGCGGCCGTCAAGGTGCGTTAACACAACACGGGAAAAGCCACCGAGAGCCTCAGCAAGAGAAACATTCAGCTCGGCAGAGAGATCGTTGCCGATGCGAGTGAACTCGTCGTGGGGCTCCTCTGCCAAGTGGAAAACAATGTCTCCGGGGGTCTGGTCTGGGAACTGGTCCGCCTCGCCCTCCAAAACGATCCTCTCTCCGTTCTGGGAACCTCTGGGAATGTAAATCTCGAGAACCTTGGTCTCGGAGGTGGTGCGCTTGCCCTTGCACTTCTTGCAGCGGTCCTTCTCCTTGCAGAAGTTTCCGGATCCCTCGCAGCGATCGCAAATAACAGTCTCTTTGCGGACCATACCCGGGCCGACCTGGCGGAAGGCCTCTGCCATACCGGCGCCTCTGCACTTCTCGCACTGCTGGGGCTTGACGTTTGCCTTGGCGCCGGATCCCTTGCAGGTGCCGCAGACAACCTGCTTGTTTGCGGAGAACTTGACAGTCTTGCCCTTGTACAACTCCTCGAGCGTGACCTTGTAAGGCTGGTCCTCATCGGGACCGCGACGCGGTCTTCTGGGACCGGCACCAGGGCCGCCGGGGCCGCCCATGCCCATACCGAACATTTGTGACAGAATGTCGTTCAAGTCGACCTCGACGCCGCCGGGACCGCCGGGGCCGCCTCGCGAAGGGTCGAATGCGGCCATGCCATGGGTGTCGTAGAGGTGGCGTTTGTCCTCATCTTTGAGGATTTCGTAGGCCTGGCTGACAGCCTTGAACTTGGCTTCCGACTCCTCTCTGCGTTCCTCGGGGACTTTGTCGGGGTGGTGAAGAAGGGCAGCCTGTGCAAGACGGAAATGTCAGTATGGGTTGTTGCCGCTGGCGTGTGATTGTAGTTGTCGTTGCGACCACGGAGAGAGGTTACGAACCTTTCGGTATGCCTTCTTGATCTGATCCTGCGAGGCATCCTTATCAATGCCGAGGAGCTCTGGAAAATGCGTCAGATGTGATCCACTGCGAAAAAAGTACCCCTGGGCTCCATAGGCAGAGTCTTACCGTAGAGATCAATATCTTCCTCCCCCGCCATGCTCGGTCCACCACTGTCCATGATTGAAGCTTCTTCGAAGGGCACTCGGGCAAAGTCTTGCTCGAAATTCGGCCTTCAGAGGAGTGATTTGCAGTTGTGAGAAGGGTGGGATGTGGAGTAGAATTGAAAATATTTTGTCTGGAGTACGGTGTACCTGCCGGTAGCAGGCCTTTGTTTGGCGGGGTACCCAGCATTGCCCGCACCTCAGTGCCTTGCTGGGCGTGCGGCTGCTTTGCAAGTTCACAGCGCTACGGGCAACCTGCTGAGAGCGCACGGCAGATGTTTGTTGGCAGCCGGCGGGGGTACCTTGTACACTACCTAGGTACGGTATAGAGGTAAGCAGCCCGGGCCCCAGTCCCCTTCCCCAGCCGCCTATCCGCCTGCACCTGTTCATCAGCAACCTCCACTGCTTTCCAGGTTCTAGAAGGCGGTGTCCAGTTGCTTGCCTACCTAATTATCTAAGGTAGGTTCCTCGAGACCTACCGCTTTCCTTAGATCCGCTGGATTGTTGAGTGCTGGCTTAGTTGACAAGGCCCCTCAATACTTGCCGAGACTTAATATACTTGTGACTGGAACTCTCACCAACTGAGACGGAGTTCACTAGTCATTAAACAGGTTTAGTATGTTGTTGCATTGTATGACGAACCCGAGTTACATACCCAGCCTTGATGTGAACAATAACACTTTGTTGGGCTTTCACAAGCAAGTCAATGTGATCGGCGTCAACCCGAGGCTACCAAATAGCAGACTCCAGAGGGACTGAGAGGACTGAGCTCACTCATCGCAAACAAGTGCCTCATCAAACTCTGCCTCTACAGCTCACCTCTATTCGCTGTACTCCTCGGATGGGCACTCGGACAAACTGCTCAAAGTGATATGTATGGTGTCGTCTGAAAAGTCTGTGAAACCTAGCGACAGTTCGAGATTCTTGAGATGAATACCGCCCACTCTGTTCTTATTTCACCATACCTTTTTAGAAATTCTAATTTTAATGAAGCATGTTCTTGAAGGAACACCATGGCCGATTTATCTTCGTGTTTGTCTACGGAGACAGACTGGAATTGGTGGAGAACTACAAAACCCTCTCTCATGTTTAGGTTGTGAATAGAAGTCTTTGTAACTGAAGATAGGTACGCACAAGCCACTGTCGTATAAGTCAGTATCTCGCTTGATGCATATCTATCAACTGCGCCACACGTGGCTGAATCTCATCGACAAATTTCACCCTTCGATCAGTTCATCCATCAACCGCTAAACACCTGAAGGCAACTTGAACAAATGTCTTCATCATGTCAATGAGAGCCCTGAGATCCCAGGGCCGGCCCCTCTTCCAGCGCTCGTTCGATGCATGCCGCGCGGGCTCGCACCCGAGATGGTGCTCGTCCGCAAAGAGTAGTGGCAGTGGCAGCAGCGGCTTCCAGGCGTTGAGGAAGAAGCTCCCGCCCCTGGCCGACAAGAAGCTCCACGGACTGCCCGATAAACCGGCCAGAACGCGGTTCGCCCCCTCGCCCACGGGATATCTCCATCTGGGATCGTTGAGGACCGCACTCTTCAACTGGCTCATTGCCCGTGCCACCGGCGGTCAGTTCATTATCCGGGTTGAGGATACGGACCGGGTACGTTAAAAGCTGCTGTCGAGTGAGATGAAGGAACCATCCGCTAACGTCACAAAAACAAAAAAAGACTCGCATCGTCGACGATGCCGTTCCGCGTCTCCTAGCAGACCTGAAATGGGCGGAGCTAAACTGGGATGAGGGCCCTGATATCGGGGGACCATACGGACCTTATGAACAAGTACTTGACTCTCCTGCCTCCCCTGAACAGTGGCACACCAATCTAACACCTCGATTCAGTCAAAACGTCTGGATTACTACAAAAAGTACATTGCCGAGCTTCTGGACGCGGGCAAAGCCTACCGCTGCTTCTGCACGGCGCACGACCTCGAGCGCCACAAGCAGCAGTCCCTCGACGAGGGCGGCTCAGCGCACTACCCGGGCACCTGCCGGAGCCTCCCGCCGTCCCAGGCCGAGCGGCGCGCCGCCAACGGCGAGACGCACGTCGTGCGCTTCCGCAGCGAGGGCCGTCCTTCCTTCGTGGACAAGGTGTACGGTAACTACCAGAAGAACGAGGACGAGGACGACTTCATCCTCGTCAAGAGCGACGGGTACCCGACGTACCACTTTGCCAACGTCGTCGACGATCACCTCATGGAGATTACCCACGTTATCCGCGGTGCTGTCCGTCTCCCCCCCCTCTCTTATCTCTAGAAATCCTACCGATTCTTTCTTAGGTCACCCTTCAAGACATATAACTGTAGCTCACACCAGATACCAGGAATGGCTCATCTCCACGCCCAAGCACATTGCTCTCTACGACGCCTTCAAATGGGAAGCCCCAACGTTCGCCCACGCTGGCCTCCTCTGCGCCCAGAACGGCGAGAAGCTCAGCAAGCGTAACCACGACATTGACATCTCCTCATACCGTGACAAGGGCATCCTCCCCTCCGCGCTCAACAACTGGCTTGCGCTACTGGGCTGGAGCATGAATGAGAAGGACCTCGCAAAAGGGGGTGAGGTATTCTACACCACGAGCGACCTGGCCGAGAAGGTAAGAGCCTCTCATCTCATATTAGCTCCCTTCGTTGCATCCTTTTTGTTTGGCTTTGCGAGGCAATGAACACCCACTTACACACTGCGAATAGTTCTCCCTGAGATTCACAAAGGGCAACATCAAGACCAACCCGGACAAGCTCGCCGTCTTCCAGCGTAAACACCTGACCCACCGCCTCCGCGAAGAGAACCCCGACGAAGAGCTCCTGAAACAGGCCCTCCTCCCGCCGACAACCAAGCTCCTCGAACACATCTCGTCTCTCCTGCAGTCTTCTCCTCCTCCTTCCATCGAGGCCGAGACTCATCCTCCCTCCGCCTCCGCTTCCACCACAAACAAAGTCCTCACCTCCCCAACAAACCAAAAACACTTCTTCCTCACAAAAGACTTCACAACCCTAACCCCCCTCCTCGCCTCCCCCTCAACATCCCCATCCCACCTCCTCGACATCTACCGCACCCTCGCCCTCGACTCCCCCATAGACCCAGTCGACCTCGTCCACGAACACCCCTCCCTCTTCCTCCGCCCCTCCCCGCAGTCCTACGCCCGCTCCCTCGAGAACCTCTCCCTCCCAGACACCACCGCGCCGCCCCACGCCCTCCTCCAGGACCTCCACGCCTCCCTCCGCGACGTCCACGAGCTCGACTGGAACCCGGACAGGCTCCAGGCCGCCGTCAACGACTTCGCCAGCCGCAACGCCGACTCGGTCGACCCCGAGAAGCCCGCTAAGCCCGTCAACAAGGCCACCTACGCGCTGCTGCGGCTCGTGCTCACGGGCGACCACAACCGCGGCGCCAAGCCTGCCAAGCTGCAGCTCGCGCTCTTGGGCCGGGCCGAGACGATGGCTAGGTTCGAGCTCTGCCTCGAGCAGTGAGAGAAAATGGCAATACCTACCTGCTTAGTGAAAGAATAGAAGATGGTGGGTGGGGGACCTCTCGCTCCCAAAAGGGGCAGCAAACAGGGGCAATCTTCAGCAATCGGAGAGATAATCCATTCCCATGCTTGGACTGTGTGTTAAACTTTCTCTCCCAGCGTAGGAGAATAGAAATGTTTCCTCCTATTGTGGGGGAAGGGAGTATGGGGTTTTGGTCGTTGCGCCCCGTGGGGAAGCTTAAATCCCCAAGTCCACACGACTCTGGCATGACTGTGGTTTTGTACGATACATGTATGTTGATAGAGAGTGTGTGAGTGGGTGTGTACTGCGCGGCTGTTTCGTCTGGAAGTAATATTTCTTGCCCGTCCCAGGCTTTAAATCGGAAAGAGAAAGATTACCATACCCGCTGGTTTTGTTGCCCATGCTCGAAGCTTCGCGAATCAGGTGCTCGACCCAACTCTACGATGTCCACGTGAGCTGGCCCGATTGGAGCTGGCCATGGACTGTACAGTCCGAAAGGGTTGACATCATTGGCGAGTGATATGCTCAAAGGGAGAGTCACATAGAGAAGTACGTCTTGTGCAATTGAACTCATTCGCGCCTACTTCACGTAACCCCTTTTACACAGAAGATGATATTCACCACCCTAGGCCCTAAATCCCATAGCTTCACAGAAGCTTACAGTCACACGAGGTCGTTCACATACATACAGAAGTAGTGAGCAATGATAGTTGCATTAAGGTTGGTGTTGCAGGCCTCTCAACGATCTCGTAGATGATGGACAGGATCTCGTAACAAGACAGTGTAGATGAGGTAGAAATTATATCGGAAAAGGAGAGATGGTAAACCGTAGGGGAATACAAAAGTGTTATCGCCACACCAATCGCCTCCGAACTGTTCCGTTTTCTAAACAATGCAACGCTATGATCATGTCGTTCGCGGCCGTGGGGGTGCCATTGAGCCAGCTCTGCTTGGCTCTGTCTCTCGAACTGTCCTCCTCTTTTACTATCCGCCGTTTTAGACGCCCTGTCTACAACCAATCCATCCGTAAATGCAGCAAAAAAAGGAGTATAAAGGGTGTTTACTAGGTGAAGGAAAGGTTGCAGAGCTCAGGGCGAGCAGATTGTTGGTCATTACGTCGTCATAGGCTTGGTTGGGGTATAATCGTCTACATAATTTCTTGGACCCAGATCTATACGTTCAGTTAGTTATACATCCTGATGATACTGCAATTGTTATTGGTGATGCTTACCTCCATCTTGCCGATTTCCTGCCTCGTTTTCCTTGCTTGGCTCTTGACGCTCATGATCGCCATGTCCAAGTCATCTTGGTCACCCATGGTAATCATGTCGCCATTCGGCACATCTTCGTCGCGGATCTTGATCTTGAATCTTCGTCGAAGACCAAACTTCTCACGGATGCGGTCAACAAAGTCGGGGAACTCGACTGCTGCGCCCACCATGATGTATCGAACATCATCGGCGTGCACCTTGACGCGGATCTTGCGGACTTCAGGTCTCCTTGAACCGCCGCGGGAGGACATTGAGTTCGTGCCTGGACGTCTATTATTGGAAACCATCTCAAAGTCACCCTCATCAAAGGAACCGTAGTCGGAGCCATCATCTTCCTCGTCCATGTATCGCTGGGGCTGGCGGCGGGAGGCTTGGCGACTGGTTCTTGTACTGTTGCCACCACCACCACCGCTCTGGTACATGTCGTAAAGCTCATCAGGATAGGCGTCCTCGGTATCTTCATCAGCAGGCCGGCCGCGCATCTGCAAGTCGCGTCTCGAGTATCCTCTGCTAGGAGTTGCCGACCGTGACTCGGATCTCATCATGGGCGGAGGTCCTCTACGGTCGTTGGGGCTGCTCGTCTTCTGGTACCGTTCGTTGGGTCTGGAGTTCTCGATGTTCAACTTTGCAAGCATCGGCTTGGGTCCATTACGGACGGATTGTCCACGAGACATGGCACCGGTATTGTTGGCCTCGACCTGGTCCGGGGGAGGGGTAGGAGGGAAGACACCGCGGCCGTTGGGCGGCTCGGACTGTTGTCTTCTAGAGGCCAGGCCAGGTTTGACTAGGTTGGTTGCAGCAAAGGAAATATTGTCAGCTGGTCTGTCGTCCTTGACGTCGTTCTTGCCGGCCTGTAAACCAAGAAGTTTGTGATTAGCAAATGGATTCCCATAAAAGCTGATTGGGATGGGAACCGATCTGCCTACATTCTTGATCTCGGACCCGGCAAAGCCTGTGAAGGCGTTCGCGCGATCGGAGGCGGCGACTAGCCTAGCCTTTCCAAGGTAGTCCTTTGTCTTGAGGTTGCGAACCTTTGCTTCGTTCGGTCGGTACACAACACCGACGGGAATCGAGAAAACAGTGTATCCCTTGAGAAATTGTAAGCACTGTACACAGTTCAACTCGGTGTCTTCCTTACCTCTGCCTCCTCACGGATCGCCTCATCGATAACGTTGTGGTCCTCTACCACCTTCTCCTTGACAGCGTACGACAGATCCTGCATACCAGCATCTTTCTGTTGCAGGTAGATGTAGCAGAGACCTCTGTTGAAGAGCACCTCGCAAGAGTAGAGCTTGAAGAGCAGACCCAATTGGGCGTAGTCGATCATGGTGTTTCCTCGCAGGTAGAGAAGAGTGTCATTGAAGTTGGCCAATGCCTCTTCGAAATCGCCGAGCAGGAAATTTGAGACGCCCTGCTGGAAGTAGGCGACAGCGAGGTACTGGTCGAGCTTGATTGCTCGTTGGTAACATTCGACCTGGTGTTTCCACGTTAGTGCCAAGACCTCGGTGTTAGGTTCGGAGACGACGCACAGCTTTCTCGTGTTCTCCCAAAGTGGCGTGAATGACACCCATGTTAAAGAGAATTTTTGATGTGTCGGAGATCCTCTCAAAATCCTTGAGGGCCTCATCGAATTCATTGTTGTCGTACCGGCCCAAGGCCGACACCCACGTTTCTATTTCCTGTAATAAGAGACAGTTGTGGTCAGTGACATGTTCAAACGGTCTACCAATTTCGGGTTATCGGGTGGTGCAGGTTGGGCGACTGCTGATCGCTCTCTCCTACGCTGGCACGTACCTGTTTCAATGACATTTTGTCGCCAGGCCAGAGTTATCAAGATACCAAATCCAAATCGCGAGCCGAGGGATTGCGCAAGCAGACGATTGCTGCTGCGATCGAAAAATCGTTGACGGACAGGATTCGAGGGAGAAAACGGTATCGTGGGGAACTGCGATGCGGACGTGGACAATGGCGGCTGAAGACAACGACGACGACGACTGCTGCAGGAAAGAAAGCCAAAAAGCGACCCAGACCTGAACAGCAACAACAAAGTGCGCCGCGGGCGGCTAGAGAGGGTCCTCAGGGCTTATTTAGGGAGATGGCTGGCGGTCTGTCGACCGTGCGGTGCTCGGCGCCACTGAAATGACGGTTGGAGTGTTACCCCCGCTTCCAATGAGCCAGAAGCTGCAAATGGGGTACGCTTCGGACTTGGGCGACGAGCTGGAGATCTTGGCGCGTGGCGGGTACACCAGGGATCGATACCTGGCCCCGTCTGGCGATTTGCCGAAAGCTTCTGCAAGAACCGCCGATGCGATGGCGGGGAGGAGACAGAAGCGAAAAAGAGGGTTTATCCAACTGTAGGATAAACTCGACGTTGTAACTTGATAAAGTTGCTCTTTTCTCGTTCCTGGCCAGCAGAAGCAGATGCCAAAAGTAGGACGGTGTTTCGGGTTTGTGTACGTTGTGCGTCGAAAGACGGATTAAGTTGTCGGGGGGAGGATGGGATGGCCCTTTTTGGCTGTGTGTCCTGGTTCCTGTGGAGGTAGTGGTGGGTGGATGGACAAGGCCGCAGTAATATGTATGTAAGTCGGACTAGGCGCCAAAATGGGGGGGATCCGAAGCCAGTCCGTCCTGTATTATCAAAGTCTGGGCTCTCTTCCTGTTCAGTTCTACTATTTCGAGAACGAGACCAAGACCAAAGAATCCGTGCTCTTTCTTATCTGCCTGCTTGTGACGACGAAGACTGTGACTGTGTTGCGTATGTGCGTGTGCCGAGGGCGAAGTGACCAGAGGTGACCAGATACCAAAGACTGCCTAAGCCTGCGTCGTTCGGCGCGGGTCCTCTCTCGGGTTAGAATCGTGCGTTAATTAGAGTCGGAACCTCGGACGGTCGTTCGACTGTGGGAAGCTTGCGTGTGAGTTGCGGGTCAGAAAGGACAGTCTCGAGGTCGGTTTGTCTTCGCTTCACGAGTTCCAACTTTGGGAACGGATGTGGGAAGCAAGTGTGATGTGGACAAGAATAAAAGTGATGGAATGACCAGACTTGCAGCCGGGCTTGAGGAAAGGAATGGGAATGAATGGATGGAGGACGAAAAGCCAGCGCCTACAGAAAGGAGGGTAGAGAAAATAGAGTCGAGTCGGTGCTCGCAGCGAGGGACCAAGGGGGACTTGACTGGTCGGGTTGTGGGCCGCGAGACTGGGTGTATATCATGCAAGGTGCTCATCAGTGATTGATATTCCAACTCGATTCTCAGTCAGGAAACGCTTAGGATGCCTGTGCTCCGGTGCTCGTCCAGTTGCGAGTCGCAGGGGGATCCAAGGGGGTTGTTCTTCTTGCTGGTCGAGTAGGTATCGACACTGGAAGGGGGGGTGTAGAGAGCAGAGGGCCCGGAACAAGTGGCTTGGGCAGCTCGGTGGATGAAGGGGGCGTGTATCTTGCTGCAACAGAATTCCGGGTGTCTTTTGGTCGGCTTTCGCACGCCCAGCCTGGGTTTGGGGGAGAGACGAATTGTGCAACCGATCTTGGCCATTACAGGATCTGCCTCGGTGACAAAACGTGAACTTGTGTTCGAGGTGAGTACAGACTGTGCAGGGACGTATACAGCCTTCCAGAGACATACAGAGTACAGAGCACACAGTTGTGACTTGTGAGATAGCTCGGCGCCAAAGAGATCGTCTCCCGTCTGCGTCTGTCGACTTTCCCCAAGACGTTGTCCCAGAACACTTTAAGCAGCCACGCAGATCCTTCTTTGGATATTCGACAAGGTATTTCGTTCGGCGGGAGGAAACAAACTTGTCTAAATTGAGTGATAGAATCAAGTGTTTTCTCTCGAAATCGAACCACTTTGCATATCTCGTCGCCAGATGCTGGGTTGTGAATATGCTGGACATCGAACGTTGGGTTGGGATCCCCTCGGGCCCTCTGTGCCTCGTCTTGGAGGAGCCACCCCTAGTTTGTCTGGGCATTCCATCCGACGTCCGTTCCGGGGGGTGTAAGAGAGCGCCTGGGCAGTGAGTGATGGGCGAGGAGGAAGCCGGAGTCCATGTCATGGCGTCGCAGGTCAGATCGCATACTGCGTATCTTGCGGTAGGCTTGACAAGGGAGTGGCTGTTTTGGACTGTCTGCTTCTCCTGATCCTCCAGGGAGGGACGCTGACGACGATTGACTCTTCTCAGTGTCCCCTCTCCCGTCCTCGTTGTGTGCGTGGCAGCTGGACAAGAGGCAGCGGTCCCTTAACGGCAATGCACTAATGCCGGGTGTCGCAGGCATCGTGCAACCACTGCGAATCAAGGCCTGTCGCTTCCCATGCACGAAGCGTTCCAGCGAATGCGAGATGTGCCTGATTGGCCCCCAGGAATACGGGTCGTGGGCCGGACCTTTGAGCCACTAAGTTGCCAGGGGCCAAGGGCGCGTAGAAGAGTGACTAACGCCGCCTTGATCACAGTTGTAAGTCGTGCTTCCCTTAGCCCCTACTACGCACAGTAGGTACTCCATAGTGAACCGTGACTGCAACCCGCAGCTTGCAGCTCTATCACGCCTCGTGGCTGAATATGGAGATGCTGCAGAGGTGATTGCAACTGCAGGGCCGTCCGATCTCGTTCAGTCACCGGGGGTTTTCTTCTTAGTTGCTTTTGCGAACCCAAAGAAGAGGTTGAAAAGTGGATGAGGTGTAAGTGCTTGCAGGCCGCCATACTGGAAATGGTCTGCCAAACCAGTCCACTGGAGCTGGGAGAAATGACGTTGAACTGTTTAAAATAGCATCCTTCGAAAGTGCCATTCTTTGCAGAGTGCATATGGGAGAAGTTAAGCGCCGGCGATATTTTTCTGATTGGGTTGTCCCGGTGAACTGGCAACGTTGGCCGCCTCGGTGCGGGTGACATGTCGCCAGTTGGGCAGGCCGACCCGTCCGGACGTTTCCAACCAAAGTTTCTCCGTCCGTCAGATGGTATGCCTCATCATTCATCAACCAAAGCTCAGGTCGAGCATGTTGGCGTCCGTCAAGTTGATCAGCCCAGATCGAATCAAGGCGCCGCTATGAAGGAGGCGTGTAGGTCATATATCTGAGCACTAGGCGGTCGTTGTGGTATCACAATAGGTTGGACTCTGGAGATGGTGGGCTGTCTTTGGTCGACGAGGATCGGCAACGGAAACCGAAGGTTGGTGGTACAGAATCTAGAGGCCCCTCAGCCCAGGTCAAGACATCTGCGAGACTGCGGCGCAGACAGGTAGGTTCGGCAGTCCAGGCTGTACTGGTACCAGTCTAGGACGATGTTCCTGCATAGGGAGTTGCATCACACAGAACTGGAATTTGCACAAGATGGAGGAGCAAGGTGCCGCTCGGTTGATTCTGGCATCTCATGAGGCCATCGTGGTGTGACGAGCTGCGTGAAGTCTCTTGCCAGTAGATTGGCTGGAGGGCGGGGTCTGGCTCGAAGGAGCAGAAGAGGCCGCCAAGGAAAGGAATAGGTTCGTCGGCAGGTTCTTCTCCATTGCCCTTTGTGGCGTCTCATCTGGGGCATCGCTCATCCCATCCAGTCCTGGTTAGGATTTAGACAACCTTATCTGCAGCGGGTCCACAAGTGGTTCTAGCCATCCATAGGACCGTCACTGACTGGCGAAGGCACTGGCGTCAATATCGGCAGTCGTGTCTGTGCAGTTGTCCAGAGTCGATGCTTAGCCTAGGTTAAATTCGCAATAGTTGATATCGTAAGATTTGTCGGCTTAACAGGGAGGGAGAGAGTGCGTGTGAAAGAGAGTCGGATCATCATGAGGTTGAGGGATCAGGGCTACTCAGCAAGGACCAGGATGCGTCGAGGGGAGACTTGGCTTTAGCCGTCAGCCTCTACGTAGGGTCTAGGCATCCGATACTTGAAGGCTCAACAAGCTCAGCCACACGTCGTTGACGTTTGACTAAGAAAGTAGCGTACCTGCCTCGCCTGTGTCCCGTCGGAAGCCACTGCCATCTCAACCCAGCATCCATGCCAGGCGTTCCTTCCTCCCGCCCATCAAAAGAGGCACGTTGTTGAAGTACGTATCTTGCCAAGAGGAACGTGATCTTATCGAGGTCGTCCTGGGGAAGGAATAGATACCTAACCTAGGTTCCTTACAATCAGGAGTCAAGTCCAGAATCCAACTCTAAGGTATCTCTCTCTCTCTCCTTCCAATACCCTAGGTACCAAGAAATGATGTAAGATAGCAGGGACAACTTACAAGCAACGGCAAGCACGAGCCAGGACCCACGCAGCTTCTTCCAAAAGGAACGAAAAAAGAACAAAAATGCGGCCTCGCTAGAATGACTTGCATCGCCAGTGACAAGAAGATCCCTTCTCAGGACAACCCAAAGACCGAAGCCGAAAAGATCCTTTCCAAGGAACCCCCCAACTACGCACCGCCCTATCGTTATTAGACAGCAAGGTACATTACTGCGTACTTCGTACCTGTGGGCTGTAAGGTACGGAAAGACACCGTGACACCCAGCAAAACCATCTCCAACTCTAATTATCCCTGCCAGTCCCAAGTCTCAAGAGTCTGCGAAACTCGCTTGTCCTTCAGGCTGTTTTGGAAGTCCCGTGCTGGCGTCCCCACTGACGTGCTGTCTACCTCATGTGCAAGACTCTTCTTGGTCTCTACCCGTACCTACCTTACACTATCGTGACGTGCCTAGCTATCATACCAAGTCATGGTAGCGTGGGTATCTGTACGGAGTAGTAGGTACGGATAGGTATGGATTCGTTCGTACTCGAAGGATCAACACACACACACACACACCTGCCAAGGTACCTTGATCTGGGTAAAGGCAGCTTCTGCTGTAACGTTGGCGCAGCTAGGGCAATGTCACTCTCCACATACCTTTGGGTGTGGAACGACTTGCGACTCTGCCCAGACCACCAGCCACTTCGCCGCATGAACCAGACGTCAAGCTTGCGAACTTCACCTTGTTTTACCACGCAGCATCCGGCCGGGTTTGAGGGGTTCCCTCGGTCATCGAGCCTTAGGCCTTGTGTCTCCCGTCTGTTGCGCTACCAAGTAGTCTTCTGTCTAGATGCCAACTGTCTAGGCCTGCCCCTCGCTCTTGATACGCAATAATTCGCCTCAACCACATCTCGTCTTGGCCCTAAGGTAAGCCAAGGTGACTCGACACGATGCACTCAACACACGGACAGGACCGCGCCATGGATCGCAAACAGTGGCACCCATAACGCTCCGCTCCGAGTTGCTGCTCGCTCGTCCGTCAACCTTCCACTCCCCTATCTTTCCTTCTCTTCCCAAGTGTCACAAGTCTGGGCATCCCTTTGAACGGATGAATCCACCCGTGACGCGGCTAGATCTACGTTGTCCCCGTCGTTCAATGCGAACCTCCGCGGTCCGAAGCCCGCAATGCAAATCTCGAGAGGGAGCTCCGGCAGGCACTTGTCATGTTCACCACCAAACACTGCCCACGGTTCGAGACTCAGCTGTTCCTCGACTCTTGTTTCCTGAATCAGCCCCCTCGTCAAACACGTTTGCATCGTAAACGTCGATACACTTTGGCGCAATGGCTTCTTTGTGGCTCTTAAGCAGCCCAACTGACTTAACCTTCTGTCAATATCAGCCTAGACATGTCGTCAACGAATACTTCAGCTCCCCTGCCGCCTCCGCCGCGTATCTTCGGGGCTGCCTTACTCAATCTGCACATAAAGAGTACAGACCACCGCTTCTCGCATCCGATTTCGAGCTTGCCTACCACCTACCTAAGCTAGTTTCAAACTCGGCCATCTTCTCCACCTATCGACCCCTTTGCACGTATATGTCGGTCACTTCAAGTTCCCACTGGCACTGCAGCATCAGCCTCCTTGTGTAATGCCATCTGCGTACACGCCCTTACTACGGATAGTGGGTCTTATCACGGCAAGGAGGTCCCGGCGCCCCTGCGATCCAGCAAAATAAGGTAGCGCCTCTGGTCCCTGTTCGACTACAACGCGTATTCGTCTCATCTACCACCTGTCACCTACGCTCCGCCTCCTTCCGGTCTTCGATCGGTGGGGGGAATCTCCCGGAACCGTCGTCAGTGTTTCTTCTAACATGATCTGCATCAAGCCCGACGCTGAAGCCATGTCTGTTGCTCTCCTCCTCTGGCATAGGCCTCTCTCTCCGTTCCCAGGACACAGAGGCTCCATCTCTTTTGCTGGCCCCGCTATCCCATCTGTTCCATCGCCCAGAGACGATCAAGAACTCGGCGGAAAATTCTGACCGAGACAAGCCTTGGGAAGCTTGGCATACAGAGGTTAACTTACACGAGCCTGTGACAACGGATGGAAACCCGCAACCTTACCGAGACCCCAGAGTCCAAGGTAACTGCCCCCATCCCGCAACTCCAGGTCCGCGAATCTGTCTACCTAACCGAGAGTCCTTGAACCTCATCCTTGGGGTAGGCAGCATGCCAAGGCATTGGAGAGGCTAAGCCTCAGTGTCAAACCCGACCATGGTGCGGTTCTTTGGACTCCTCACACCACAACCACAACACCCCCCGGCATCTTGCCTGTCAATGTTCTGGAAGCCGTGGCCACCGACCTTGACCTGAGGTAGCAGATGCAGTCCAAAAATCTACGTTCATCGCAAAAATCGTACGATATTGTTTATGGTGGCTGCCACTCCACGTGTGGCTTTTGGTGATCATCATAAAGCCTATCCGGCTCATCAACCGAGCTTCCCTAGCAAGAAACACATTGAAAATCTCTTCATGATCATTCTTTATACATCATCTGATGGCTTCCCGCGAAGTCTACCTACAGCATACCCTTCTCAACCTCGTCCTTTCTCTCCTCCCACAGCGTCTTGCCGGTGCATGAACAGACCGTCTTATCATTGTCCCACACGCCGGCACTCCTGGCAATCACGCCGACTAACGTGTCTGGGTCATTTTTCAACGCCCCTGCAGACTCATCTTGTCTCGAGACGACCATGGCATGGCCAATAACTTCCCAGATTTGAAAGGATTTGTCGAGATAGGCGCTGCCTCTGCCATCCTGGTCGACGTTGAAGACGCCCAAGAAGCCCTTGGCGGCGGCGGCGTCTTGACTGCCTCCCGACCAGACAGGGCCCGTCGATGATGCGCCCTCTGCCAGGTTACCGTACTCACGGATTGTAGCTCGGTATGACCCGGGGGCAACGCCGCGTAGCGTCATGTCGATCAGAGTTGTAGTCGGGGAGACCTGCACCATTCTAGCCAGACCCCTGACCTCTCGGTCTCGCTGCTCATTCAACTTTGAAGGCGCATCATCTGCATGGTAAAAAGACTCGAGGATGCTTACAGCCGCGCCTAAGAGACGTGGTGAGTCAGCGGTCAGATGCAGTCCGGTATTCCCAGGTGAGCGAGTTTGAACGACGACGATGACAACCCAAAACCTGACCCCATCTGCCGACACCAGTGCCGGTGTGACAAGACAAGTTAGGTGGTATCAGGAAACAACTTAATGTCCGCCAAGGGGTTACAGGAAATGCGGATAGGAAAGTTGGACTTGGACGACGAGAACACAAAAGCCAAGAAGAGAAAGAAGAGGCTTCAGTTGACCTACTGTTTGATCCTCCAGAGCCTCGCAGGATGGCGTCCCTCCCCGTGGCTTGGATGGCGTCAACAATTGTTGATGGTGCGGCTGCAAAACGTCGCCAAGAGTGTTAGCGGCCGGTACATTCTTTTCTTTTCTTCAAACGGCAAGACATTCAATTCTTTGAGTCTATCCATCCCCCATGACAGTTTTGCAAGGCAGCGAATACAATCTTGAGTGGATCAACACGATGGCCGCTGTCAAACCGGCAAGCTTGGGAAGCCTCAAAGCATCGCGTGTATGTGTGGGACGCACAACAGCAAAACCCAAATGGGTGTAAGACAGGGAAGGGGGCGTGTGTGTGTGTGTGTGTGGATGGAGGAGGGATCAACAGCCATGAGCCGCAAGAAGGATGAAAGTGAAAAAAAGCTTTCAGAGTTTGCGGCAGAAGACGACGTACCTGTGCCCTCGACGGAAAGCAATTGGTCCTTGAGATTGGCCTCGACCTTGGTGATACCCCCGAGCTTGTACAACGAGTCTGAAACGTCCTTGACGCAGCTGTCACATGTCATGGGTACGGCGAAAACGGTCTAGTGTTGGATTTTCAGACGTTTCATTAGCCATTTGATTCAGTTGAGCAATTACACCCCCATTGCTGTGTGTTGTAGATTTGGGTATACTTGAACAGGTGGAAAAAGGCAATGGGTAGTAAATGGGCAAACGATGAGGCCCGTGTATGTGCGTGCGGAAGAGAAATGGACCCTCATACGCACATGTCCCTCTACCCGGATTGCGTGCGTCTGAACGGGACGGTATTGGCGGAGGACGGAGCGCGCGAGAATGAAGGAACAAGACTTTGTCTCCTCGGCCAGATCCCGTGTCCGTGACGGAGACCTTAGGGGCGGGTGAACTGCCTGCCTGACTGACTGGGCTTGCCGGGCAAAGGGGGAAGGGAGGACCAGACTGGAGAACAGGCATAGAGAGAAAGAGAGAGAGAAACGGTGTTGAGAACTCACCTGAAAAGGATATGAGACGGTCATGGTGAAGGGTCGTCTGCTTGGCTGCAGCGGGCTTCGTAGCAGAGAGCGGTAATTGTGGATGAAGTCAGGAAGGCAGTAGAGCATGCTCTGTCCTTGTAGGACCCTTTGTTGTTTGTGCTGTTGTTGAGATGAGAAAAAAGTGAGGTCAGATTGTTAAACTCCGGTAGATTCCCGTTCCTAAAATAAAAAGAGAGATGGGGTTTGTCGTTCTCGGGAAAAAGAGCCCCAGGGAATATTGGTTTGTCGCGGGTTTACTTTGTGACTATCCCACTTTGACAAGACTCCCAAAGTTTTCGAGTGGTAGTGCTCGTAGATATGGTTATGACGCTGTTGAATTGCGTACCGACAACCTATGGGATGACTGTGCCGGCATATGCGGGTTTAATACTCATGGCCCATCGTGGAGTAAAGTTGTCTGTGAATATGGGCTTGCTTTGAAATCGTGCTGCCCCTCCTCTCCCACTCGCAGCCAGCGGACAGCGAGCACGGCGCAATTGGATCGCATCGCCTCATTGCTTTCCGTCGTCTTCTGCCCCGCCATGAGAACGCTCGGGCCATTTCTTTTTGGAGAGCATCGGCCCCAAAGTCGGCGCTCGGTCTCTGCAGCTGGAAGCAGTCTCAACAGCTGGCACCATCTGCTGGATCGAAAGCACTTTCCTTCACCGAGCTGATGGGATGTTATCATTATCGTCACGTGAGAACGCTCCCGGCTCCAAAATTTTGGGAGAAGCTCAGGGTCAGCCTATTGAATGGAGATCGCCAACGACGCCCAAGAACGCGTGACGACGACATTCTTTTTCCGAGATCTGACGACGACGCTTCATCGCTGGCTTGCCCGCTGCCAGAACCGTCCGATTGACCAATTCGGTCCGCGAATACCAGAAACGAGCGTCAACGTCGGCTGAGGCGGCCGGCCCCAGAAAACACATTTCAAGATGTCGCAAACCATCGGCCTGGTGAGCTTTCCCCTTTCCCAGCCTCCCCAATCAAATGCACACCTCTCTCCATGTTCCCGAGAGCTATCGTAACGACCAAATAGCTAACCCAATCGCCCAACTCTCCAGACGCGCCTCTCCTACTCCCGAGTATGGCACCAAATCTCCGCCTCGGCGCCCCACGAGATCCTCTCGACCCAACCGGGCGTCACCCCGCCCTCGCTGGGCCGCCTGGCCAGCCGCATCGCCGTGCTGCTGATGGGCAAGCACAAGCCGACCTGGGACCCGTCGACGGACTGCGGCGACTACGTGGTGGTGACGGACTGCGCGGCGCTGCACGTGACGGGACGCAAGAAGTGGCAGAAGACGTACTACCGACACAACACCCGCCCCGGTAGCCTGCGACAGGTGACGATGGACGTGCTGATGGAGAAGCACGGCGGCGCCGAGGTCCTGCGCAAGGCGGTGAGCGGCATGTTGCCCAAGAACAGGCTGCGGGAGAAGAGGCTCGCGAGGCTCAAGGCTTTCGAGGGGGAGGCGCATCCGTATAAGCAGAATGTTATCCGGTTTGGGGATGTTCCTGTCGGCAAGACGGGGTGGGAGGAGCAGGTGAAGGCGATTCGGGAGGCGGATTCGCAGAGGATATGAGAGGGGTTTTTATTGTCTCTCTTTGTGCGGAACAGTGGCTGTGAAGGGAATATGGAGGGGAAGGGACGAGCGAGGTGTAAAGTAAAGCCGTCTTGAGTCGGCGTGTATATTCTGTACGAATACGGGCATTCTCAAAAATACTTGAAAGTCCAATGGCTCTCTGCAATGTGGCACTATTTTCAGTCAGGTGATGAGCCGTGGCTGTCGTTGATGTGATTTGGCTATGCGATGAGAGAACTGCGTGCCTGGAATAAGGCGATTCACCAGAGACTCTTGAGACTTTCGAGAGAGACATCGTAACCGTCCAAAGAGATGCCAGGAATTTTGCTGGTCGAACATCGGCAGTTTCTGGAGTCTTAATGCAGGCGAGAAGAGGAACACCAGGGGGAAAGGAGCAAGATACGTGCTGTGCAAGGGAACCTGCCGCTATTCTTTGTAGACTACGTATAATCTGGCAAGGGTGACGATGGCAACAGTATTAAAAAATTGATATATCGATTTTCTATTTTTCACGTTGCTTGAGAACTCAGGTGGCAATGACCAGGATCATTCTTGGGTTCTTTTCCAGATAGACGCGAGTCTTGCTAGCTAACCCAATGCTGTTGATACATATATTTGTGTTAATCCACTGCTGTTACTGGTGTGGATCACCTACAATTGCCGTGAACAACCAAGTGTATCTCAAAGTCCATAGCATACGTGAAAACTTGACGGAAACGCTCACTGTCTTGAGCTTATACTCGGCTTGGGAGCAGAAGAGAAGAATACCCATCACGACACCAGTCTCAAATAGAACTGGGAACAAGTTAACAGTTCAAGTGTAATTATTATGTGAGGAACAGATTACAGGATGAGGAAGGTCGCTGAGAAGCGAAACACCTTTTCGCCTTTCCAGCTTTTCGAGAAACCTGATGTGGTATCATGGGTGGCTTCATCAAAGCTCTCCGTCTCGTCCATAGTCTAGGATCATTTCCAATGCCAAACGATGGTTTCACTCAAGTCACAGCAAATTCTCTTGCAGAAGACAAATTTGGATGGGTTATCATATTCTTAGTCATTGCTCATTATTACTATAAAAGAACACCCGGCCAGGCTTGACCAGGTCATGGACGCCGGTAAATGCAAGTGGCGAATCTCGTTGGATTCTCGTAGGAAAGCATCTTGTCTCATCCTCAGTCTACATCCCCTCATCTCACTCACTCAACCCACTCAACCCACTCGCCAACTCACCCAAAGCTCGCGCCTACAACTTGGCGGTCTCGGGCTTGCGGGCGACCTCGCACTTGATGAGGCCGTTGGGGCCAGACTGCGGCGCGTAGACCTCGGCGTCCTTGCCCGTGTTCTTGAGCCCCTTGTGCCAGCTGAGGTCGATCTCAAAGTAGTGCTTGTTGGGCAGGGAGTAGGTGGCCGTCAGGGTCTCGGGCACGGCGGCGAGGATCTGCTCGCACATCTTGTACATTGTGTTCTGCACGCTGGCGCTCTCGTCCTCGGCAAAGGTCTTCATGGTGATGTCGCGGGCGGCGCGCCACGCGGGGTCGAACTTGGGCACGGCGGCGCGGACGGCGACCAGGTCCGGGAACTTCCAGGTCCAGGCGGCGTCGACGTCGGTGGACAGGATGCGGTCCCAGGTCTCGGGGAGGGTGGTGTACTCGTCGCGGACGAAGCCGTGGAAGGCGGAGCCGGTGGACTTTAGGACGGTGAGCTTCTGGATGGCGCTGGTGAGGGCGATGCCGTCCTTGCGGGAGATGCGGGCCTCGACGTTGCGGGTCTCCTCGCCGTCGCGGAAGAAGGAGTGCGGGTGCGGCTTGCCGTCGACGGTCATGCGGGTCCAGCGGTGCTGGATGATCTTGACGTTGGCGGTGTGGATGTGGGCGTAGGTCTCGAGGAAGTGGGCGCCGAGGATGGAGGCGAAGAGCTCCGGGGGGTTGACGGGGTTCTCCTTGGCCTTGATGTAGGTGGTGTTCTTGATGGAGTCGGTGGCGACGACGACGCTGTTGTCGGCGACTGTGTACGAGGTCTCGATCTCGCCCTCGAGGAGGCAGCAGACGGTCATCTCGGTGACGGTCTGGACGTTGCCGTTCTTCTCGACCTTGTAGACGCGGACGTTGTCCTTGCCGTAGCGGGCGGAGGCGAGGTAGGCTGCCATTATGAATGTGTGTGTAGGTTTGAAGATGGAAAAGTGAGCAAAACGTAGGGTGTCTGTGGTATCACGGATGAGATTGCTTGTATCGCAAAGACGAGGTAAGATGAGATATTGTTGTGAGATGAAGATCGAGGGTGAGAGCAAGGTGCCGAGTGGTTCAAGCTCAAGAGACACTGCAGGCAAGCACTGATAAGGAAGTGGTTGTTGGTTGATGTTGATGAGACAGAGGACAAGAGCAAGGTCACAAGAGAAGAGGTCAGAGGGGGGACGATAGGTTTTATATCAACATCCAGGAGAAGAAATTGGTTGAGGTTCTCGCTCTCAGATTAGCTTCGTTGGACGTCACCCACCACAGAGACAAGAGCCGGGCCGGAGATACACCAACAAGCAGCACAGATAGCGTAGTCGCGTCTTGAATCGGCACGCAATGTTTGCGCTGTGCAAGCATGAAAGCTTCTGCTTGTGTTAGGTGCTGGGATGTACGTACTGTGTAAGGGTGGCCCCGCGGGTCGGGGGTTAGGTAGGTAAGGGCCCAATAGCCTGGCCGAACTGGCCCGATCGCTTGATAGGGTCCGGCTGCCGTGGGGTAGAATGGTCTTATTGGAGCTGGGTGGATCCTCCGGAGCCCGCCGATGCCCTTTGGACGCTGGGCAGGCAAGTCGCCGCATGCAGCCGCTGTCTCCCTACGGCTGTCTGCGCCAGGGCGGGACCGACGAGAGACGCTCTGGGCCGTACATGCTATTTGGTAAGGCGAGGTACCTCAGCTCCACGAAGCAAACGCCTCTAGCCTCTAGGGCTTTGGATGGAAAAAAAAAAAAAAAGAAGAAACAAGACGAGAGGCGGCAAGTTCTGCCGTGACTAGCAACCGTAGGCGGTAGTTGATCTTGCATTTCTTTTCCCAGGGTCCGTCTCTACGGGACCAATGGAGACTCGATGAAATCAAAGGATCTTACAGAGCCGCAGATGCTCGTGATGTACCTTAGCTGCTGGACCTCCAGTGGCCGGCTCCGCGTAAGGGTAAATATTTCATACAATGACGAAGAATGTACATGAACGCTTCACAACCAACATGGGAACACCAAGAAACCCACACATCATGCAAGCCGTTTCTCTCAAAGCCCGTTGCTGTGCCGCCGCTCTCCGACTTCATGTGAGGTCAAGGTGAACTGAGATGAGATGAGGTGAGGTGAGGTTTGGCCAAGGACGGGCGCGCAAAGGAACCGGGGGCCCCGCCATTTCGGGACTGTGGATATTAGACCGAAAGGCCGAAGATGCAAATCCCGTAGTGGGGTGACTGATTCTGACAGAATCATTTCTGTCCATTATGTTTGCTGTGTGTATGATGGAAATACTTGGTTGGTAGTCTGCCCCTCGATCCTCGGTGTTGGTTGCTATCTACCGCCACGAGTACTGGCAAGCCGCAAATCTGTCTGACACGGATAGAGGTGGGTGTCTCCGAGGCATCGAATGACTGCGGATGGGGGAGCCGGCCGCGTTTCAGCATTGGTAGTGGCAGTTGATGCTGTGGCACAAGCAGCTTCAGACGGCAAGGGATTTCCTCGGGACCGTGGGTAGGATGGTCCATGATGAGCGTTCATGGGCACATTTTTTTCTCTCTTTGCAATACACAACAGGTACGGAGATGGGCTTGCCCGAGGTTGACTGCCCGTCTTTTCAGGTTCCTTCAGACAGAATCTGGTTCGTCGATTGAAGCCATCGTCGACAGGTACCTTACCTGACCACGACGAAGATCTTCGGCTGAAGTAACATGTACATGTCGGAGGATAGTCGGATGGAAATACGAGGCTGTCAAAGCTATCGTGACCTACCTTGGGCGATTATTCTTGTAAGTTGTTGGAGGTCGGTGGTCGTTGATCGTTGAGCGTCAAGGTTGGACTGAGTGGTGCCAAGAGCTGCACCTGTATCTGTACAGATAATAAAGTCAAGGTTTCGTGCCTTATCTGGGGTTTATCGACAACATGCCTATCTTATCCAGGACGATGTATCCCTTCAGCGGTCGTAACGCTAGAAGGTAGCTCGAAATAGAGACTGCTGCAGCTGACGGCAACGTCCCCATTGGCTTCTCAGGCAGTCCTCTTACCCTCTGAGCCAAGCATAACGAGGCATGGTGCCCTACCGGTACCTTATCTGAGCAAGTATTGGTACTCGACATCCCGTCTTCCAAGGTCGCCAAAGGGGAGAGAGACGTGGTCCAAGCTTTCGGTGAGGGGTGAAGCGACCAGGAAGCGGGGCTGCTATGGAAAGGAAGGCTGCTTCCTTCCGCGTTACGGCATATGCAACAATAAGGTAGCCCAGCAGCAGCAGAAGGAGCCGAAGGAGAAAGAGCGCACCGAGAGGGCAAGTCAGGTTGAATCATCAGTTCTTTCCAGGTCCTCGGACATATGTGCTTGAAGATGAGATAAGGTAGACAGGCAGAAACTTAGGTGTGTTGTACATGTGATTTCAAGTCAATTAACATCAGCATTGAAGATGGATGATGAATAGGTAAGGTAAGGTAAAATGGACTTGGCTGAGTGCGTGCATGGACGAGGTCCGACTCCAACAATCTGAACCCGAACAATGGGCATGGGGCTGCCAAATCCGTACACACCTGAGCTGGAAAGTACTTGCAAGAAACAGCCTACCTACCGTATCTGCCTATTCCTTCCTACCTACCTTGACAATCCCCAAGCCATACCTCAACATTTCTCTCACCTTTCTTCACCTTACTTTACCTCATCATAGGGCAAGTAAGATACTTTCAAAGGCTGACTGACACAGGACGTAGACGCTGCTTACCCTGTCCTGAGAGTCAGAGGTGCACTGAAGAGCGTGAACAGAAGAGAACCTCGCAACTTCGCGGCAGCTGTGGCTGTGACACTGCACCACCCTGAGAATTCACCCCTGAACACCACCCACCTCAGACACCAGTATCAGTGCCTTCTGCGGTCCACGGGTGACATTGGCAGCAACCACACCTCTACAGCCTGCCCGCGCGACCGTCCTCAACTGTGAACACCGCTGAACCACGCCCGCGACAGCAACCCATGCGCATCCAGGCCCACTCCTGAAGCTGCGAAGACTAGGCTCAGTTGGTATCCGGCGACCAAGTACGCACTACGCAGTACCTACATTACACAGTAGGTACTTCACCGTCAACTGTGGGCCGTGAACGAGCACTCGGCTGGAACGCCGCAGCACCACGCAACAGTCGAGACAACGACAACAGCGACGACTGCTTCCACCAGAACTCATCCTCGATCACGAACAACCCAAGGCGCAAAGATATCTCGACCGACCCCAAGCGACACTATCATCGGGACCATCTACAACGGCTGCAACCTGCGAAAGATTCCTACCATCAACCCTTTCTGATGCGCCAATCGCATATCCTCAGCATTAAACTCCCATCGCATCTCCACTCGGACTGACGTCCTGCCCTGCTCTTGGCGTGGCTCTGCGGGTGGCCGACCAACTTCGCCCATTTGCGCACCCAACAGCCTGCGACTCGAACATTCACCCGATCAACGCCTGCTCCTCCGTACCTCTCGCGCCATATCTCGGCCGCCTACAATTCAAAGAATTGTCCGAACCTCGATTCGAAACTCGTTACCCACCTACCGCGACAGAGCCTCAAGCGATCGACGACAGTCCTTTACTCCACGCGGACAAACCCCGACCACGACTACCAACCCCCAAATACCCCGATAACGAATTTCTATAAACAGAGCAGTATTGAAATAACAGTCGCCCGAATGCCAGAACCTCCGGAGAAGCCCCGTAGCAAGGTGGTAACATAGAGAGGCATCGCCAAGATGCTGAGCGCCTCCGGACAGTCTCAAAAGGCACTGTCGCCTCAACAGTCGGCATCGAGCGCCAATACCCTCAATCCACGCCCGAGTTTCGAGCGCATAGAGAGCACCGGCGGCCTCCAGCCGCCATCCGCCTCTGTCAATGGATCGAGAAGTCTGGGCGCCTCGGGCGTCAGCTTCGGACCCCGAGGCTCTTCCCTCAACCCCTCCATCGCCCCTGGGAGCTTTAGTTCTGAGCTGCGCAGCCAGATGATGCCATCTCGCTCTGGCTCCCGAGGCGACATCTACAGCATCGATAAGGTCGACGAGGAAGATCCCGCCACGGCTGCAGAGCAGACCCTAGCTATTCTCAAGGAGCAGCTGAATCGAGAGATGAAGATCAAGGACGGAAGTGAGAACATGCTGGAAGCCTTGAACGCCAAGAAGGCAAAACAAACCAAGGAACAGAGGGCCAAGGTCGAAGCAGAGCTGAATGCGTCTAATCAGCGCATCAAGAATCTACGGCAGAAGATTACAGACGCTTCGAGATTCAAGGCGACTCCTACCACACCCACAAGACAAAGGACAAACGAGCCACTGTTCTCTTCTGCCAACAATGGCATGCGCTCACCTCCTAGCGCCTCTCGCAGTGGCGCTGGTTCAGACAATGAAGAGACGGCTGAGCAGTCACCAACCTTTCTCCTGGCTGAGTTGCTACAAGCCCTTGAGCAGGAGGGCATGCCGCCAGAGTACTATGTCAGTCGAGGAAACAGTCTAGTTGATCTGTTCAGGCGGCATCCAACTCTCAAGTATGACTTGGTATGGTCGGTATTCGGTCTTCGCATGCAAGTAATGCTGCTCAGTGAGGCCAGAGAAGTAGTGGCAGCTGGTTACCGAATGATTCGCTATGCCATCTCAGATGTGTCTTCTTTAAAGAAGATCCGCAGTCTGAATACTGACATCATTGTTGTGACGTGAGTTTGGTCATGTTTGTACGTTGGGCAAGCCTGTGAGCCACAGCTAACAAACTGTAGATCTTTGATCAAAGACCGAAAAGCAGATCTAGAGCGTGAACAGGCCTTGAAGTTCGTCCGAGCCTTCTTGGATGTCAAGGACGGAGTCAAAGAGCTTTCACGCGCTGTTGTGAGGACCATAGCCGCTGTTGCTGAGCAGGGTGAAGATCGTCTACGCTCCATCTGCCTGGAAACTCTTGCTGAAGTCATGCTTCGAGACCCGGCCCTGGCAGTCGCTTCTGGCGGCCTTTCACCGCTCTCTGAGGCTTTGATCGAAGGAACATATAAATCGCCCGAATCTCTTACGGCGTCTTATATGCAGATCTTGGATAATCCACAAAAGAGAATCTACTTGCGCTCCGGTTATGATCTGGAGGTTCTCTTCACGGCATTCACAGATATCATCCTCGCAAACGAGAGCTTACTGAAGCAGAATGCCAAGGCAATCACCAAGATCCTGAAGAGCTGGCCGGGGTTGATGATGCTGACTATGCATGACTCTCGAGCCATCAAGTCGCTGCTCACTAGCATGGTGCTCCCACAAGCAACCATCCGAGAGACAGTGATCGATCTCATTTACCTTCTTCTCCGGATCAAGTCGCCTTCGTGGGCTTCTTCCTTCCTGGCTGGTCGCCGCCTAACGACATATGGACGGGTAGCAAGCCTCAAGTCGGTTCCGAACCAGACGCCCTCGGCGAATGCTCTACCCGTGGAGGAAGATAGTGGAGAGCAAAACTTCATGGATCACTACACTGCCCTGCTTCTGGCTACATTTGTCAAGGCTGGTCTACTAGAAAACTTGCTTCAAGTTGCCAGGACCAGTGACCCCCAGCTCTCCAGAAAGACATGTCTTCTGATTGGTGAGGTGCTGAAGCTGGCAAGCAGGCTCCTCCCCGCGACGTGGAGCAATGACTTACCTCTGCTTCCGGAGCTCTTCGCTGCGGCGACTCAGTTCAAAGACGACAACAGATTCGTTGCCTCGGGCATAGTTTATCAGATTAGCTCGGTGAGCAAGACGCTGTATAGGAGCACGCCGTCTATCGCGACTGCTGGAACTCTCCCCTCCAGCGACAACCTCGCAGACATGCACCGTAAAAGCAACGCCGGGATTGTGGTTCAAGAGGGCGCAATCCGGCAGCTTTTGGTGGAGTCTAATGTCCTGAACAGCTCCAACTACTTGAAATGGAACTGGGATGTCATCTCGCGAATCATCGAAGGGCCGCTTCAAGATGGAAAGCGACTAGACGAGGTCAACAGGGTGTCCAAGTTTATGAACAGGATCATGAGCTTCTACCGGCCTTTTAAGCACAGGTTTTCGGATCTTACAAGCAACAAGAATTCTCAAAAGTACGTCAGGGTTGGATGTACGCTGATGCACACTCTGCTTCAGTCAAATGAGGGCTTTCAGTACTTGCAAGATCATAAGATGTTACGGCAGATAGCTGAGTGCCTCGCTCAATGTGACCCGGTAAGCAAAAAAGAAACATTCTTGGCAACCTCATCAAGACACTAACAAACAATGCAGAGCAGTGGATTGACATCCACGGATCCAATGTTCTCCCCCGGTCGCTTGCAAAGCACACTTTGCGCAGGATACTTCCCCATGCTTGGAGTCCTAAGTGGTGATCCCAGAGGCTTGGAGCTTCTACAACGCTGGAGAATGTTCAACATGATGTACCACATTCTCGGGCACAAGCAGCGCCCTGACTTGATCAAACTACTTCTTTCAAACTTTGACTACAGCATCCCGGGACACCCACGGGTGCTTATAGAACAGGCTCTTACGTCTGGAACGAGGGAGATTCGCATCACGGCGACGAACGCGCTGCGGAAGTACGCAACTCGACCATTCGATGCATCCCAACCATCCCACGGCAAGATCGACTGGAAGTGGGCCATCGAGAAGCTGTGCGACCAACTATACGACCCTGAGGTAGAGGTCTGCCGAACCGCGGTTAAGATCCTCGAGAAGGCATGCAATAAGAAAGCATATCTGGAGTATGTCGTCCAGTGTCGTCCGACAATGGACCACTTGGGAGAGATCGGTGCTCCTCTCCTACTGCGGTTCTTGTCCTCGTCTATTGGCTACCACTACCTCGACGGCGTTGACTACATCAGCAATGAGATGGATGACTGGTTCCTCGGTCGAAACGACTCATATGTCGGTGTGATTGAGACCAGCCTGGCCAAAGCATTCCTAGAGAATCCAGAAGAGCACCAGAACCGCATTAACATGGTGGAAGAAGCTCAAGCAGATACCGAGCCAGAGAATCACATTCCACCGCACTTTTATCGCGAGCTTGCACGCACTCAGGAGGGATGCAAGTTGCTAAGCGACAAAGGACACTTTGCTGAGTTTGCCAGCACGATCAAAGAGTACGGCATGCAGTCGGAAGATCCCGAGCTCATGCTAAAGGTCAAGGCCTCCATGTGGGCTGTCGGCAACGTGGGATCCATGGAGCTCGGTGCCCCTTTTATCGAATCATGCGATGTCATCGAAGACATTGTCAAGATTGCTGAAGAACACGAGGTGATGAGTCTGCGTGGCACCGCCTTCTTCGTCTTGGGACTAGTTTCTCGATCCGCCCACGGTCTTGAGATCCTGTCAGAATGTGGATGGGATGCAAATCTTTCACCGCGAGGAGAGTCGATGGGATTCTGCATTCCCAACAATCTGTCCAAATTCTTCTCGTTCAAACCCTGGAAGCACGCTATTGCCTCCAAAATTGCATTGCCAGATACGCAAAAGACCTTTTTGACACCGCCACCGCCAACAGAAGCGCGTCCGCCTCTGGAGAAGGAGGAGCTGCCGGCCTTCACTAACGAGGAGGCCATCAACCAACGAATTCTGGATCTCGTCGTCGATCTTGGCAATATGGTTCTGTACAAGCGGGCGATGGGTGAACTGATGCAGATCAGGCAGCACAAGGTGGCGGGCTTTAGATGCCCCAAAATGTTCAAGCGCGTCATGACGATGCTTGAATACAATCACTATCGCCTGCCTATTAGACGAATGGTTCTCGAGATGTTTGACAAAAACGTCCTCAGAAGAATTGTCTTTGACGAAGACAGCGATAGCGGATCTGACGACGAAGATGTCGACGAGGATGAGGAAAACGCATCCTCGGGTGACGAAAATCGAACAGAGAGACAGCGAAGTATCTCAGACCCGTCGGAACTGGAGAAGGAGACAGAGCCTCTGCCGAAGGCGGAGCGTTCGGACAGCATGAGCTCATTTGATACAGACAGCTCGGCTGACTCGACGGAGACAGCGTAAGGTTGTGTGATCCGTTTCCAAACAGCTGCTCATCGTTAAGAGACTACTTGGCATTTGAAACGGAAAGTTATCAGTGGAATTCGAAAGGCATCATGAGGAGGCGTTTTATTTGTTGGCTTTTCTTGTACTATAACTCGGGACTTTGGGGGAGTGGATAAAGTCTCCAGCTGAGGTTTTGGCCGGCAAAGGGACCTAGAGAAGCTACGGATTGATCTTTAAGAGCGAGCAAGGACAGGATGGAGTTGGTGGCCATCTGCGTATCGATTCCCAAATGGTGTAGGTAGGGAGGGTTTCGGCACCATAGGCAAATCAAAAGTGGCTTGTTTCTCTCATCTCTCGCTCAGATCACGCATCCTTTTCTTGCCAGGAGTGAGGGTCATGCATATAAGAATGGCAGCCTTGGCGATGTCTTTTACGTGATGTGTGACTAACCAGTGAGGCGCAGGTCACAGTATGGCGTGGGAACACGAAGAAGAGTTTTGCAAGTCGGACGTTTTATTGAGGTGAGCAAAAACTAAAGGGTGCCCCGCCCCCACTTGAGTGACATCTTCGACCCGCGACCGATCCGTCGTCAGCCGTGCCTACCCCGTCCTCCGATGATGTCCGATCCGTCTGCACGGAAAGAAGCCCCGGAGAGTTGATTGCTACCTTGCATGTATCAAGGCTCTTTCTTACCCAAAACAGGATCCAAACCGGCGAATCTATCTCTGACTAGTCCTTTTCGTCCCCTACACTAGTCACCATGGTTCAGGGACGAGTTCTTGTCATTGCCGGCTCGGACTGCTCTGGCGGAGCGTGAGTACACACACACACACATTCTTCATCTCCAGACTGCAACAAGATCTGGAGAAAGCAGATTCAGAGATGGGCTTGCTGACGCGGGAATCCAAAGAGGTCTCGAGGCGGACCAAAAAGTCACCGCGGCGCATGGCTGCTATGCCATGACGGCCACCACGGCGCTGACGGCGCAGGACACGACTGGAGTGCACGACATTCACCACGTGCCGCAGGAGTTTCTTCTCAAGCAGATCGATGCCTGTATTGGAGACATCGGGGTGGACGTAGTCAAGACTGGTGAGGGTTGCTTCATTTTTTTACACTGTGTCTGGTCCATGGCGTTAAGTAGCTGACCCGTAATCAGGCATGCTGGCTTCGCCTGCTACGATTGAGACGGTTGTCGAGGCTCTCAAGAGGCACAAGGTCCCCAAGGTCGTCGTTGACCCGGTATGAGAACGTCATTTTCACACTTTTGGAAAGGGGACTCTGAGTTTTCTTACAAACTGCCACAGGTCATGATCGCGACCAGCGGTGCGGAGCTTCTCCCCCGCGAGGCCGTCGCCGCCTTGCTGGAGGGCCTGCTCAAGCTCACCACCGTCCTCACGCCAAACATCCCCGAGGCAAAGCTCATCCTCGAGGACTCGGGCCACGCGCCGGTCGAGGTCGAGAGCGTCGGGGACCTCGAGGCGATGGCGAAGGCGGTACAGGCGCTGGGGCCCGAGTGGGTGCTCGTCAAGGGCGGACACGCGCCGTTCAAGGCGGACTTGACTGTGGCCAAGAGCGAGGAGGACAAGGCTGTTGTCGTGGATGTGTTGTATGGGCACGGCGAGTTTTGGCATGTGCAGAGCCCGTATCAGAGTTCGACGAATACGCATGGGACTGGGTGTTCTTTGGCTTGTGAGTTTGGGTCAGAGGTCGTGGTTGAGTATGACGAGTGCTGATTTGTGTGGTAGCTGCTATTGCGTCTAATTTGGCAAAGGGTCTTGGTATACCGGAAGCTGTGATGTCGGCTTGTCGATACATTGAGGCTGGGATCAAGACTGCTCCTGGGTACGGAAAGGGGCATGGTCCGCTGAACCACTTTCACTCTATTCAGACGCTGCCCTTTGCGCCGTAAGTTTCCTTTAAACCACTTGTATAGGCAACGAGTTGACTAAAGTCGATAGGGGGCGCTTTATCGAGTACATGCTTGAGAGGCCAGATGTCAAGGATGTTTGGAAGACGTTTGTGTATCACCCTTTCGTTATGGCCATGGGAGATGGAACGCTGCCCATGGAGTCGTTCAAGCAGTATCTCATCCAGGACTACCTCTATCTGGTACGTGTGCTGCGGTCCCCGACGGAAACTCTTGGTTGCTCATCTTCTATCCTAGGTTCATTTTGCCAGAGCCAACGCGCTGGCTTCTTACAAGGCGAAGAGCATAGCAGACATCTCGGCCGTAGGTGATGCCCGCGGTTCTGGAGGGGTTGTGTACTGAATCATCTAGGGTGCCACAATCGTCAACCACATAACTCGTGAGATGAGCCTGCACATCGACTACTGCAAGGGCTTCGGCATCACGGTGCCTGAAATCGAGGCCACAGAGGAACATCAAGGCAAGTCTTATCTTGTGGATGTTGACCCTCCCTGGGGAGAGACATGAGAGCGAGACTGACAAAAGACCATACATACAGCCTGCACGGCGTACACGCGCTACGTCCTCGACGTGGGCGTCAGCGAGGACTGGATCGCGCTGCAAATGGCCCTCGCGCCCTGCCTGCTCGGATACGGCGCCGTGGCAAAGCAGCTCCACGGCGACGTCAAGACGAAGCGCGAGGAGAACATGTACTGGAAGTGGATCGAGAACTACGTCGCTGACGACTATGTCGGAGCGGTGAAGACTGGCTCAGGTTTGTGGAGATGTTTATTATCCTCTCATGGCTGTTATGGTTGACTGGGTCATTTTATTTTGGCTGACTGAGGGGGGTTAAATCACAGAGTTGATTGAAAGGCATGCCGCCTTGCAGAGCCCGTCGAGTATAGAGCGGTTGATCAAGATCTTTATTCACGGCACAAAGGTTGGTTTTGATGTTTGTTGGGCGGGGTGAAGCTTGGGCTAACTGTGTTTCAGATGGAAATTGGTTTCTGGGAGATGTTTCCCTACCGGTGAGTCTTGACGAGCAATGTTTACCAGTAAGCTGGTAATGGAATCCTGTCGGTGAAAAGTGTTGTTTGGTAGACGGATAAAGGCTCTGTAATTGGAGCGAATGCCCTTCAACAGAAGATGATAGATGGAGGATGGGCCTTGAACTGGAAACGGGTGTAGCAAGATGGAGGCAAGGGTGGTGGCTCCTACCTCACATTGCCGCCATCTTGATACTCAAACAGCCTCATAGCTTGTGGACGAAGTTTCTGCTCCTACCTCACGTAGTATTATTTCCTTCCTCACCTTAGTTCAAGTATAAATTGGCTAGACGTTAGATCGGGCAAGAGAGAAAGCCAAGCATTACTACCTTGGGCGGACTGAATAGAAGCTTCCACTGTCGTCTGATGCATCTCACCGTGCTTCCTTCCTTCCTTCCCTCGACTTCCCGCCGCGGGTGCGCATGCCGTCCCAATTAGTACTGATGCCAAACAAGCAGCAGTCAAAGGGTTCCCTTGCACCGCTTGTGCTGAGGCTCACTCGAGGTCAAACGATTTCCAATCATTCAAAACCAGGTCTCCGCAATTCGCATGCAAAGGTCTGAAAAAAAGCTGGAGACCCCCCGGTCCAAACCGAAGTACCTTACACTGTACCACAGTCACCATGGAAGCCAGCAAGGTGAGAGAGAGAGGCAGAAAAAAAAACAGAAAAAAAAAAGTCAGGAACCTTGCTGCCGCAGTGTGCAGATTTGGCAGAGGTGCCTTATCGCGAGTCAGATCCACCATCTTATCCGAGCGATAAAGGCAGTAACAGACCCACGTGCATCGAGTACGTACCTTTTTCGCCTTAGCAGGGTCCTTCTGGTAGCGGTCGCCGAAAAGTTTTGGGCAGGCAAAGAAAAAAATTCACCCCGGGACCGCCTTCCCTCGCGCTCCCCAAAACCTCTGACCCTCCTACTATTTTTCTCCCCCCTTCTTTCATCTGCATCCCTCTCTTCCTCCATCTCACAATCCTCCATCCCCCTCCCCTCAACGCATCAGTTCTCTTTTCGGTTCGCTCCGGAAAAAGAGTTCACTTCGCGTCTTCTCTCTCTCACTACCCACGGTCTTTCTTTGCCCGGTATTTGGCATCGCTCAAGCAAGCGAAGCACCATTCACGACAATAAACACTTCGCGCGCTCTTCGCAACTAGCAAACATGTCCTACGGCGGCGGCTACGGAGGAGGTGGCTACGGCGGTGGTCGTGATCGTCAGGATAGAGGCGGTCGCGATGGCGGCTACGGCGGTGGTGGCTATTCCAACGGGTAAGCATCTCTTTGACTCTATTCTCAAACACGTCGGCCGGGTTCACGAGGCGGCTGTTGCCTTGGCGCGACACCTCTCGTAGTGCCACGATGCCCTTTCCGAATATGGAGCGTCGTGTCTCGAAGCGACACCAACGCAAGCTTCAGCATTCAATAAATATTTTGATTCTGTCGTCAACATTATTGCTAACTGGTCAGTGACAGCAACGGATACGGTGGTGGCGGCTACGGCGGCGGTGGTGGTTTCGGCGGTGGCGGTGACCGCATGAACAACCTTGGCGCTGGTCTTCGCACACAAGAATGGGGTCAGTTGATTCACAACAGTATACACCAACGACGCGTTTACTGACTTTTTTTTTCTTTCTTGCACAGATCTTTCCACGATGCCGAAGTTCGAGAAGTCTTTCTACAAGGAGCACGAGGAGGTCGCCAACCGCAGCTCAGAGGATGTCGAGTCCTTCCGTCGCAAGCACCAGATTGCCATTGCCGGCAACGATGTCCCCAAGCCCGTCGAGACCTTCGACGAGGCTGGTTTCCCCAGATATGTCATGGACGAGGTCAAGGCTCAGGGCTTCCCCGCTCCTACTGCCATTCAGTCCCAGGGTTGGCCCATGGCTCTCTCCGGTCGCGACGTCGTCGGTATTGCCGAGACTGGTTCCGGAAAGACGCTTACCTACTGCCTTCCCGCCATCGTCCACATCAACGCCCAGCCTCTGCTGGCCCCCGGCGATGGCCCCATTGTCCTGATCCTCGCCCCTACCCGTGAGCTCGCGGTCCAGATTCAGCAGGAGATTTCCAAGTTCGGCAAGTCTTCCCGCATCCGCAACACCTGCGTTTACGGTGGTGTCCCCAAGGGCCCCCAGATCCGTGATCTCTCCCGCGGTGTCGAGGTCTGCATTGCCACCCCCGGACGTCTCATCGACATGCTCGAGGCCGGCAAGACCAACCTGCGCCGCGTCACCTACCTTGTTCTTGACGAGGCTGATCGCATGTTGGACATGGGTTTCGAGCCCCAAATTCGCAAGATTATCGGCCAGATTCGCCCTGACCGTCAGACTCTCATGTGGTCCGCCACTTGGCCCAAGGAGGTTCGCGCTCTTGCGTCCGACTTCCTTTCCGACTTCATCCAGGTCAACATCGGTTCCATGGACCTGGCTGCCAACCACCGCATTACCCAGATTGTCGAGGTCGTCAACGAGAGCGAGAAGCGTGATCGCATGATCAAGCACCTCGAGAAGATGATGGACAACAAGGAGAACAAGGTTCTCATCTTCGTCGGCACCAAGCGTGTCGCTGACGAGATCACCCGTTTCCTTCGCCAGGACGGATGGCCCGCGCTTTGTATGTTGTCTCATTCTTTTCTGATCGTCTGTACTCTAGCTAACATTTCGCAGCTATCCACGGTGACAAGCAGCAAAACGAGCGTGACTGGGTCCTCGACCAGTTCAAGACGGCCAAGTCTCCCATCATGGTCGCGACCGACGTCGCTTCGCGTGGTATTGGTGAGTATCATTCCCCCCCAACCAACATGGCAACTTCCAGCAGCCTTGTGCTGTACTTTACTCTTATGTCTAGGGGCTCTCTTACTTGCGCACTCTTGCCTGATGCATTCGTGTTTCCTTGGTTCTCTCTGCTCCTGTGTGGAGTCTTGGTCTGGTGTGCAGCCGTTGGCTCGCTATACTCGCTGTTCCACCCTTGTGCCTCCCATTTGCCTATGGTACAAGCGTGGATGTGGCAATTCTTGATTCGCTCAAGCTGTCCCCAAGATTCCCCAAGCCCGAGGACCCGGTACATTGAACTTTCCAGGATGGCATTTGACGCATATGGACTGCCCTGTCTTCGACGGAGTGAAAACAGCCTGATATATTTATCAAACAAACGTGGTTCCCGGCTGGAACGTTGCTATACAAACCGTGAGGCGTCTGCTAACCCCTTGCTCAAGATGTTCGCAACATTACTCACGTGCTGAACTACGATTACCCCAACAACTCGGAGGACTACATCCACCGTATTGGTCGTACCGGTCGTGCTGGTGCCAAGGGTACCGCCGTTACCTTCTTCACCACTGACAGTCAGTTCTCCTCCTTACCTGTCACATCTGATCAAAGTGCTAACTTTCTCCCAGACTCCAAGCAGGCTCGTGACCTCGTCAACGTCCTCAGAGAGGCCAAGCAGGAGATTGATCCCCGTCTCGCTGAGATGACCCGCTACGGTGGCGGCGGCGGCGGCGGTCGCTACGGCGGCTGGGGCCGTGGCCGTGGTGGTGGCCGTGGCGGCGGTGGCGGTAGTACGTGTTTTCCATTCTCCCAAAGTCTAGTGGCCTAATCGCTGACCGGACTTTCTTTACAGACAACGCTAACAACGCTCCTCTAGGAGGCGCTCGTCGTTGGTAAGAGCCTTGCCAACCGGACCATCCTAAAGGCGAGGTGACTCATCATGCGGCGGCAACTTTCGCAATTCTCATGCAAAATCGGCGTTCACGTAGACGGGGGTTTTAGACTCGAGGTACCCGGGACACGTAATTGTGTCTCCTTCAGTCTGGTATTCCTCCACGGCTGTTTTCATTTTCCTTGAGTGTTTTCTTTTATTTGCCCATAACGGTTTGGGGCTTGTGTGCGATATCTCTTCAGGCATGGTCAAACGTGGATCAGGTTGAACAAAAAGTTAAGACGGAATCGGAGACGACACAATGATTGGTGTCGTTGACTGCAATAGAGATCCTTGTGGGGTCCCAGTCACTTTTGATGCTCTTCCATGAGCAAGAATGGATGGCTCAGGTCGAAAGCTCGACAGGTCGTAAAAGGCATTAGATGACTGTATATCAGACATGGCCCTGTCGAGGGCGGCTTACTGCTCAAGTAGTAATAGGAAGATCATCTCATGACAAGACTTGAACATATTTATGCTTTCTACTAGACGTCCCGCGTGATGGCCTTTGGATGTTACTTGCTACTGTTCCCTTGCTATGATGCCAGAGCATATGTTGAGCCTAACTGCCATACGAGCCCTGGGGATTGGGCTGCCTCGTTAACAGCAGACCACTGTACTCATCCTCTCCGTGTTCAACCCCAAACTCTTGGTGTTGCTTTTGATATTTGACCTTCTTTGCAGCGTCATCATTATGAGTAATAGTCCACCATCCACAGACTCGATGTAGCGCGACTTTGAGACTGTTTCGAAGGGACGAGTGGGATGGTATGGTGTTTGACCCAAAATATCGCTCTGGAACCGAAATCAATATCTGTGATGCCAACCAAGTGTCCCATTGTCTCGTCAGACTGCTTGAACGTACTGACCAGATAATATTGTGCATCTACAGGTCCATTCCTCTGGGAATTTACGTTCCCCCTGGGGTGATGGAAGTCTCATCAGCAGTGAACTAAGTGCCGTCCACCACCACCGCCAACCCCCTTCTCTTCCCCAACTCTATCAAGAGCCTTTTCTCTCTGTGTGTTTGAGTAGCTATCTGAGTGATCTCATGGGGAAGTACTGTATGGAAGCCGGGGGCGTAAGTCTGGTTGGAACGAGGAGGAGGAGGAGGAGGAGGAGGAGGAGGAGGAGGAAGACTAGAATCATGGAGAGTTTCTGATATTTTGTCCGTTCTAACTCGCGCGCTCAGCCTCGTCTCCTTGAGAGAAATGTAGGTGGGCATCATATCTTGGTCACAATACGAGCTCCTCAAGCTACATGATGTTCTTCCCCGAACTTTTGCTCATTATATATCCTCCATGGATTACAAAATCTCAAGATGCGAGAAAAGCCTATCTTGTTCATGTGACAGCTATTTTGATGTATCTGTACTTCTAGAGTAGAGCCAGCCAGCTTGCCCCAGAAGGTTCGCCATCCCTCTCGCCGTCTCGTCATTGGGGAGGGGGCGGAAGGGGAGGGTTCTTAATGTTATCTCAAACTGGTTGACTCGATTCCCATATCCCTATCAAAGGAGTGAATCTAGTCTACTACACCTTTGCTCTCCGGTCACTGAGTGGCGCCAAGACGAGTCAACAAAGAACAAAAGGAACGAGCCAAAGAATGACAAGATTGGCCGGCTTTTATGTGACTGTTATTTGAGAATACGATATCATGAGAACCGCGAAACATTCAAAGCCTTTCTATCCAAGTCAGCAGGTCTCTCCTACGACAGTTTGTACACCTGCAGACAAAGGGCTTATCCCCCCCCTATGGTGAACCGCAGTAGAGTTCACTTCACTACTCAAAGTAAACCACATCATGTAGCAAAGGGATGATTCCTAGCTAGACATATAGTCATACAAAGTAACGACCTATCAAAATTACCAAGCCATGAGTGCCATATCACCTATAATCCTCCTTCTCACGCGCCAGCCTATACCGCAGCCGCAGACCTAAACCGTCCTAATAACCCTTGCACACGCCAGAGTCGGGAAAGGGAAGATGAGTAAAAGTCGAACAATGCCAGGCCCCAAACGATCGATGCTCAATGCCCCGAAATAAGAAAGTGCCAAGAAGAAACCGACACCTGAAAACTCCCCGCTGAATGATGTCGAATGACGATGCCCATCCATGCTTCGATGCCCATACTTAAAAGTCAACATGCATCATGCTCGAGTTGCGAGACTTTGGTCGAACCATACCAATGAATGAGGTTCTTCGAGATGAGAAGCGGCGAGGCCTCACACCCACGGGCCGAACCGGAGACAGAAGCGGGTTACCAATGGTATCTGTGCCAAAGCTGCTCGTATTGGTGGTACTTGTGGCAGTGGTGTTGATTCCCTTGGTGCCATTGCTGCTGCTAGCACATGACTGTGAGTGTCGGCGACGCTTCTCCTTTGCTTCTAACCAGCGCCTGACCCCGGAACCCTAATCCCATGAGACGAGGTCTTTCTGCTTTCCGCTCTCATCCAGTTCAACGACCACAGCAGCGAACTCGCCACGTTCATCTTCGGCCTCAAGGTCGTCCATCTCAAGCTCAACCTCTTCGCCGTCCTCTAGCATGGTCTTGCCCTTTCTGAGATAGTCGCTTCTGATATCCCAGCCAAACTTCCAAACCCACGTCTCGAGTTCAGAGAAGGCCTGACCGACGGCAGCCTGCTCAGGAGTAGCGAGCGAATTGAGGCCGAGGAGCACTTCGTTGAGTCGCCGCTTGTAGACAATGAGGGCCATGCGGAGGTCACGGGCATACGAAGGACCGTAGTCGAGAACAGACCCATCGAGGTAGCGTTCGTTGTAGACAAGCTGAGCCGTAATGGTCTGCAGGAGCGAGCGGGCCAGCTCCGGGCGCTTGAGAGGCAGTGTGTAGCTCTTCAAGATGATGGAGACCAGCATGTGCCACCACTGCTGGATGCACGCCTCGTTGCCAAGATGCATGCCGACAATGAAGGCAAACTGGAGCTCACCGACAACGTCATCGTCGGTGGCACCGCTGGAAAGCAAGTGAGCAGTCGCATCAACTGCCTGCTCAGTACGTTGAGCGCCGACACTTTCTGCATCGTATGTTTTGGCGCCCTGGCTAAAGGTAAAGTTCAACTCTGTGCTTGCGACAACACTGGGCATTCTCTTTTCTAGCTCGAGCTCAGCGGGAAGCATAAGCGCCCCCCTCACGCGGTCCGAGGTATGCACAGCCCAGTCACTGGCCTGGCGGGCGGTAATTCTGCTCAAGAGAGGCGCGGTGATGGCGTTGGTCAGCTGCTGCCAAATGTTGGTGTTTCTTGCGAACTCGGGTTCGGGACTGGAAGAACCGGATGTAGCCGATTTGACGGTGGCATTGAGAGCGCGGATCTGGTAGGGGGCCAGCTTGGGGTAAATGTCCTGGATGTTATCCTTTTGGAAACGGGCTTCGACCTGGCTGGCGGGCTCGCCGATGACCTCGTTGAACTTGTCCCATTGCATGACGTGGATCTTCTCGGTGGCCGTGCTGATGATCCAGAAACCGGAGCGCGTGGTGCTGGCCTCCGTCTCCGAGACCCAGAAGAAATGGGAGCCGGGAGGAATGTCTCTGACGCCGACGAACTCGCGGGCGGTGAAGGAGACAGAATCGTAGCCTACGGTGAAGTGAGCAGGCAAGTCCATGACAAGGACAACATCTCCTCCTCCAAGTTGGTGTTCATGCTGAGAGGCCTGTTGATTGGCGCTGGCGGCAACATCGAGAGACTCGATGGGTGCCAGAGGCGGGGGTTCGTCGTCGTCGGGGACGGTGTTGGGGTCCATGGTGACTTGTTGCGACAGGGAGGAGTCGACGGGCTGGTGTACGTGCAAAGAGCCGAGAGGATGGGCGCCGGTGACGCGGATGGATTTGCAAGATGGAGCTCTGGTGGAGACGGAAGAGTCGGACTTTGGCAGGCCCGAATTTTTGAAAATGGCGGGCCGGAGAGGGGCGTCGATGGAGGTGCCGGCGGTCATCTTTTTGGAGATGGTGGGAGTGGTCCCCACTACCGTCCGAACCTTAGTTGAGAATCGTCGGATAACTCGAGGCCCGGAGAAAATGATGCCTAATTCTGATGGGTATCAAGCGAATGGTATAGCGGAATGGCTGTTACGAAAGCGACGTGTTGCTGACGATTCTCGAGGAAGAGCTAGTCGTTGTCGAAGAAGAAAAATTGGGCCCTCCGAGGAAGTTTATTGTTGTGCTGGCGATGGAATGAGGCGCGGAAGAAGACTAGGCGGTAAAAAAGACGAGGGAAGAACGAGTGACGATGATACAGCTCGAGGCTGCCTGAAATGGCCGTTGGGCAAATCCAGCCTATGGAGATACACTTTCTTGAGGAAAGAGGTATCCGTAGGTAGGCGTCGAAGGAGTTGGAAAAACGAGGTGCAGTTGAGAAATATCGAGCAGGTCGTCTGTAGCAGTCAAGGACAAGGAGATGAGGTGAGGTAAGGTAAGGTTGAGGTTGTTCCGGCCAAAAGACGCGACGGAGGGCACGCGGGGCAGCAAAGCAAGCCCTGAATCGACCGGATTGCGAGACTTGGAAGGAACAAAAAAAAAAAAAAAGCTCAAGAGCAATGGAAAGAGAGAGGAAAAGATCGAGGAATGCGACCCTGCCGAGGCAGCAACCAAGATTTATCAACGTCTGGTGCGGCCTACCTACCTCTTTCCCTCCCATGCTTATCCATCTTGACCTCCCCCCCTTCCTTCCCCCTCCATCTCACCCGGGGGATTCCTTCCCTCAGACAACGATGAGGTAGACAGCAAATTTCCAACAATGACAGACGGGTCTGGACCTTCCCCTCATCTAGCTTCGTTTCCGTTCGAGACAATGCGGCAACCCGGCGAAAACAAAAGGAAGGAAGGGGCCAGAGGGTGTTAGGTATGCGATACTTCAGCTACTCGGACACTGCTGTCGTATGCCCGCTGTATCGGTACATGTTCCAGGTTTGAGGACTGCAGACTACGTCATGCGTAACCTCTGCTAAGATTACCCATCTCACCTGGGTGGTGTGGTGTGGTGGTGGTGGTGGAAGGTGGGAGAGGCGGGACGACAGTACCGGACCGCCAGGGTCGCCAAAATGGAGACTCAGCACTGTAGGTTCTCAGGTCCGTAGGCTCAACTGTTGGAGCACCTCGGTAATGAGCTTGAGGTAAGTAAGGTGGATTGTCTTTTCGAAGCTTCAGGAGACTTGGGTGACTCGCAACCACAACGCGGACAAGCGAGCCTCAGGGCAGCGTTGCAATCTTACTAGGTACTCATTTATCGCTCCAGGCGAACACCTACCTCAGTGCATGACCGTGGTCGTGGGGCGAGGAAGCAAGCCAACGAGAAACGTCTGGGTCGCAACTTGGGAGAAATAGTGCTACCGGCCTCTAGCTCCCGCCATGAATGTCAAAACAAGACCCGACTGCCATCCCGTTCATCCGTCCCAAGAATTGGGGTCAGGTACGGAGGACGAACGACGGCATCGATACGGGTACATCTAAACCGACAAACAACCCAAAAATGCCCACCGTCCACATGGTGGAGCACCACCCGCCGTTCGGTTCCGTAAAGCAACCAACGTCTTCTTCTCCCGTCTCTTACCCTCCCGCCCCGCCCCGAAGCGACATCCGTAATCCTCTCCATCCCCACACCTTGCTCCGGAACTCGGAAAACCCGCATCCCAAAAACAAACCACCACCAGAGAGAACCCCCACCACCACCACCAACCCGTCCACGATATCCGTAGAAGAATCCACTCCGGGACCCCCGACTTTTTTTTCTTCCCATGCATCCCACGGTCCCTTCACGTTACAATTGGGGGCCAAAAAACACAAAACAAGACGGGTGCTTGACACGTGTACCTTACATTAAGGGAAAAGGAGACTACGGGATGTAGTTTAAACGCAATAAACTAAGACGAACGCTAGTATCATCGACACCAAGGATTAAATGCGGAAAGAAAAAAAAAAGAAGCATTCTTCATCTCCTGCATCTTTAACCCTGTGCCCTGCCCCCCCGAATTCCCGTCACCACCACCCCGCCGTTCCATTCACTCGGGTTTTCCATTTTCCAAACCATAAAGACTCCACAACCGCATCGGCGCCAAAAAGGGAGCAAACAAACTCAATCAAAAAAAGAGCCCATATGCAGGGTCTCGTGTGTTTGGCGCGGCCCCCAATACAACCGTTGAGCCTACAACGGGGGAAAAAAAGGGAAAGAGGGGTCCGCTGTGCCGTCCTGTTTAAAACCGCAAAGGTGACCTGGTGTCTGTTTGTTTGCTTATTTGTTTCCTGTACCCGGAGTACAACACAACCCAAAATTTAAACAACAACAAAAACCGGCCGTTTGGATGCAGCACTTCGCACCCTTCGGCGTGTTGGTTTTCTGGGTGCGTACAGTGTACGTGTACGACGAATACTTTGAGCGAGGTGACTTCGATAATTGACCCAATAATCATTTCGCACCGTCGCCGCCGCCAAAATAAATTCAACGTACCTTGGGTGCACATAGTGTTCCTTCTCTCATACGCACCCCCTCTCACCTGTATCACCAAATGCATCGCTCCTTCCTTCCTCAAGGTTCCATAAGGTTGTGCTCCCTCGCACTTCCCTCGTCATCGCATCTGAGCCAACCAGCACTCCGTCGGGAAGGAAGTACTGCGTTGACCCTAGGTAAAACACCAACACCAACACCAGCACCAACACATGCTCACCGACTCTTTTCCATCCTACACATCCACGACATCCCAATCCCTCAACCTCGAAAGGAGGGGCAGAAGCAACGCCTCGTCGTCACCAGCAAGTCTGTTCTCACTCTCAAACCCCGCCGAATCCTGCATATGCACAGAACTCGAAAGGAAAACATCGATAGAAGCAGAGAGGGAGGCAAACAAGCAAGCCGAAGGTTTGAACAAGCTTTTTCAAAAGAGGCAGCGGCCCCTGTCAATCACCCGTCAATAACCAGAAACTCTACTTTCGTCCTTCCCTCCTCCTCACCCCTCCTCTTCGGACTTTGCCTTTCTTCCCCTTGAAGTGTAGATGTATTACAAGACCGGGAACCTTGGAAGTGTATTGGCTAACAAACTCCCGGAACTTCACATATATGTCCGGTCCCGCAACTCAAAAAATCTCTTCGGCGGCCTCTCCTGTTCTCTTGTCTTCTCTTTCTGCGTATTTTTTTCTTTTTTTTTGTTACTGCGGTACATACACCTTGACAATCATAGAGACCCTGAGAATAATGAGGAAAACCAAGATGCCACCTCGTGAGCTTCACTTAACCAGGTCCTCATCCCAAAACTCTTCACCAACGACCAAAGCACATTCCCATTGTCATTCGTCAAACCAAACACCCCTTCCTTCTACCTTATTCCATGCAGCTATCCGCGCCGCACCCATGTCCTACCACAAACAACCCCTCATTCACATCAACGTGAGAATAAGCAGCGCCACTCATCCATCCCCATGTCACCACAGCGCCCATACACGCACGCACACATACTCTTCCACTCACACTCACACACACACACTCATGCACACGCGAGCAAACCGACCGACCGACCGACTCCCGTAGCGTCAGTTACACATAGATCCTTTCTCTCCGAGTCGACCTACTAAGCCAAAACCCAGCTTAGCTTCCCTTCCCCCGCTCCTCCCCTCCCCTCCATTCCCCTCCCTCCCTCCCTCCGCCCCAGCCTGCCTTACCTACCAGCGCTAGCTGACCCGACTCTACACTAAAACCGTTTGGCGAGAAAAAAGTAATCCAACCACCAACACCAACACGATGGGAACGAACCAACAAACCACAAAAGATCCTAAACCTGAACCCTTGTCTCTTTCTCCCGCGAAATCCTTGTCGACCATGCATGTAAGAAAGTGCGATGCCGCTTGATGAAGAAAAATAAAACTAGGCTTGCAGGGGGAATGGTGCTACCAACCATTACGCCCACACTTTGCCATCTGCGTCATCAGACACTTCAACACCGATATATCCTTGTTCCCTCCCCCCTCAACTGCCAATTCTGCAACAATTCAGTTTGGCTTTCAGCTTCTTTCAGCTTTCAGCCTCACTGCACACACGGTGTTCATCTAATTTTGACTACTTGGTGCTTTGTCATTGTAGGTTTGGGTATTCCATCACCATTCAAAACTTAGTTGTGCTCAGTTGTGAGTTACGTCACGAGTCAGACTTGGCATGTAATGCTGTGAAAGAGGTGTATTTTCTCGAAATCTTTTACATTTCCTTTTCCACCGCGAAAAAAGCAAATCAACTGTCAAACGCATTCTGTCGACGCCCTGAACGTCCGTGTATGTATAGGTATCTCGGCCACTCCAAAGGTCCGTCCTTGCCAATCCTGTGCTTTCGCCCTCTACCGAGAAAAAAGTCCCCATTTTCCGAAAATCCTTATCGCCATCCGAGAAGAGCAGCTCCCTCGAGGGACCCAAGTCTTGAAAAGGAAAAAGGTATCGTCTGCAAAGGATGGAGAGTTGGGGTCTCGATCGTGCTTAACCCCCAGGCATCAGGCCGGTCGTCCTTTTCCCAATCATCACGGAGCATCTTTGTCCTCGATTGCTCGGGGGCGAGACTGCTCCGTGAGATCAAATATCGAGCCCGTGACATCGTTCAAATCGAAGCCGGCTTGCGCCCATGTCAAGAAACCCTCTCCAAACTGAGACCATGAATGGCCAACCAAAGCGAGCCTCCACCCGTTTCGTCAAATCATGACCCCTCTCAACCGTTCTCGTAAATGCAGAAACCACACCGGTCCAAGGAAAAAGCCGTTGCCCAATGCATCATCTTATGTGGAGAAAAGAAAACCGAGGAAGAAACATCAGCATCGCATCGCGATGTGAATGATCAAGCCTCAGACGGGTGTGCCTGAGGCGCCTATGAAAATGGTGGTAACGCATCGAAACCATGCTGTGCGTGTACTCGATCGAAACGTGAAAATCCCAAAGCCATCAATTGGCGGATATCGCTTCGTAAACCAGAATTTTGCCGCGCGTCTAGTAGCCGAAGGAAACGAAGTTGAAAGTTCGTAGTATAGACATTTACGGATGTGCGGCTGTCGTCGTGTGAAAGGGAACCCGATAATGTACAAGCTCATCTCCTCTTTCATCATTACGGTTGGGTCCCTTTCGTTGGCGGGTCAGCCGTCCTCAGTGGCTTGAAGCCTGAGCACCGTTATCTGCCTATACAGTTAGTTGGCCGAGGTCAGTCACACGGACGATTCGAAACTCACGTGAGTTGTACATGCTCTGGTTCGGCTGGCCGTAGGGAGACTGAGGTTGGTAGTTGGCCGAGTACATGTGGGAGCCGTTGTACTCGGGCAGAGGCTGCTGCGCAACACCTCCAGACGGGGGCGCAGGGTACTGCGAGGGCTGATATCCGATGGGCGGCAACTGGACCTGGCGACCAGGCGCGTATGCAGAAGCTGACGATGAGCCGTCGGGTGCAGACTGAGGATCACCTGAACCGTTCTGGGCAGCGGCCTGTGCGGCGGCCGCAGCTTGACGCTGACGTTCGTCCTCGGCCTTACGAGCGGCCTCCTCCTCCTTCTTGCGTTGCTTCCATTCCTTGCGGATTTCCTTGAACTCTGTTGCCCGTGATGTTAGCCTCCGTGAAATGCGACAAAGATGTCTTGGCGCGTTTATCGTCAGTTTGTCACAGACACTAGGCCATGTGCATGGCACTGGGTCGAACAAGCTAAAAACCGCGGCTCGCTAAACTGCGGGATGTACGACGCTAGTCCCGCGTACCGCTTGGCAGCGTGAACGCGAACGCGATTTCGACACAATGCGCAACCAACGACGACTCGGTATTCAAAGTGTGCTGCAAAACGTACCTTCAGGTGTTCTCTTCTGTCCGTGAGACTGCATTGTGACGTGTGCGTTGAGATGGTTCAATGTGCCATAAGCCTTCTCGCAACCATTCCAGCCGCACTTGTACATGCGCTCAATCTCCTCATATCGTCGACGGGGTCGCTTGTGCTGCTGGGCACCCGGGATTGGAACGAAAGAGTATACCTGGTTGCCAAACTGTTACGTCAGTACACTGGTTCCTCCATTGGACGACAATGCGCGCGTGTGCCAGTCTCCGACCCTGCGCCAACGGCCGTGCTGCCAAGTTAGTTCTGAAAGCCTCCCCCCTCTTTGGACGGTTGCCTCTCAGATCCTGCAGCGCTGAGCACTGCTCGGATGAGTTACCGCAAAAAGAGTTGGGGCAAACTTATCCTCCTGACGCGCTGGCACACCTGAATTCATCGCCTGCTAGCTTCACTTACCTGGCTGGGTCGTCCCTGGGGAGGGGCAGAGCTCGGTGTCGGGGGAAAGACGTGGCTTGCGGGAGTCAGGGGACCGGCGCTGTGTTGGCCGTAGCCGGTCCAATCGGGACGGGGTTGGTAGGCGGGATGCTGGTAGGAATGCGACATGTCTCCGGGGGGAGGACCGTAGGGAGAGGGCTGTCCGTACGCGTAGGTAGGACTCGGCGCCGCTATCGACGGATCTATGGGTACATCGTGGTCAGACTTGGCCAGAGGGACCTGATGGTTACGGCCATCTTGCTGGGGCAAAGACGGACTGCTTGCTTGTTGCGCCATGCCTCCGCTGCCACCGTTGTGGTTGCTAGCAGGATGGTATGATCGCTGAATGTGTTCAGGGAAGGATCCTGACCGCGCAGAAGGCGGGTAGACGCTGTACTCGGAGGTGGGCGTCGCTGAGGTCGAGTAGTTGCTGGGGCGAACCTCTTGTTGGGTCGCGTATTGCGCAGCAGATGCGTGATCTGCAGATGAACCTTCAGAACGGGTGTCGCCGCAGTTGCTTGGGTAAGGCGAAGGCAAACCTGACTGCGAGTACTCGGTAGCACTGCGTTCCATAGAGGTGCTGAGCGAGGTCAGGAGCGAGCTGATGGCAGCGGCTTCTGGGCGGGAACCTCCAAGCTGTGGCGAGCCTGAAGAGAGCAGTGATGCGTGGTTGTCAACGAACTGGTGTTGCGTTGGGACCAAGAACATGCTACAGTTCAGAGGAACGTCTTGGGTCGCAAAGAATTGGCCGGAGAGTCCTTAGTTCTCAAGCCAACGGGGAAATGATTCGCAGGTTCGTGGTAGACGGTTCCTTTTCTCTTCTTTTCCGGGTGCAAGAGCGGTCGATGGGATGGCTCAGGAAGCGGTCTTTCAAGTAGCGGTAGCGGGTTGGGCTTGCACTTGAAGAAGGAAAAGAAGGATAATGGAAGAAGTAGTAGTAGTAGTAGACAACTGATGTCGGGAGTGAAGTGAGACTTGAGGCGGCGCGACGATGGTGTATAAAGATGGCGGCCAAGATAGCGCGGGCCACCCAAGGGCTCGGGTTTATGGTTAAATGGGGATGTGATGACAACAAAGTCGCTAGCCACGGCCCTGAGCGAGGATCTCTCAAAGTGGCAAGGATAGCGTTGTCTTTGCCAGATCACGGAAAGGACGCCTCTTTTTTTTTTCTTTCCTCTGGCTCTTACTCGCTTTGGCTGAGAAAGAGGTTGACGGTATTGCCTGGGGAGAGCGACACTAAAATAGTGCGCTAAGTAGTAATGGATGGGCTGGGCTCTCCGCTTGAGTTCAGGCCGAGCGAGTCCTTAGCGTCTGGATCGGAGATAGGACAGGGGTGGGAAGGCCCACGAGCTGGGTGTGTGTATGGAACCTGGGCCAAAGGCGGCGAACAGTGCCGTAGGCGTATGAGAGGGTAGGTACTCCGTACACCGAGGAGAGGGAGACTAAAGGTTGAGTGGGGTTGGCGAAAAGGATGGGATGTCGAAGGGTTCCTCTTTGCGTATAGCGTAGGGTGTGCCTCTTCTTTGATCGGGGTTGGCGTGTGTCTGGATTTGGCCTGGTGTAGAGGTCGGGACCTGACTTGACGAGATGGCAGATGGGAGTCCCGAGAAAGCAACTGACTCTTGTCTGATCTGGCTGGCAGGATGCAGGAGACTGTGGGATGCAGGTGCTGCAACGCAGAAGAAGCGACTGAGCGCGGTGATGCAGTGCGGAGGAGGGTGGTGATGAGTTGGGTGATGCGCTGGTTGCTGCAGGAGCAGTGCGTACTCACTCACACGCAGCAAGAGCGAGGAGAGTCTGGTAGACAGCCAGCACAGCTTTCGACAGGCTGGGCGAGGTACGGTAGTGTCGTGTCGGGTGAGAGAGAGAGGTGTAGGAATACTCCGTAGACTGTATGTACGGTAGCTAAGGTAGCTGAGTGGTGGGTGCTGATGCTTCGATGCTCGTGCGGTAGGGGGGCGTGGTTGACCTTGGCCTTGGTACGAGAGCAGGTACGTAGTGTACGGATACTGGAGGGCGAGGTGGGTGGGTGAGTGGGCTGGTGGGCACGAGTGGTGGCGGAGGGTGGATGCTCCTTCCTCTGGTCTTTCCGACTTTACTCGACTTGACGACGTCGACGAGCGAGGTACGTGCTCGTGCTGCCGCTGCCGAATGCTGGAAGCAAAGAACGTGCGTGCGTGCGTGCGTGTGTCTTGCGTAGTGCGGTTTTCCCGTGGTGCTAGTGAGAGGAAAGAGAAGTAGCGCGGGCGGAGCGCGTGTGTGTATGAATGTGTGTGTAGTTTGTTGTGTGTAGTGAGATGAAAGAAGAGCGAGATGAAGATGGGGTAATTTTTTTTTTTTCGGTTGTCGAGTGAGCCTCTCTCTTACTCTCTGAGTTCTGGCGCGTCTGGTCTTTCTTTCTCTCTTTCTCCTTCTCGCTCAGCTCGGTGAAGCACCAGTGTGTGGGAAATGTGAAGGGGGAAGGCGAAGCTAAGGAAGGGGGTAAGGGGGTAAACCCAATGAAGGTTTATGACGAGGGGAGTTCGATCTTAGCGCCGTTCCCGGGAGGAAGACGAATTTAATACTTGCGACGGAAGAGGGATAGGAAGAATGGGGTAAGCTTGAGAGGAGAGAGAGAGAGACAGAGAGAAATAATGGAACGCCTGAGTGACGGGTCAGCGCGAGGGCTGATTTGCAGCAGGTGGAGACGCGTCGACGGGCCTGTGAGTGTGCGGTGGGCAAGGATGTGTTGGAGAGTGGAAGGATGAAGGGTGAACCGTGAAGGGGGTGAAGACTGGGAGTGAAGGGGTGAGTGAAAGTGATGGACAAGTGAGGTGGAAGGGTGAAATCCCGGGAGACAGACACCTCCAGACTCCAGACTCCAGCCTTCAGCTCCAAGTCGTGGGTACGAAGTATGGTTGCCTTTTCCAAGGTTGTTGCTCTTGCCCTGCCCAATTGGCAATGCTTACACTACAACCCAGAGGCCAGAGCAGAGGGGGCCACCTTCCTCTGTACCTTGTATACGTATAAGGTGAGGTATCAGGTATCTACGGAGTACGGAAGTATCAGACTGAGCAGCCAGGGCAGTAATTATTGGGATACCTAGGAAATGGAAAATTGACGATGAGACTGCTCCGAAATGTAACTGGGCAGACGACCGAGTCTGGGGGAGTGCGAGCAGTGATTGGTGAATTGGCATAAGATGGTCATGGAAAACACACACCCAGAACTTCAGAAGAGGAGCCGATCAAGCAACAGGAGGGCGAGGTGAGCTTTTTTTTCTCCCCTCTTCTTCTTTGGCATTTGTCTTCTCAGTCCATCCTCCGGATCTTCCTGTTTCCATAACTAGGTATTTCCCTTTCTCTCCTTTCCTTTGCAAATGCCCAATTGCAGATAGGAGGATGAAAAAAGAGGTGTGAGCCTGTGAGGAGTAAGGACTCAGGAGTATAAGGAGCAGAGACCAGGAGGTACGTATCCTCCGAGGTACAGACGTGGTCTCCAGTTGTATCTTGGTCGTCGTCAGTCGTCGTCGTCCCTCGTCTTCGAGGTATGTGAGTTGATAGGTGACTGCAGCCGTGAAAGATGGGAAGAGGACGCGCCCTGTGAAGGTGGGTGTGAAAGAAGGCTGCAGTCCCGGCGACACGGTGTAGAAGTCGGTACGTACCGATACCCCTGTCGCAAAAGTTTGGAGACTGGAGATGCCCCCCCAAAGTAGATAGTCGACAGGTGAGAATTATCCATGTGCTTTTCCTCTGTCTCCCACAGGGCTGCTTGCGTCGGGACCGGGGGGTGAGGTTCAGACTTCACTGCTCGCTTTGCAGGGGTATGCATCTCGTGCCTTCCTGGGAACTTTCCTTACTGCTAAAAGCATCCTGGCTGTATCCGTCCGTAGGAGGAAGACATCAAGAGCGCCTTTCGGTACGTAACTGCGTACTTTGTGCTGTTGGCTTCCAATTCTTTCTGCGGTACGGAGTACGTACCTACATGCCTGACTGTGGCCTGCCCCTCCCCCCTCCTTCCATCACAGTCGACACCTGAGGTACCTTAGATAGAAACTCCATAGACATTCGAGTCTACCTAAGTGCATAGAGGCAGCTGGCATTCATACGAGCTGACAGGTGGCAGATGAGGTGGCATATGGCAGATGGCAGGTGCTTCTAGGCCTTTGACCGCAGTGTCTGAGGATTGGTGTCGGCGCGGGCGCTCGCAATTTTACGCTACGGATCCCGGGTACAGGAGATGAATAATGGTGGTGGTGATGATGATGATGATGCCGATACTGGGGCATGATGAAAGTGCGCTTCGCAGCTAAACCACCTTGGGGACGCATGTCCTCTGCGCACTAACTCACTAGCTGAGGATCCCTTAGCTTGGCGACGCCGCTCTCTGGATGCCGGGACTAGCCAAAAGTACGGTGGCTTGACTGAATGACTTGAGACCTTGGCTGTGCGTATGGCGTCGCTTCTTCTTTCACTGCTTGCTTCGCGTTTTCTTGGTCAGCACCTTGATCCCTCATCCAGTCTTCTCATCCATTGGACGACGCTCGACTTCCACCGGAACGGGTGAAACGATCGAATCAATGAAATGACCAAACCTCCTTTCTTGTCTAGACTCTAGACTCTGGACACTAGACTCCAATGACTCTAGATAATTAGCAACAACCTAGAGATTACTTGTCGCGTCGCGTGTCAGATTGATATTGCTCACCCACAGGCTCGATGAAGTTGTTTGCCGTTGAACTAACTGACTGGAACGTGCGCCTTCCTTGCACTTATTTTGCTCGTCGTCTTAATAATCTTTGGTACTCCAATCCTCCTGGGATGCTCGTAGGTGCCGGGAAATTTGCTAATGCCCTTTGGAATTCTATGCACGTAATGCTTATCGCCCATCAAAGAAGGAATGAGAAATGTCATATAATAATGATATTATTCGACTTGGAATTGACAGGATGCCGGGTCCAAGGTGTGGCCCGTGGAAAACCGAAACCCGAAAATCCCGATGAGAAAGATGACTTGGCTCCCGTGACCTATGTCTCGTTGGTTGTTGTATCGAGTCGTCGACTAGGTACTCGGTCGATTCGAGTCAATGTCTACGAAAATCGCACAATAGCATTCGGTCTTGTTCCCGGCTCTCAGCGCGTGACGGAGTCTGCCGAGAAGAGTTGATTAAAGGATTCCACTGGAAAGAGCAAAAAGCTTCTTTTCTTTGCCCCCAACTTGGTCGCTACCTAGACCTAAAGATCGGGACCCCTTCCCGAGAGCTACCTATTGCAGCTGCCCGGTGCCGGATCCGCCGTCTTGACTCGCGAGCAGGGGTCGACGAGAAACATACAAACAAAGAACTACTGCGTGAGAGACGTCAGTTACGGACAAACACCTGATTAGAGAGTATTGAACGAAACGTAACGTACTGTCTTGACTCTTCTGTACTCACCGAGGAAAAGTCCAGGATGCCGTGTGTCTATGGAATACGATGGGCCGGCGATGACTTGTTCCGTGATGCAGCGGTCGGTGTGGATTTTTACTGGTATTTGGATTTCCATTTCTCAATGGAGGAATGATAGTTGAGACCGCCCCCTCCCCTTTCACGACGCCACACCAAGTGCTTGTAGAGAAGGGAACAAGATGGGTGGTGCCGGATGGCCCATTGTGGCCGAGGGTAGAAAACGCATTCGGGCCTGATCCCAGTCTTTTCGAGGACGTGAGTGCTCCGTACTCTGTACGCAGTCATGATTGCTGTGCAATATTTTCCTGCATACGAAGAGCGGGTTATTAACGAAGGCGGCGGTTAAGGTTGCGCAGGCCCGGCCAGCGAGCAAAGCCGTGTACGAAGGTAGGTAGCTAGCAGTAGCGGACCGTCGACCACCGCAGTTGCGAGAGCAAAGACGCAGAGAGCCACAGCCGCGAGAGCGTGGCAGCCAGCGAGCAGGGCCCCAACCATGGGAATCGAGAGCCCTTGTTCCCTGCTCAATCTTTGGGATTTTTACGGTCGAGGTTCCCAGCGGATGGGAATCAAATAGTTGTGGCGGCGAAAGGGGGGCGTGTGGCCGGTGAAGGACGTGGCAAGCCATCTGACTGGCTGGCATAACATCCGCACGCACTCCCAAGACATGCTGTCCGCGGTACGGCACAGCCAGGCCAGTCTCCAGAACACGACGACATGCCGAGCTGGATGCTGCACGACCTGCTTCTGCACCTCCGGATGCGTGGCACTCCCTCCAGACGGCAAATTCCAAGGCTTGGGCATGGTCTTGGCCATGATTTCGAGCAAGTTCAAAACTTGCGCAATGCCCTTTGCTCCTGAAAGCATGCCTAGGCGCACAACGAGTATACCGTCTTTCATGTGTCTTGTATCTCGTACAGTTAAGCGTAGGAAAAAATAGGGTGGGGGTTGGCTGCGGTAGGTACGAATCGAATCGACCGTCTGCAAGCGCTCCAGGATGGGTTGATCTTGATCATGATCATGCGTATGGATAGCGACAAGCCGACGACGGCTGGTGAGCCTGGGTCTTGCATAGGCAACCTGAAGTTTGGAAAAGTGCAGCGGGTAAGGTTCTCGCTACAGAGCTTGGTAAGCGTAGGCACACCATACGGCACATCACACATGGATGGGGAAGAAGGAGATAGAGCCAGAATAGGAGACTCACAGCCGCGTCGTCGCGGAACAGGAGCGCGGGCTGAAATGAGTGTGCGGTGCGTAGTAGGTAGGTAGGTGTGCAACTGCGGATCGACGTACCTCTGTTGAGCGGTGGGCGTAGGCATACAACGTGTGCAACTGATGGTAACGTGTGCCTCGGTACCGAGCAAACAGCGCTCAAGCTGAAAGTCGAGTTTCTGGTGGGAGGGAATCAGGGCAGGTCGAGGCACCAGCAAGCAAGGTCCAGGGCCGGAAGACCGCGGCCGCGGAGCTGAGAGAAGCGGCACCGTGGGTTGAAATTTTCCCTTCCCCTGGTCGTGGACGTGGTCCTTGGGGTGGTGTGTGTGGTGTGCATTTGGATGCCCACAGCTGGCTTGGGGTTCCCTGACGTTGGGTTCTGGGACTCTGGGAGGAGCCGCTGACGGTCTTTGGTGTGCGGCGTGGCCTAGGTGCCCTGCTCGTGCTGTGGTGCACCGTACCGGGAATTGAGATGCAGACAGCTGGGCGCGAGGGAAATACCGACGAGTGGGACAGAGTGACGGTGTTCGTCTACGAATACGGCCGCGGATCGTGATGAATAATTGGGCGGCCCTGTGTCTAAGGTACGTGAGCTGACGAGCTGCAAAGCAAAGATTCTCAAGCATCCACCTCACCTCCAATTACATCGAGCATCTGGCGCAAGGAAACAGAGAATTGGCAGCCAAGAGGAAGGGCAAAGGAGAGGGAGAGAGAAAAAAAAAAAAAAAAGGACCACCCAAGCGACAGGCATGTGAGGTGGGAATGTCGGATCTGGTGTGTGTTGCGGTAGGTAAGGCAGGTGGCCCGGCGGCGGCCCAGAGTGGGTATTCGCGGAGAGAGGTATATCTTTAGGTGGGGCTTGTATATGAACATGGGCAATCACTCTACGACGCAGAGTTGCGAGGTCTCGTGAGATGGTGAGAGAGATATGTCGACTTCAGGCTGGTGCTTGGCTTTGGACTTGGGGACTTGGGAATTTGGGAAACTCGGGGCATGGATGCTAGGGTCTGCGATGAGAGAAGGTAGGAACGCGAGACAGTGGGGTCTTTCCTTCTCCTCTGGATCCAAAGTGGATACCAAGAGCCTAGGCCCCAGAGAACAGAGATCTGCGCCATTTTTCTGCGCTAGCCTGATGGATGATGAAGTGGGTGGGAACTGGGAAGGAGTCCGTGACCGGGTCCACCTCCTTCTCTTTCTCTCTCTCACATTTTTTTTTCCTTCAATTTTCCCCCCATGCCATCGACGAACCAGGTCGAGCGATGCAAGGTGAAGATTGATGCTCCCCCTCCCCTACACCTTGCCTCGCCTTGGCTTTGAGGGCTTGGGAGGGGGGCTGATGTGCCGACTCTTCCATCTGTCACTGGCCATTCAGCTTGAGGCCCTTGTCGATCGTCGAGATGCTCAGTTACGGTTGCATTGGCATCTGCAGAAACACTGCCAGCACCTGCAAAAACTGGATATCTGAATCACCAAACCCCAAACCCGACGAGATGCACACGTCCCAGCGACACAGACAACCAGATGTCCCAAGTTGCAGATGGGAGCCTAGTGTAGATACGTGGGGTACCTCGTTTGTGCATACATGTTCGCTGACATGGCTACCGTAAGGAAGCAGTACGAGCACTGCCGTCTCCCGAAGCCATTGTGCACTGTCGGATCCGTCATCGCGAACGCCGGGGCCGTCTCGGCACGGCAGCTGAGGAATGACAATTGCGATTGAGACTCGACTGCATCGGGCAAGGAGCAGCCGGTTGTCTGGACGCATCCCCGTAACTTGTCCGTGTCCTCTTCCGACGGACAGAGAACAAAGAAAGCAGAGGCCGCCTTTCCATGGTGCCGGCCAAGGGGGAGACATTGAAAAGGGATTTGCCGTGTGGTGCCCGCGATCTAGACTCCGCGAGTGTGGGACCCTGACTCGGGCGGAGTTGAGGGAATGCTTGCACTGGAGTCGATCCAGGTGGACGAAAACAGCATGGACGCCTCGGGGACTTCTGAGCCCGGCGTCTTGAACACAACACTAGCCCCGGCGTCCGTGACGGGGCTCTGCTACCAGAATATTCTCCGCCCGCGACAGATATTGTGCTACCAAGTACGAAATACAAACGAGTGGATTCGGGTGGGCTGTGGATTGTGGCCTGTGGTCTGTGAGCAGCGACGAAAAGGAAACCGACATTCCCTCCTCACCTGGTTCTGACACCGTCGGTCATTTGGCAACATCTCCTGGTCCGGTCTGGTGTACAGATGCTTGGCTACAGAATTTGCCCCGTTTCTGCGCTGTTGTTCTATCCGTACAAATACTGCGTGATCCTGTGCGTCTTCTCGTGAGGGCGATAATGGCCTGCACGCAGCATCGCACTCTGATAAAGTTCTAGAGGTTTGTATAGTCACCGAGGATCTTGCTGGCGCCTCGGTCGCGCGCAAAGGTTATTTTGGCGCGCCGGTCCAGGGCTTGGGATCAAACGGTGGTCTAAACTCTCTGGTCTGGCGATCACCCCAAGACTATGTTGCTTAGGGGTTCGGCGGTTTCCTACACTTGATCTGTCAATTGGTGTGGAGCCCATAAGGTCGTTTCCTGAGCTGCGTCTATAGACGGGGCTGCGACAAGAATAGCTGCTGATGGGACGAAGGCGCAACTTGTTTTCTGGTCAAGCCTCGAGGATTGGATATCGGACGTTTCCAACGGCTTGGTGAACGACTAGGTTGAAGATGAGGGGCTCGGACTGTAGCAGAAGAAGCCACCACCGTAGGTATTTACGATGTAGAAATTTCGTCGATCAGCACACGTTTTATGAACCAGCCCCCTTGAGCTGACCAAGAGTGCGCCACCAAGAAACGGGCATGATTGGTACCCGAAAGATTCCATCCACTACAACATCTTGATACTCGCTCTAGAGTCTGGAGACAAATTCCCCTGAAGTGATATACCTAGGTTGTAAGTCCTGTTGCTTGAGATGGCACGTGTCTCCTTACACAAAGTGTCTGATGTCGAGCTTGTCCCTGTCACCCACCAGTAGTTCGGGGGCTATCTTAGCGTTTTCCCCGCAAGTTCGACTTGTCAAACGATTCCCCAAGCTAGGGCCTAGATGTGCGCTGGTGTTGGTGCAGACACGAACGCTGAGGCTGGCTCATCCTGTCTCGAGTTTCCCATCCACCAGGAGCGCGCGATCGAGCGAGACGCGACGCGACGTGGGTGAGGTAGCTAGTGATGATTGAACGTGTGGACAATCAAGAAGACGACAGCACTGGAGAGGACGGCTGGACACAGCTAGTCTGAGGTCTTCAATCTATCCGTGCCTCTCAATGCGAACATGGAAGCTCGTGTCGTTCCTGCGATCTTAGAATCTAGATCTCGGAAGGTAGGCTTTTTGACGCGAGTGCGGAATTACGATCGTTTTGCCGAAATCCGTCAAGGAATAGTCCCTTGCTTCGCAGCGAAGCTCGATCTACGATGGAGTCCCGGGGGGACCATCTGTGTAGAGATACTCTCATACTCTGTAGGGAGACAGAGGACACGTACCGCGTCATGGGAGCGATAAGGTGTCACAAATCGTTACGACGAGGTCCTTGGGAAGCCGGAGATTCGACAATCGACAATCGACAATCGACAATCGACAATCGACAATCGACAATCGACACCTTTTTGGCTTCCAATTCATGAAGGGTGGGTTTCCTGGAGAGCAGAGGGTCAGAATTCGCTTGGAGAGAATAGGTAGCCTCGGGGATGAGGGCTGTTTGGTGCTAACTGGAAAGGCAGCTAGCGGCATCCGCTTCCTCGATATTGGAAATGGGATTTTCCCTTCGCTTGTGCGTCCCCCTGTCATCGGGCACCTCAAGGCCGGGCGACCTCGCGAGGGGACGACGGACGGACGGGCCACCCCTCCACGTCGACTTTGTCGCAGCTGAGATCTGCCGGGGGCGGATTTACCAGGAATACCGAGCCAAACGCGAGACGGGGGGGAGGGGGCTCAGATGCCAGGGTTTGAGGTCGACCAGATTCGAGGTTTTCTGTATCTGTCCTCTATACTCCGTAAGGTATTTCGCATTGCGTGGTGCACTGCACGGCTTTGGTGAGGTCCGGTCCTGTTCAAGCGCTCAGTCAATGAAGTCGAAGGAAAAGGGGGGGCAATTGGGGGTGTAAAAGATGGGAAGGGGTGGCCCAGCCCTCTAGGCAACCTTTATTGGGTTCCTTGCAAGCCGCTGCAGCATCCAGCTTGCCCTGCATCCCATCCATGGGAATGCTCCCCTCCTCCTTTCCTCCGTACCCTCCACTTTGGACATCGCCCTCCACCATGTCAATCACCACAGTGTGCTGCTTCCCCCGCCCTGTCTGTAAGGTCGGTAGGCTGTAGGCTGTAGCCCATAAGTTAGTTCCCTTCTCCTTGCTTCAGAGAATTTCCAGAGGGCTGGTGCACCGGGAGACCCTGAACAGCTTCCCAGAAACCCAAGCGACTTGGTGTACACTACCACGTACGGATAGAGAGCAGGGGATGTGATGTGAGGGCTTGTTCCTTTTCCCTCCTGGCTACCCCTCGCTTAATTGTGACAGCCTGCGACCCTGTCTGACTGCGGCGGCGAGTAGTCGACATTCATACCTTGCCATCCAGGTTAATTTGCACTGCAAAGTGGTGAGAAGTGGGTACTCCGCGACTCCATACCAAAAATGCCTTCCAAGACAACCAAAAGATGAA